TGTCTCCTTTCGATATTTTGGTGCGTTTCATGATTACGCCCTAAAACTGAATAACTATTTTTTATCACTTGCTTCCTTAAGATTCCGTTTTTAGTTTTTTATATTATATCTCATAATACTTGTATTGTTATTGTTTAAAATATTAACCAATATATCCCCACGACTTTGTTTATAACCTGGTAACATTTTAAAGTTTCGGTCATATTGTTAAGACTTGGATTATTTATACCCAACATTTTGCAGTATGCACTGCTTTTAGTACTTACGTTCCTTACAATAACAATTCATTTAAAATAACTTATCCATCACAATACTAAATAAAATGTTTACTAAGACATTACAATCTCTTAAAAGTAATATTATTTATTCTTATCATAAGCACCACAATTTTAAGTATGCACCGTATATGATATATAAAATTTCTTTCATTTCTTCTTCTTTTTCTTCCTGGCAATTTCCCAGCTTTAGCCAGGGTTTGCCTTACATGTTGTGAATAGTTTTGGCTAATTGTTTTTACGACCGGCCCCCTGCCTGACATCAACCCTCTTTGGGAATGCATTAATAAGTGATGTCTAAATACTCTTAGAAAATACATATGACTCGGAAAAATCACATTGGTACTTGCCAGGATCTTCTTTCACTGAATTTTCATTGACTGTTACTTATAATTATCAATTCAGTAGGAATTTTAATGAATAGAATGAGCTGCTTATAAAGATTTCTTTAATGACAGGTATTGACCTCTTTGTTTGCGCTTTGCTCAATGAAGCTCAGAGCAGAAGGCAGCATTCGGAAATCCAATGTCAACCATACGTATGATGTATAATTTGGTGTTTTTATAAGTGTCCCGTATTCTTAATGTGTGATTTGTCAAATAGGTCTTCGTGGAATAAAGACAAGTAGGCCTGACTTGTACAATAAGATTTTAGTTTGCTGTTAGCGGTAATGTGCGTTTCAAACACCGGTTTCGAGTAAACCATAGGTTTCTGCATCATTTACAATTCATGCTTTGTTTAAGGACATGGGTTTTGCTTATGCATGTAAGTTGTCGCAACCAACGTCATGATAAGTGTTATGAGTTTCTATAGACTTGATGGAACTCAAGAGAGGCAGCCTTTAGACAAACATTTGCAGGGTATAAAATTTCCGTCACTAACAGTAAGATTAGTTTACTAAGTAATAACTTAGTAATTTAGACACCACTGACATACGGTGAAGGAAAACATCGTGAGGAAACCTGGACTTATAGTTTCACAATTATAAGTTTGAAATCACCAACCCGTCTTGAGCAAGCGTGGTGATTAATGCTCAAACCTTCTCCGTGTGAGAAAGAGGCCTTTGCTCAGCAGTGGGTACTGATAGGCTGATGGTGATGATGAACAGTAAGGTAATCTTGTGTTTAGATTGAAAAGATGTAATATCTAAAATGGTTGTCAGTCTAGGAGTTGATTTCGATAAGATTGTTGCAATTACGAACTACATCTTGCATAACAGAAAAACTGCTGGAGTAGGAGTACATCGTAGGAGTAATTTTCATGGCAAATCGTTGGCATGATATTATGATAAAATGATGTATTAAGATTAATAATTTAACAGGACAGTCAGTTTTACTGAATACCGTTCTATACGCTTGTTGCGATTCTTCGTCGAAAACTTTTTTTCAAATAAGAAAAACACATGTAAAAAGAATGGTACAGTTATAAATTTTGTTGTTCTGAAGATTTATCTTAAGATAAATATAGCGTTAGCAGTACTTCTCCTTATGAAAACCACAGTGAGTTTCGGCTGTTTTATACCCCCTTATCTGGGTAGATGGGTGTTAATAATATTATAAGCTAGTCTCCCTAGCTATTTAGAGAAGAGAAGAGTAAAGTGAAGTTATAAAAGAATAAAAATAATCTGTAAATGATAGTAATATTTACAAATGATAGTACTTAATATTTTTTTAAAAAACCATCCATTTTGACCACTAATGCATCTACTATATCTTAAGATGGAATTTGACGGATTTTTTTTAATGATATTTATGAGAATTTTTAATAAAGCGATAGCAAAATTTATATGATCAGTTATCACTTATATTTTTCAACATTACAATATTTCTTCCATAACTGCATGGTTGATAGCATCGACATATACTAATGGATACGCCTTACGTGTATAATCTGCACTAATTTTTTGGTTTGAAAAGAGTAAGAGAGATGGCCTAAGCTTTCGGTCTAGCACTATCTCTTTAATTAATTTAATCGTATAATTCATACGCCATTAATACTAATAATGCTAAAAATCAGAGAAAGTGAGGTTAAACGGAAAGCTGTATATGAAATTAGGAAATAATAAATTATCCAGAAGGGGCTCATAACGTCTTAAGTACGGTACTATTTTGAGAGAGATAAAGATAGACCGAAACTTCGTTTCCTCTCTTTCTGTGCAACAATTCTCATCTCTAAGGTATGTCCATTAGTATATGTCGATGGTTGATAGTTAAAACATTTCACGCTATAATGATAGATCCTAAAATTGGAACAGTGTAATGAACTTTTTTAGAGGCAACGCGCATTAAACTCAAATGTTGCCACTTATTATCTATGTATATCGGGTTAATGAAATAACTAGCCTTTATTTAATTTTTATATGTGATTAAATCTTTAAACCTTATTGAATTATAAACGCTATGGAAATCGAACGACAATCTATAACTTCATTTAACGAACAATAATTAATTCTGTCATATCTCTCTGGACTTTGATTGCTCTGTGCCGCACTGCGATAATGATTTTCATCATTCACAAAGCCGGTTAATAACAAAAACAGAAAATCATTCTGCAGAATAGGAATATAATTAAATTAAATTGTTTATAAATTATTTATGACACAATGAAAAAATATTTCTATTGATAATTAATAAATTTGATAAAGCTGAGTAAACAATGAAAAATTTCTGTAAAAATGATATAAGATATTGATATAATGTGACGTTTTTATTATAAACTACCTGTTACCCGCGGCTCCATCTGTGTGAAAAAAAACATTTTATAAACTTTTAAGAGCTGACTATGCCTACGGACAAGAAAAAAAACAAATCAATTTTTCGAAATCCTAAACTAATGAAAAGTATCTGATTGCTTATTACGTAACTAGCTTTTGCCGCGGCTTCGTCCGCGTGGAATAGTTACTTCCAACAGGTTCTTCCCACATAGTTCCCGTTCTTGCGGGGTTTTCGGAATGATCGAGTTCCCGTAGAATTTTCAGGATGAAACCTATGTTTTTTTTTTAATTAATAATGAAGTACTCTTAACCAATAACATATTTATTTGTTTATATGAATAAAGATTAATATTATTATTTTGATACAACTTAAATAAATTATTTCGACAAAATTAGGTACCATAAAAACGGTTTTTGTGAGTTAATCTTAAGAGATAGACATATACTGTCGGGGACTGTTTTTTAGATCATAAAAAGAGCTATTTTTCTTTAATACATATTTTTTGTGTATCTTGAACCGTTTTCACGGCGCACGCAACGGAAGGCTTCAAAGATGAAATAATTTCTCCCGTTTTTTACACATTTACCACTATATCTTTGCTCCTATTAATCGTAGCGTGATGTTATATAGCTCACAGCCTTCCTCGATAACTGGACTATCCAACATAAAAAGAATTATTCAATTCGAACCAGTAGTTTAGGAGATTAGCGCTTTCAAACAAACAAACAAACAAACAAACAAACAAACAAACAAACAAACTCTTGAGCTTTATAATATTAGTATAGATTACATAAGTATGTAACTAAACTGAATGAAACTGACAAAATCTATCAAGGTGTTTTATAGAGTTAAATACTTCTACTAATATAATGGACTTATTTTTTGTACCCTTTCTAAAGTTGTAAAAACTGTAAGTAAACATTTATATATAGACACTCAAAAACTATTAAAAAGAAATGCTTATGCTGAGGTAACCAAAAAAAGCAGATTCGTTGGAGTACAATAAATTAAAGTTCTCAAAAGACCGATGACGTCGCTTGCCCTTCACGCATCTGTCTGTTCAGGTAAGCATAGTTAGTGTTCCCTATTCCGTGTTACCCGCTCCTTGCTCACTACTAGCCACTAGTGACGCATGTGACCTATATCTCACTCGGTGAATTTCGGTATCTGGATAAGAGGTAGCCCATGTCCATCCATCTTCAGAGTGGCTATTAACCACAGAAACACGTGTTTCTCAAAATATTGACTTTTACAGAAGACAACTTTCCGTCTCTTTTAATTTGGACAGAGCGTATCGCGTTTTCATCATTGGAGTCTCTTGTTGAGTTGAATTGATTGCTATGTGTCAAACCTATTGAATAAAAGGCAAAGTAAGTAAGTACAACCATACATACAGTAGTAATTGTGGCTCCTCTAATTCCATACTTTAAAAAAAATGTCGTTCTGCCGAAAAAATTTTAACAAATTTAACTCTACATTTTGTTACATTCCTAGAGTCTGATTTTATAAGGCCACGATCCATTTTTATATAAAATAAAAGCGTGTTACAATAATTGATATACCCTTAAAATAATTTTTACAACTACAATATCAAATAAGTTCTTATAAAAGGAGTGACGTCACCACGCGCTGATTGGAGTTTTAAAAAACGTTTTGTTTCAAGCAATTTTTAATTTGTAATTAAGTATAGCTAAAAATAATATTTTCCACTTTTCAATATTTTATATATTTTTGAGCAATCATAAATATTATATTTACAACTTTTGTACTGGTCCCTCGATTATAAGTGTATTTATATCAAAACTCCTTGAAGTATCGTCGTATGAAAAGTTTTAAACTCTTATCAAAGGTTTTACTAATGTCATGCCCTTCTTGTCTTAACAATATATGTGATAACCAAAAAAAACAAACATTACAATTGATCATAAATAGCAAAATTATTAGTTTAAATTATGTGAGAATTTAAGAAATATTAAAAAAACAGAAACGAAAATGAGAAATTGAGCTAAAGATGTCCGTTAAAGCCAAATCACCCAATGTTACAATAGGAGGGAAAAGTTACAAAAAATCTACCATATTGGCTGATGTAAACATTCCTTATAAGTTTTCTATTGACAGGAATAACAATATTTTGTTCTTCTGTATCAATGCGGATGAGTTTTCCGATCAAAGTTTTCAAAGTGTCGAATTAAATCTATATTCAGGATGTGCGAAAATCGTTCCGAGTATTCGTAATGGCTTCGCTAGTGCTGTAGATCAAACGAACGGTATCGTATATCTTGGTGGGAGCGATGGTGTTTATAAGTACGATTATCAAACACATGACATACGAAAACCGGCAATCATAAAAGGTATTGATGTTTTCGATATGTTTTACAAAGATTGCCTATATTTTGTCGATACAACTAATCTTGATCTATTCTCATTGAAAAACGGTCAAAAATCTATTGTATCTACAGTAGAAGAGTATGGAGTTCACCATTGTGCTGTTGATGGAAATGATAATTTAATTGTTGCTAACCCCAGTGGTTTGTTTTATTTACCTAAGGGATCGAAATCACCGGAAAGGATTGGCAATAATGTGGGTAACATTCGAGGAATAACAACAGACGCGAAAGGAGAACCGTATTTAATAGCACAGGACGGCATTTATTCGATTGATTGTATTGATAATCAAATAAAAAATATATTGACGTTGGACAATGGATATGGTTTAGCGTTTGATAAAAACAACATGATTGTGTATGGCGATGAGAGATGCGTTGCAAAACTAGTACCTTGGGATGCAAATGATTAGTAGTAAAATAAATTTATATGCTTAACAAAATAACCATATAACTAAATCGTCATTGAAATTTTTACATAAATATTATCAAACTAGAATCAATCAGTCGTCAATAAATATTTATTTACTTGAAATATTTGAAATCTTTTATTTTGTAACTCATCAAATGCTTAGTGGTAGAGCAAGTATTGTTCAATATACTAATGATGATTTATGAATCCAGATGTTACAAGAATGCTAGAATATATATACATAGTATATACATGATGTAACTGAAAATGAAATATAACTATCATATGACAGTCACCCTTATATGTACTATTTCTATGTATTATTGTTCAAATGTAATATTGTTTTAAAGATTTTTCAAATTCTTTAGGATTCTTTAAATAGGTAAGTACCAAGAGGAAAGAAAAGCTATGAACTATGATAATCGGTATTATAAGCGGCGGATGTCGTTATCAATACGGATGTTGTTGAATTATAATTTCATTAATTGCAAAATCATTGTTTATCATAAGGATTAATCGTTTAAATACTAGATAACTTATTTGGATTAATGTTAAATATTATTTAGCAAGTAGGTCGGAGTTGAAATTTAAAGTAAAATTAACTTTACTTTAATACAGTTCTGAGATGAAGAGATTTAAACGGTGAAGTATTTAGAAATTCTACAAAAAAAGAAACTTAATAAAACGTACTACTTATATTGCAAAAAAAATACACGGATATGAAGTAGTGTTTTAGAATTTTACATTACATTATTACACGGATATGAAGTAGTGTTTTAGAATATGTAAGAATGTAACCTGTAAGATAATAACGCCTTTACAGAATAGTACCCATAATAATTATTTACTTGGCAAATTATATAAACATTTATATATAAAGTACAAATATAGTAAAACCTTTTCAGGAAAAAAAATATCTACAGAATAAAGCAGGAAGTATAAAATAATGTCATATAACCTGTACAAGGGACTTCTGTCAAATATGTTTTTAATATTCCATATTATGTATTAGGAATTATCGATAACATTTTTATGCTAATTAAAATACGGATATATCTGGTAATTTATACTTCAAAATCATTTATTATCTTGTTATTTTTTGTACCTATCCTAATATTTATCATTATCGACATCTTCGTTTATCGCCACACGATATAAAACTAAAACATATTCTTCTTTACGTCAATGAATATTAAATTAATTATACAAGTGTATATACGCATTTTGATAAAAGAAGGGCCTTAAATATATTTTTTTAGCACTACGTCTATTGAATGTAACTAAGTTTTTCTAATATTGTTTTTTTTTTTGTTTTATTACCACATAATCTCGACGTTTCGGTGACTTTACAGTAACTGTGATCTGCTTGTGTATTTGTTTATTAAACAATTTCTTTTAAATATGTTGAGTTCTTTTGTTTGCACTCAATATGGTTTTGATAATAAATATGTTTCTTTTGAGGAAGAAAGAAAAAATAGGCTGTGACATTGAAATGATTATTTATAGATAAAACACATTACTAAAGAATATGTATAGTTAAAAAAACCCAAACAACACGCTTTTATTGCATACTATCAAATTAAAAAGTGTAAAATAATTTTCCCTATAGACAGAAAATAATAATATGAACAAAAAATATTAATATTATTGCGACATAAGTGTGAGGTGCTTTGACTAAAAATATGACACAAAGCACCGTACTATATATAGCATAAGAATATAGGTACCTTATTTTAGCATAAGAAAGTATTTACCTATCCACGCGTTTGTGTATGCTAAGTGCCTGACTAGTACCAACCCTCTTACTTTCACGTAAAGGATGCGAAAAGAAATTTATGAATCCTGAAAACTCTAATCAGGATAATGAGATAATTCAATCGAATTATTGCATTGTCACTGGTAATTGTTAGGTGAACAAAGTTTAAAAAAATCAGATTGCTAGAAGGAATGTAAAATCGAGCCCAAAGACTTTGAATACATACAAGTGAACCTTATAAAAGAGAGTTAATTACATACGTCAATTGATGCCATTTTATCTAAAGATAAGTTTGTGGCAGAAATCTACATACAAACTAGACTATTTTTATTAATGTCATAATCAGAAATATTTGTTTCAAACCACTGACAAAACAAATTTATTGAGGAGCCAAAGGAAATACGAAATTCGATAGAAAGCCAATAGAGTATATGCCCTTAAGTTTGCTGTATAATTTATATTAAGAACAATAAGTCATAAATTATTATTAATATCGACAGAAGAGTAATAGTAAAATGGTTCTAGAAACATCGTGAAAAGATTTTTGTATTACACATTTTTGCATTCTGAAATTTTATATTATCTGAAATAGTGTCTATAAAAATAAAACAAATGCTGAGAATAAACAGTAAGATCAGTTCTTGGTCATAATATACTCGTATATGTTGTATGTACGTATGTGTATGTATTTATCAAAAGAAATGTATGTATTAAATGGAAGTTTATGATTTATTTTAATATCCAAGCAGGTGTATATAAACTTGATTATAACTTTGGCTTGTCAAACACTGGACAAACAAAGAGAAGCTTCGGCACAAGGGTAAAAGAACATATGTCGGAAATAACAAGACTAACCGAAAGACAATTTCATCTCTTCTTCCCGAGAACATGAATGCTGTATTATGTAAATTTACAAAAAGCCTAGTATACGAAAAATGAATCTATTCGACGAGATGTGTCATTCGCATCTCGTCTGCCCGTGATCACGGTTACTGAAAAGTAGCCGGACCGTAGGGAGCATGTAGTTTATAGTCAAAAATAGAAAATCGCGTAGTAAATCCGAAAACATTGTTTTCATTTAAATTAGTAGTAGCGAAAATCTTAGATCTCATTATGAATCTAATAATTTAATCTAATGATATTTTTTAAGTCTTAATCAAATTATTAAGATGCATGGTAATTATTTGGAATTATTAGTTTGTACACAAATTCATACAATACAATTAACTCAATAATGATTATCCTAAACATTTTTAAAGGTTCACTATGTAAATACAACAGTGCAAGAATTTTTTTAATGCCTGGAAAAAATGCCTTTAAAAAACCATGGAGGCGAACAAAAAAATAATTTGATTTTGGTCGTGTTCTATATTGCATTTAGAAACATATTAAAAATTTAGTCATTATATTGACAGAACAAAAAAAATATGCTAAGAATGAGTAATCAGAATCGAGTAAAAATCTCTTTTAACTGTACATAATATGAACATCTTATGGTGGGAAAAAAAGTGGGAATTTTCATAAATACTGATAAAAAAACTAAATTAACTATACACAGTATCGAAAATGACTTTTATGAGGACGCTTCCCTAAGTAATGAACATAAAACGTAGGATATTGACAAGTATAAATGGTGGTGAAATTCTAAAATACTACAATATTACATATGAAAAATGAAAATATTTAATTATGTAAAAAATAATATACTACAACATTTGTTTATTTATATGACTTTACTTTGAGGCCGCTAATTAATGCCATAAAACTTCTGTAAAGGAAGAAAAGATTAACGAAGATCCGATGTCAAGATACAGATAACATTTTTATTGATGATGGATAATAACAGAAGTGTATTGAACAATGTTAATATATTATACAATCTAGAGATCAGTCAAGGACTAATTAAAATATGTGCTAATAAATTTATAAAACATATGTATTTTAATTGTATACTAGCAAAATAATCCTCTAAGTCAACATGAAGATGAAGAAAGGAATTTTTATATGTCCACATTTTTTCATAAAAATTATCTTATTTCTAGGAAGTTGAAAAATGCCTCTTTCTTTACTCTTGTACTTTTCACTTGTGTATCTACATTGGCACTTCTATTTTTATTTTTTTTTATTTTTAAATATTGCTGAAATGAAATAACATACATATGTACTATGTTATTGAAATTTGATCTTTAAAAAAAATGAATGATTCGGTATATTCTATTCTTTAAATTTTTATCAGTCCACACTAAACCTTATGTTACATTAGCTCATACAGCAAGGGAGAAAGCTTCAATGCTCACTTCTCTGTTTGAGTAAATTTTGTCCTGACTATAACAATCGTACACCACCTTGCCTACCTGTGGTTGTATGTGGTTCCTTTATTGCGTAAAACACTTCTTAGTCTTGTCGTGAGCAAACCTAGTGGCCCAGATAGTATTTAGAAATGGTACTAAAAAAAATTGAATCCGAGTTTTCTACTGTTTTGGGTATGATTGTACAGCCTCGCTTTTATGACTAGCACATACATACATACATAGTAGTATCTATGTATGTATGTATTGGAAGTTTGTCAACATGGTTTTTGTGGCGATGAAAGGAAGCAAAGCAGATCTTGTTAAGTATCGTCTGATTTCAATTACGTCTATAATTTGTAAGATTGTGGAACGGATGCCTTCTGACATACTTAAAAGACATTGGAACAGTTTTGCGTCTGTGTTTCCTTCAAGTTATAATTCTTCAAATAAGGTAAATACTAATACTGAAATAGTGCATTCCCCACGTTTGACGTTATTTCTACCTTCCAACGTATCGAACGACAGTCAAGCACTAGCTGGTTGCAATTAACACAAAAAATATAAATCCTATGAAAGGTGACAGTCTGATACAATCATGATGAATATATGTATGACTCATTTATTTAAGTTTATGTGATAATGATCTATCACAAAAAATATCTGCTGAAACGAATGTTTGCTAATATATTTTGATTATAATATTACTTTATGTTTTTCTGTTACTTATTTTAACAACCTTTTTTGTGACACACTCAAAGCTGGAGATAACACTGAATTAGTCTTCCTTTAAAAAGAATTTTTGTATTATTAGGTAACTACTTAGCAGGATTACTTCTGATAAGAAAAACCCTATATGATAATCAAAGAATCTGTAGTATTTTATGGTTATGTAATTTAAGTTATTATCTATGAGTAATTGACTTTTTCATAATAAATTTAATTTTCATTTCCCGTTTTTTAACAAATTTCTTGATCTCTTGAATTGCCATACCAAATTAATATATTGAATATTTGTAATGATTTTATTTTGCAATAAAAATATACCCAAAATAGGGTAGAAAAATCACCAGTCCCAATTATGAATGGAGAATAATATCCATTCATATTTGTTATTTCTAATATTTTGCGTAATATTTTAATGAGATGTAAAAATATGATAACTTACTATCTGATATGATTTATGTTATCTTTGTAATATATATATAACAATAACGCAAATTTTTTGTTATTCAACGTGCTATCAAAATGTTGACAAGAGTTATAGCATTTTTTACTCTTACCGTTTTGGTGTCGGCGGGTAGGTCGCCTAATGCCGATTATATTGAGGAGTTAGTGAAAGCCAACGCTTTCGGACCTTACATCTCAGATAATGTTTTAGAAGACGCCACTCTTGATCTCGTGAGTAAAATTGAGTATTAGCTTAAGTTAAAGAGCTAAACTATGAGAAAAACGTTAATATTTACCATCCTTTTATATTTATTATTAAAAGAGTCAAATATCTGTTTTTGCAGAAGGATTTAGTGCGCAAGTACAACTATCCTTTTGAAGAATATAATGTGATTACTGAAGACGGATATGTTTTGGGACTGCACCGTATTCCTCATGGCCGGGATAGGAACAACAGCCCAGGGAACAAGCCAGTGGTATTCCTTATGCATGGATTATTGTCATCTTCCGCAGAAAACGTTTTTATGGGACCCGGAAGTGGTTTGGGTTAGTATTTATAAGCATCATATAACAATTGCTCAAATACGTGAAGTTTGTTTAGAAAAGTTATTAATGAGGATAATTTTATTTTATTGCAGCCTACATTCTAGCTGAAGAAGGCTATGATGTTTGGATGGGTAATGCACGTGGAACACATTTTTCAAGAAGAAATTTGCTTTTAAACCCTGATGATCGTACTAACACTATTTTCTGGAGATTCTCTTGGGATGATATCGGTTCTAAGGACTTGCCAGCTATGATCGACTTCACACTGTCACATACAAAGCAGGAAAAATTGCATTATGTGGGATTTTCTCAGGGCACTACATCTTTTTGGGTGTTGGCTTCTTTGAAACCCGAGTATAATAAGAAAATCATTTCAATGCAAGCGATGGCACCCGTCGCATACATGGCTAATAATAACATTGGTTTATTTAAAATTTTGGCTCCTTATTCAAAACAAGTGACTGTAAGTAATAAAATTTTATGATTCTTTAATACTCACCAACTTATTTCTATAAAATGTGTATTCATTTCAAAATTTCTCGCTTTTATTTGTAATTAATATATTTCAGGACCTACTGGCATCGATTGGCATCAATGAGATATTTCCCAGAAGTAAAGTTATAACAAGTATTGGACAACTTTTTTGCAGTGATGGTAGACCAACACAGTTTATATGCGCTGAATTTTTATACGTAATAGCAGGGAAGAATCCAGATCAGCTTAATATGGTAAATATGATTAAACAAAATTTATAATTTTCTTTCTATGAATAAATAACAATTTTTTTTTATTAATTAATCTAACAGACTATGCTGCCGGTGTTAATGGGACATTTGCCAGGGGGTGCCGCTATGAGGCAACTGACTCACTATCTCCAGTCAATAGATGGAAAGGAGTTTAGACGTTATGATCACGGAGCAGTTTTAAACCTTTTAGAGTATGGTTCAATAACTCCGCCACGATATGACTTATCAAAAGTCGACGCTCCAGTTTTCTTACATTACTCCCAAGCTGATCCTTTAGCCGAAGTGCCAGATGTGGAGAGATTATATTCAGAGTTAGGAAACGTTTTAGGAAAATATAGAATTGAACAACCGACCTTTAGTCACATTGACTTCGTTTGGGGAATTGACGCCAAAACATTGGTATTTAATAGACTTATTAATGCAATGAAGTCAATGGACTAGATGGAGAATGGAGTAGTAGGATATAAGTAGAAAACACAATTAAACTAGGTATCTATATTAAATTATAGCATGTATTTAGTAATAAAAAAATAACATGTGCTTATACATTGACGTGAATTCTTGTTGTATGTTTACCTAATGTCTAGGCCAACATACAACAATAATAGTCATTTAAGACATTCCGTACCTCTTTTAGATGTAGTGTTTATAGTTTTAAATAAATCTTATTTATAATAAATGGAGTGTGTTTTATTTTACTTACATATTATATTTAACACATAGTGAACTTTATTTCTACGAACAATAAGTTGTTGTTTTCGAAAACATTCTTCTGATAAAATCTAAAACAAAATATGAAGATAATGCTATTGTAATATTTGTTAAATTGAATTTACTAATTATTTCACTGTTTAATATCACGAATATAGGAAGAACTTTAATAGTAATACTATACTAATATTTACAGATTTATTATTAAAAAGAGACGTAGACATTTTTAAACCAATTAAATAATACATACAGTAAACAAAATCATAAACAATACTTATAAAGTTCCATCCGTTAAAGAATCTTGTTTAATTCTCATTATATTACCATCTTTATCAAACAATGTCTCTACGTTTGACGTCTACTCATTTAAATATATTGTAGATCCTCAATATTAAAAAAATGCTTAATATATATGTATATCAGGCCGGCCAAACTATTTTATGCCTTATTTATTTTCAGTGTCAACGTTAAATGGGATTGTTAATGTCATTAAGACCTATGAAGTGTCTTCTTCATTCGACTCCATATTTTAAAAAACCAACCAAGACCTATGAGATCAATCGTTTCTTTTCTGTATAAAGTTAAATCTCCATATACTCGTAAATTGTTAGAATACATGTTAGCAGGTGTATCGTGCAAAATCCTAAAATAACTGATCAGTGAATGGTACTCATCGTTAGGAATTCGAAGCAAGGACATAATCCGACCATAATTTACCTCGAAATAACTACCACCTGGCTGAAACGTCATTCGTTTTAGTGTGAGATTGCAATTGCATTGAAACTTGCACATTTACCCTAAAATATATCATACATTGCAATTTCTATTATGAGCATGGTTTAATAAGACTGATCTTCTTTAAACCTTTTGATTTTTAGGACAGCAAGCATTTATTAGAAAATTTATCTACATTTGTATTTAATTTTCTTATAAAATGTATCTATATTTTGCAATAAATGAGAGCATAAGGAAAAGTAAGGTCCTTTACATCCAATCAGATTATGAAATTAACTCAATTGTCCCTTTATTACACATCCATGTTCTTGGTCGACTAGAAATGAATTATTGTCGTCATATTGTTAGTAATGAAAGAGTATTCTAAGTCTTATATGCCGCGATATACATTACTTAAACGATGGAGAATATAAATACTACTTCACAAAGGTAATTTTGCCATTATCTAAGAGGAGCAACATTTATTGCGTGGCCAAGAATCGTGTAAATGATTCAATTTGTACCAATAACCAAACACCAAGATACACAGTACTTCTCTCTTAATATGTAGTAGGAAAGAGCCAGGTTGAATAGCAGCCTTCTACGGCGTATAACACTTATAAAGTATCCAAATTCCCAACAGTTCAGCCAGGTACTGGTTTAAATATAACTAACATAATACAAAAAAGCTTTTATGTGTAATGAGCACTGTTAAAACTGGATGAAAAACCAATCAGCCAAACTTGTATTTATTCAATAGTGATAATAAACCGTGTGGTAGGAATATAAGGGTGGTATGAAATGAAAATCTGTACACATTTATATAATTTATTGTTTTTTTTTATTCAGTGGCTAAAGCAAAAGAAAGTTTGTATTACACTATATTTCATTAAAGCTATTAACATGTAAGTAAAGTTTTGTAAACACATCGATCACTATTCATCAAATAATACAGACATTGGTATTCTACTCCACGGTCAAGATACACAGAATGTTAAATGTAACACTAGATAAATGGAATGAAACTTTGGTGCGTTAAAAGTATTTCTACGTACATATATATGCAGTTTTATATTTAAATTCCTCATGAGCATATTTTCGTCGGAAATTCTTCTCATATTTCGAATATAAATCTTTACGTTTCAACAGTATTCCCTGTCACAGTTAGGATATAGATATTATATAGGTATACGTTTACTCGCGTCTTAAAAAGGTTGACAATATTTTTAAGAAATCCAAAGGTTTACTATATCTGTATAAAAATAATCATAATTGGCAATATAATATAAAATATATGTTTATATTTAAATGCTTGTAAAGTATTTATTTATAGCTTAATATAAGTAATTGACGTTTGGCATGGTCTATTATGATTTTTTTACCGAAATAATTTCTTGTAAGGAATTCTTTTAATAAACAAAGCTCAGTGATATGGTTAGTTTTTTAGGGATATGGTTATTATTAAAATACGATAGAAAAAGCCGTTAGCTGTATTTAGCGATCAAATTCTACTCACAATTGAATATACAGGCGAGTATCAAAAAGCTTAACACCACGCGATAATTTCGCAACACTACTGTATAGATAAAATACTTGACACATCTTGGATTTCATTTACCAAAGACAAAAATATACGAATCATATCAAAATGAATTTAATATAAGAAATTTATTTTATGATATAATAAAATATATAAAGCTGGGATAAAAAATGTCTTAATGTAAAATTGAAAATATGTTTTTATAAAAATCTTTAGTAATATCCAAATTCATACTAAAAATAGCCTTATTTTTCACAAATTTTATATAATGTATTTAAAAAAAATCAAACGTTCATCGATACGAATATATTAAAAATTATCATTTGAGAAATCTAATTAAAACAATTAAATATATTTTGTTTAAAAAATCCAAGACAACTTGAAGAGATATATTCATTTATATAACACGATATATTTTACAAATATCAATTATCTACTTATACAATAAACATCAATACATCAATAAACTTGTATACACAGTGAACGAAGTCACGTACACTTATAAAATTTCAAATATGCATTATATTAAACCTAACAATGAAAATCAGTCGTCACAGACTAGGTTAGAAAAACACGATAGTGGTAAGTGTCAAGGTGAAGCTCTCCTTAAAGCTTTGTAAGTGCGGCACAAAGGTATTCGCGTCAAATAATATTGGTGAAGAAAAAACCTAAAGAATGTAACTAACGGGGGAAATAAGGAAAATTTATGCGTCAAAAAAATATCTAGAATGGTATGGTTGCGACCGCATAAATCGTGCTACGTGTGTGAGATACATACTAGAGTCGGTTATACAAAAATAATAGCTAACAACAAGTCTTAAAGTATTTGGTCGGGAGTTTCTACTAGAGATTAACAACTAGGGACATAAGCTCCGAAGGTGCATGCTATACACGTACTTAGAGTAAGATACATAGTTGAAAGTTTACATAATATTCTCTCACAAATACAAGAATAACACAGTCTTTGTAATACAATTTACATTAATACTGACGTGTCGTAAAATCTTAATAAAATTTTATTTTAAATGTAAATAATAATATACTCTTGTATAAACTTAATTTGTTTAATATAAATATATTGAATTTTTTTAATATATATATTTTGTATATTGTCGAGATTTAAATGGACGTGTGTAGATAAGTAATGAAATGAAATGTAAAAGGAAAATTTAAATAAGATAACACGTTACTGTTCTGCGAAACGCAACTTTTGTTTCTTGACGAAATCCATAGCCAATTTGTCCAATGTCCTTGTCTCCAATATTTGTAGAATAGGATGACCTAAAATATAGTACATTAAAAGATAACTTTAATATTGAGGTTGATTTTTATTTTTGGGTCTTCAGCTAAACATTTAAAAGTAAAACTTAAGAGACGTTATGTATATTAAATTGAATCTGAATGTTGAATAACTTAGTCCCAAGGAGTGCTCTTAAAGAAAAACTTTATTGTATAGCACTGTGACAAATTTTTATAGACACTAGCAAAGATTTTTCTTCTTATAAATAAAATGAATCCTCTTTGATTTATAATGAAAGAAGTTAAAGTTGTTTTGTTATAAGGTGTAACATTTATATTGTGATTTTTCTATTGATATAAAAACTCGTAAATATGAACTTTTGACGAAGATAAATTATTAATATTATATCTTCTACCTGGCAATTTCCCAGCTATAGCCAGAGTCTGCCTTACATGTTGTGAATAGTTTTTGGCTATTTGTTTTTTACGACCGGCCGCCTGCCTGACATCAACCCTCTTTTGGGAATCAACATTAATCAGTGATGTCTAAATACTCTTAGAAAGTACATTTGATTCGGAAAAATCACATTGGTACTTGCCCGGGCCAGGATCGAACCCGCGCCTTCGGCGACGAGAGGCGGGCCTTTTAACCACTGAGCCACCACTGACTCTTATTAATACATATTATATATATATAGGTACAAAACGTTAAATTTTATTTAGCGTTACGATCTACATATACATATATATGTACAAACATATTTTTTCTCTTTTGCATATTATTGAATCTATTCCACGTGAAATGCATTCCAGTATCCTGGATATAGACTGTGATCTAATTTAATAGACGTACCAGGAATGAGACACAACTCTATTAGTGTCAGACAAGGCTGGCGGAATTCACTTTATTCAATGACAATGACATTAAATCTAGTTGAACATTATATTCAGTTCTTTTTATTTTTTAAATGATATGATGATAACTGTAAAATAATTGAATTCATTATAAAATAATACCAAGACGAGATACCAAATGAATACATATACTTATACGTATATCGATTATTCAGCCGAACGATTTTAGTTCTTAAGTCGAGATACATAATGACAAAATTACTTGTCATTACTTACATCCAAGTGCACGACTTTAGTTATCGAGCGTGTAACGTCGGTAGACATAATGATCGAATTACTTGTCATTACATTACTTACATCGGTCATGCAGCTGCATTAATGGTAGTTCGAGAGCCCGCAATGGATCAGGGGGCGCGTGTGAATGAACACCCGGCATGCGGCATAGGGATACAAACGCCTCGCCAGCGAAGTCATCAGCAGTCAGCACGTCCCGGTCCCACACTGATAATGCCAGTGCCGCCTGCTGGCTGCGGCATGCCTCCAGAGATACGTCGAACTCGAAGCACTCCTCCCACACCGGATTTAGGGTTTTCTGAGGTTGTTTTGCTAACATTGTACTTCATGTATGATCGTTATGATAAAATATGCAACTGCTATTACTTTAATTTTTTTTTTAGAAATTTTATCTCTGACTTTTTAATCTAAAAGTAAACTGAAGGCAGGTTTGTGTTTACATTCTGTGACTGCAATACATTATTGCCGATAATTACTCTATGAACTAGAAAGGCTGCAATCATCTAAATTCAGTGTCTGTTAATCAAATTTGTTAATTAAGTGAGTATACCTTTTGAACTTTCGTGACCTGCTCCTGTGTTTTAGGGAAGAGTCTTTTAGGTAGAAGTTCAAGGACAACGAAGGGATCGCTCAAGCCGTTTGGATCGAGCGGGATCACGTCCCGAGCAGACAACACTTCCACGCACAGAGAGTCGTGGTTGAAGTAAACTCTGTCCCAATAATACAATGAAAGCAATGAGATTATTTAATTTGAACCTTTATATCTCATGCACGCGGATTTTGCATTGTTTATAAAGATCTTTAGATGACCATGAAGTGATAGCTGTATCATGATCCGATGATTGTATTAATAAATAAAGGTAGAGGCGTATTATTCTAAAAAGAGAATGACTTGAAACAAACAATAAATAAAGATAATAATATATATAATTGTCATTTGTTGTTTTTTTATACTTTGAATAAATATATAATAACATTAACTTTGGTTCTTAATTTAGTAAGAAGTGATTTAAAATTGATATTCCGCTTCGACCGTATTTAGAACCCAAACTATTATAAAACACGAACTCCCGTTAATTACTGTTTGAGATCACTTGAATAAACTGCCGTTACCCGACAAAAGGGGTTTGGATGTGGAGTTACAATTTAATTATAGTGTATTTAACTCTTTGATCTTTTTGAATATAGATCAGATATATAATATAAATGTATTTTAATTTAGAAAATATTTTAATTCAAAGTTTATTGTACCTGACAAGTATCGATCCGTACGGCGAAGGCATTGGTGTCCTTGATTGATCCAATAAACGATCTGCTAGCCACAATTCCAACAACTCTTCAGTGGGAGCCTGGTGATATTGCATCCTTTGTTCAACACGCCCCCACTCATTATTATGCACTTCGGACATAGGCAGACCTATAGATTATTGTTAGGATTTGAAAACAGATTACTTATCTTATATGTATGAATTTATTACTTAAATTATAATATATTATCAAAACGTTGAAAGGGAGAGTACTTTTAATTATTCAATTTAGTATGATCAGGTATTAAAGTGATTATTCCAGTAAACATTGGATGTTATAAAATTTAATAATTTGTGTAACAGATGACGAAAATTACAAGACTTTGTATTCTATATTATTATCATTATTATAAATTAAATTCCGACAGTGACGTCTATTAAAACTTACGTAAGATCTAGAACTTTTATGAAGAACGAGAATTTTGAATGTTATGACAACATTTAAATAGAAGATTTTTTATTAACCTGATATTGTTTGTAAAAAGGCAATTAGACTTTTATTCAAAAAAGACTCAATGGTATAAATTGCATCTATGTATATAATGACGTCACTTTACCGCAATGTATGTTTTATACGTATGTATAAAATAAATTATAAAGTTATCACGAAATCGTAAATGGAGTGTGGTTGGTGGTTAATTAATATTTTTTTGATAGAACCTTTGCCTTCTGCGTGAAAGAATTCCGCCAACAAATCAAGTGCCTCTCTCAGTCTGTGATGGTACACGCGAGGCTTCTCTGCTCCTCCTGCATCAGCCTGAGAGGAGACTTCCTTCAGCACGGCGCTCCAGCAACCAGCTAGCGCTCGGCAGAAAGCACGTGGAAGCAACCAGGTGTTGAGAGATGATAGGTGCTGATCAAGAAACTCCAGCAGCGGCGCAATAGCCTGTTTTTATGAAACTAGTTGTAGCTATATGTAAATAAAGCATTAAGATAATACTAGTACTCCAAATTTTAAATATGCCCATATTAATACACGATATCTGTATAAATGGGTGTCATACTTTTTTTAAATCACAGTACCATATATTTTTTAATTACAGTTCGATGTAAATGCAGCCAAAAATAAGGTGCAATCAAAATATTATCGTTTATAAAAAAAGTTATAATTTCTCCTCGAATTTAAAGTCACACAATATCCCGCAAGAACCAAGTTCAATAAAAACTTTCAGAACTGCTCTATGTAAGGTTCAGTTTCTTAATAAAATAAATTAAATTATAAAGTAAGTTTTATAATGTCTTACTATATAACATTCGAATCACCTTCTTTATAGCTTTGTTTGAGTATAGTTAATAACATAGACTGAAAATTATTCAATTATTATAATATTAATTCTTTCAAAATTTTTACTATAGATCTTTTTTTTTACCTTGGGAGACAAATAACAATCAAGGTTTTGAATGACAAGCTGGTGTTAAAAGTGGTAAATGCCACCTGGGATAAGACAATTTTGATTTCAAGTCTATAGGGACAGAGGCTGTTAAAGTTAAAATAACGTATTTTACAACTTTAACTTACCTATACTTCCGTTACACGATATAAAATAACAATGCCAGACGTTTTTACATTGAGACTGGACAGTATATGACTACCATACCAGCCGTGGCGTTGGTGGGTGAAAATGAAGTCGTAGATAGTGAATGTACTATCTCAGTACCAGTCTATTCTCCCTTTTATTGAAGACGCCCAAATTATAATTCGAAGGAAAGACAGACTCAGGCAAACTATTCCAATCCCTTACTATGCGTATTAGGAAGTAGGAAGTAAATCACTTCATTTGGATGGGAAGGAGATCTTTAACGGAAGGATGGAAGCCTATCATTCATCTGGTTTTCTGATGATAGATTATTAAATTATCACTAGTTGTTAATAAATTTGAAATCGAAATAAATCCAGTCTAATTTCTATGTAACTTTTGATAAATAAATCCTAAAAGACAGTAAGAAATTTTGCTTAATGCAGATTACATTTACTTTTAAGTGATTCAACTTTATTATTAATCTACAGTTAATACATTATTTATGAGGTAATATAAAAAGATAAGCCTTATGTAGCCTTAAATCTAAAAGAGGTCTAGAGGATATTTCATAAAAAGTCTTTATTATCGTCTTTCAATACGAAGAGTAGTGTGCGTATGGTTTTATGTAAGGTAATATTGAAGATTGCTGTTACTTATTGGGACATTAAATATACGGGTCTGTATAGATCCTCACTATTAAAATATAGTTTTCATTAGATTTATTTCTTTTATATTGAAGTTGTTAAGGTTTAATTATAACCAGTCCATTAATTATCTAAGTTTGACGAGACAACGAGAAAGAAAAATTTTCTCATTTCTCACATTTCACTCATCAATAGGCTACGCTTAAATTATAAATCTTAGTGTCAATGCGACTTACGAAATCTGAATTATATCCTCCTTATGTATTCAAGATGACAATAAGCTAGCAGACATCTAATATACACTAAAATTATTTATAGAGTACATAAATTTATATATTATTAATGACAAATATACAATATTATACAATGTTATAACAATTTTAATCTAGTTTAAATTGTAACAGATTCTTAATGAAGACTAAGTTTGTCATAATTTAAATATTCTCACCTATTTTATGTGATTAATCGGCACCGATATCTTACCTGTGTTGTAGGTAATGTATCAGGTGACCAGGCCAAATGGAACACAGCTTTTCTTAGTGGTGGTCTGGCTCGAGCTGAGAGCGGGGCGGAGGCTCTAGCAGCACGGGCGTCTAATGTGCCCAACGCACCACGAACTAGTTGACGAGCGTTATCGTCGTTTGCACTAAGACAAAAACATATGGATCTCAACACTATGATCTTAACAATTTTCAAAAATACGTTGCCTAACTTAAGATAGCGAACCTTACAATTGATAATGCAATGTACCTATGTAAGCACTATATTTGATTTTGTTTTACGATACTTCAAAATTTTAATTAGCTTAAAGGTTCTTGAATTATTTACGTACTTATGAAGATATTTGAATTTTTCTTGTCATTTGAAAATATTTTATATTTATCTATTTTCATTAATGATGCAATTTTGTATTCACGATAACGGAATGCAAATATATGTATATTTTTATATTCTGGTGGAAAAATATTTACTCTGGGCATTCATCGTAAGTTTTTTATCAGAGAAGATAAGTTGCTATTATAACAATATGAAGGAATACATTGTAATTTTATTTAAAATATTCAAAGGTAAAATTAAAATATTCGTTCCAATATGGTTTCCTATAATATCCTTTATTACAAATATACATTTATTTTTTCTTTTTTAAGTTTAGCTGCTATAATCGCTGTTTTAGTGTTTTATTCTTAGGTTAATTCAGTGGCAAAATAACTACGTTACCTTCAAATATATGTCATAGTTATAAATAAAAAATAATCTTTATACTTAGTTCAAGAGTATCTAGATATATAAAAATAATAAAAATATATTTCTCGGAATCTGGATGCAATTTTTTTTAAGTATTTTTAAGAGAGAATATTTTGTTTATATAGAAGAAACAAAATACTGCATGTTTAGAAAAGCTTGTAATAGAAGTGATCTGAGGAGTAAAATGTAGGTCACATGCCGTTATTGAGTCTAGAATCTAGGAGGACTGTAGTAACTGTTCCCTGAATGGCAACAAAGTATGATACTATTCCCTAGTATGCAAATAAGATGCTCGATAGTTGGCAACGCAAGATTGTCACGGTACAGAGATTATCTGGCACTTACATGTGCTCGTCGTCGTATTCCGACAAAGAACGCCTCACGTACTCCAAATTGTTCACGATAGTGCATATCTCTTCTGTTGTTTTGTTCTGCCCTGAAAATATATTAACTTTCAGCGAGTTCTTGAACATTTTTCTATGAAACTATTGCGTTTTATATATCCACGTCTGCATCAAATATTTTTTCCGCAGTGCTTTAATTACATTAAATTATATTTTTAAATTTATGTATGTAAGTTTTTGTTATTTTATGAGATTGGAACCGCTATGTTTCCTATAGTCATGAAACAATAAATTATATCTCTTTTGGATACAAATCACTTGGTTTAAGACGTTCAGACTTCAAGTTTAAATTTAAATACAACCTATGAAAGTTTTTATTAAATTTAAGTTAAATTTCAGAGACATTCAGACGTAGAGTAATTGAAGTACCGACAGTACCCACTTCAATGAAACAAGTACTTCATACTAGAGAAGTGAGCATGCAACTCATTTAGTTCGTGTGAAGCAACTTGCATAGTTACAGTTCAGTCTCTGTGGCTTTGATAATTGTTTGATCTAGGGATTGAAATGTTGATAGAATTCGCTTAGAATTTTGACTAACAGAAATATCACCTATTTATACTCAATGATATAAAAACATCAACAAAAATAAATAATTTATAATGTGTTAAATATCTTAATTTTTATACACTCATTATTATAAGCATACTGAATATTCTACTTCAATTTCTTTAACTATTAGAATTTTATATATAATATAACATTATCAAAGACTTTAGAAAACTGTTAGGAATTCAAGTTAATAGCTCTGATGAAATACTTTAGGTTTTATATTCCATATTTATAATTTAAAGGTTACTTTGAAAAATCAAATTTTATGTTCTGTTAATATTATTTCTATGTTGAAAGATATGTTTAATGTCTAAATATTACAAATTTTAATTTATTTAATATATGTTTTATTATTTAGTGTTTCATAAAGCGGGAAATAAAATCTGTACTTTAACATAAAGGTTATAGTTTCCTAGTTTTATTAATGTTTTCAAAGCCAACACACTTCACGCATGGTGTATTTACGGACGTTTTAGACGTGAAAAGGGTAAAAAAGTTCTTTGAGATAATGTCTGTTCTTTATAAATAAATAAATAAATAAAAATAAACCACAAAAAATCTTCTACTGTAAATAGAACTTTGAATATATGTTGTTTTTTCTGAAATAAAGCTGTTTGAGATACATGGTGTTCAACTAAAGGAAACGTCATAAAAATGAGTTTTAAATAAAGTGATATTATTAATGGAAAGTTTTTACATAGTTTCTTTTACTTTCCATATCTTATAACATTCATGAAATTGCATTTAAAAATCTTTTACAATAATCTGGACTTCCTTATGACCAAACTGATGTTATTAATTGTTCTTAGAGGTTAATTATAATAATAGCCATTTTTTATGAGAATTTATATTACATAACCGTTTTTTTATTAGACATCATAATTCCAACGTCTTTGGCCAAAAATGTAAATGCAATGTTAAAGAATAATCGAATTGTATCTGAGTAAACGAGAACGTCAGAAAAGTAGGAGTTTTTCTCAGTTACAAACATGTAAATATAAGAAATACCAATGTGGATTACCATGGTTTTCATAATAGCCTTGATCAGCCAGGGCTCCGTGTACCAGATCAGCGTAATGAAGAGCTGAAGCACAGGCAGCTTCTAGAAGTCGTACAGTGCCCCCCACCGTACCTTCTTCGGCTCCGCCAATGGCACGCCATACCATTCGCATGTGATACAAGCTATTGAAAAGGTTTTGAATTAAGAGTTTTTTATGGAAAAAATACAAAGAAAACTTTCATATTGTGATAATTTAATTAACTTTTACTTATGGATATACACTCGATATTGATCATAGCAATAAAAGAATATAGTGTAAGTTATTTAGAAGCTTAAATTCTGGGATAAAATACACTGTACTGGTGTCAAATTGTAGCCTTATATATGTCCATGTATAAATACAAGGACCAAATACGTTAGAAAGTAAACAATATCATATAACAATGAGTATCTAGTCTTATGTAAATTATGGTAATAATAAAGAATACTAATACATTAGCTCATAATTAATTAATAATACTTAATCATTACCTTGATCGTAATTACTTTAAAAGAGAACAATCATAAAGATACATAAATAAATGTAGGTATATGTATATAAAATTTATCATAATATTGAAGATGTTTCTACAAAATTAATATATAACAATCTCTTTTAAGACATGTAAAGGTTAGTGCTCCGACATAAAAGACAAATTGGTTTCAGGTGTCGTTCGTTACTTTTACGTTTTTTGGAACAGCTAGTAATAAAATGTAACAGTTAAATTATATTCTACAATAAATTTTCTTTGTCTAAGTCATTTTATTATGAAAACCTTTTTTAATTATCGTTTAATAAATGTAATCTATAATTATACAGGAGATTTAATTTGAAAGAAAATAAAACATAATTTCCATTTTATGATTTGCCTGTTCTATAAATGAGTTTAATTTAATTTCAATAACTGAATTATAAATTTCAAATTTATGCTTAGAATGACCAGAATTTCCAACAACTTGAGAATTTCGTCTGATCTAGCAGCATTAAATAACGTCTTTATCCCTCAGTTAAGAACTTAGTTAATTAAAACCAAAACTGCACCGTTTAAATAAAAACTCCTTGCAGCACCTTTTTAATTGTACTTACTAACGACGTTTAAAGTACTATTATTTTTCTTGATGGCAAGAAGACATTTTATTTAATATTTATAAGTTAATTTTATTAATTACTTCGTTGAGTAGATAATTCAAATAATATATATTTATATGTAAAAAAGTACAGATAATTTATATCTTTGAAGAGTTCTATTCTAATTTGAAGGTAGGACAGAAATTAAAGGGAAGGGACATTGTAGGTAAATTGTTGTAAATTTAATCTTAATGTATTAATGTACACCAAATATTTCGACAGTTATATGAGTATATACATGTATGTGTATTATCAAATATACAAGGCCTGAAAATTAATTTGGTTGTCGATTTTTAAAACTTAAAATTTGGAAACCATCTTCCTACATATATTGAAAACAGAAAAAAATAAGAGAATATATAATTTAATTTTGTAACTGTTATAGTGATCTAAAAAAATTGGTTTTGTTGTAAAACGGTCCAACCCATCGTAAAATGTTTACAATTCACAAAAACATAATTTTTGAAAAATCATATTGGAGGTTAGCGGAGTTAATAAACGGACCGTGACTATTAAATATTAAAGTATGCTAAAGATCATTAAAGAAGGTTTACTTAAGAATATTATCATAATCTGAAAAAAATATTGTTAATTAAGTATATTTTAGTTTTTCAATATTTCAACTCAACGAAACGGAGCATTGAGATTCAAATTAAACATACTTTTAACGATCAATGTTGAGTTAGGGATAAGTTAACTACTGTCTATAGGCAAATTAATACAAATTAACGTTTAAATGAAACTAATATTTTTGGATTATTACGTGTTTTTAATTAAGTTTAAAAACCAGATACTTCCGACGTTTCGGTTACTTTGAAGGAACCGTGATCATGCGTAACCGTGATCACGGTCGTCATAAATTACGGTAATCATAAAATAAGTACGCGTAACAATCCGAAATTTTTGTTTCATTTAAATGAATACTCGCCAAAGTCTTAAATCTCATTAAACAAAGTAACGTTTCTGGTACAGATGTGTTTGCAACATTGTTTTGTTATCTTACCAAGCAGCTGTATCGACTGATGATGTACTATGTTTCACAATGTGCTCCCCCTCTACAGCTCGATCTACAAACAAAATGTGAATTTTAGTAAAAGATTATTCAAGCTATCGCGTGTAAGATTTGTTTAATAATACACCGTTTAATAATGTTGGGTATAATGTAACAAAAATGAAGGGTAACAATAATTTTCGTGTCAAAACAGTCTATTATACAAAAAAATTCAAGCAACTGGATCTAATAAAAGCATTCGTGTTACGCCAGCGTTTAGAATCTGATTCTTATCTAAATGGTACCCCGACTTGGGGTGTGAACCTTAGCCTTTTTCTTCACTATTATTTACCCTTTGGCTAGATTTATTGTAAGATTTATTATATTAGTTTACATATCATTAGCGTAATAAAAGATTTCAGCTTTTATTCACGTCGAATTAGCGAGCGTATAATCATCGCCTTATAACATTTTTCTTCATACATTTAATGTGAATGAACGCACATTTTTCTCATAAATCATAAAATATTGAGATTATTTATAACAATAATATAGTAATGTCACACTGAATTCATTTCATTGTATCAGCTACCTATTTATCCTGTTTATGCTAACTTCCCTTGTCCCTTGGGTACGCATTTTATATTTGCATCGTCGACTTTGTCTTACTCCCTTATCTTTTATCAATTGAATTTGTTGGCAGCTGTCGTATCAATATAAATATTTTTACAAATACAACATCGCGGACTTGATGCTGACAATACGGAATTTCATTACATATATTTTTTTGTTTGAGTCAGATGTTCTGTTGAACAGACGGATAGCTAGAAAACGTATTTAAATACAAACTATTATAAAAGGGAATTCTAGATGTGTAGTAAAATGTTATATAAGATTCTGAGAAGGTTCTAGTAGAAAGTAAATAACATATCATCGTCTTTATCCCACTTGCATTTACGTCGATCCCATGCTGGGACGAACAGTATTTTTAATATGAATATTTGCACGTAAAATATTATTTCGTATTTATTTTTATGTAATACAAAACATACCTAGTTCAACAGCTGCTCGTACACGTTGTAACGCCATGGTTTTAGTGACAGCCAGCCATCGATCAATAAGTGGCTCGAACCATCTGACAAAATGAAAAGATTAATCTTCCATCAGATTCATCGCTCCCAAAATCTGAGATTACATTGTACAACTCTTTATTTCTTACAACATTCTCTATTTTGTTTATAGATATAAAGTAGAAAAATATTGTTAGATATACAGCATTCCTTTACTCGTGTCTTGAGAATATTTTAATAAAATTGTTTCTTGCATATCAAGAATGAGAAATATACAAAGTGCTCACATAAACTACAGACTTGGGCAAAGGATGCTATACATTACTCTGATTAAATCTAATAGTAACTACTAAAGCTTTGTATAGTGTAAAACAAAATTCCTTTAATTCCATTGATAATGTTTCAACATACATATCCGTATTAAAACCTTAAAATTAAAATGTTTAAAGATTTTCAGTATGTAATATAAACGTTGTTAAAATTTGTTTAAACTCTTTAAACGATAATGCACTCTAGAATATAAAAACATTAGAAGAGGTAAGTTTAATTGAACATATATTTAAAATTGTTTTTTTTTAATAAATTATTTAAACTCAATTACAGAATAATATTTGAAGTCAAGTAAAATCGTTATCAATAGGTACGGGTATAAAGTTTTATAATATTTTTACTGGAATTATAGGTAGAACACGTAATTTGGGCGTTTTTGTAAGAAAAAGTTACAATTTCCCTTATAATGTACACTTCCGCCATAGGAAATAAAACGGGCTTTTACCGCGAAACATCACAAATTCTCCCTCGCGTACGTGAAATGAATTGCAAGAAAGTTTACCAAATAAGGGTGGATTTTGTAACTCGCGTCTATAGTTAGTGAGTTAGAATGGGTCTATTTTATATAAGAAAATATTTTCTCTTCATGCTAAGTCTCGTTCAAAATAAACTTACTTTGAAATTATGAAACACGGGGCAATGTTTTGATTTCAAATACTTGAATTTGATTGATGAAGTGTAGCTTCTATAGCCCCCCAAATTACTTCGTCGTCATTTGTTACAAGTAAATTACTCTAAAAGAAAATTCTGTTCAGCTTTGACCCGTCAACTTAAGTTACAGGAGTGATTTCTAACGTAACATGATAAAATAAACTTTGTTTTTATATAAAGGTTTGGCTACTATATATATATCGGCGCTACCAGCTTTAATAACGGATGCGACTTGAAAATAATTAGAGGCTGCCATCAATTCTTATTAAACCTCATTAGTATTTATGATTATTGTTAAAAGTAAAACGAAATCAAAAGAGAATAGAATTGTTTGAATCAAAAATATGACGTCTGGACTCACGACGGCGGACTCCAGAATTGAGAATTCAGCATTGATAATTCAGAGTTCAGTGAGTGCGTATCATTGAAGTATGTAATTGTGAGGAACCTTCTAGAAATACAGGAGCATTAAGAACAATTGCAGTTTCATTTTAAAATATCATGCAACGCTCTAGAAGAAGTGACATTTGTAACGGCAGCGAGGCTGGCGTCCCTCTCTCTTTAAAAACAACGAATCTGTATTAAATCTGATATCAGAAGTGGGATCGCTCTCGTGATCATGCCGGTCTTATAAATCCTATCCAGCTGAAGAAAATAACTATGTGGAGAATCTGCGTACTGAAGAACGCTAAAAGAGAATTTTTTTCATGCCATTCATTGATGTCAATAATGCAGAGCGTGTGCAAACGTTTACTACAAATAAATCAAGGGATAATATTAAAATTACTAAGAAGATCATTTTTATCATCGTTTGACCCCGGTGGTAGTGTGTGTCTTCGGGAATGGTGTCAACACATCTATATGGCTATAAATAGTTACGTAGTAAATCAGGAACCATGATTCTCAAATGAAAATGAAATCTTTAAAAGGAATGAGCTCAAATATGTGAATACGATTGGTTACAACATCTACATAAGAAGCCACGTAGTATGGATATTAAGCGGAGATATTATGCGACGATGTGGCGCTATAACTGAGACAAGACGGGCACGTTCTAACTGAAGGTTGAGGCCATAGCAGGCTTGACAAAATACTAATACACATCCTGAGTTTTCAGATACCAGCTCCTCTCAACAATTAAAAGAACCTGGCGCGCCGAAGTAAATGATTACTCCTAGTTGCTTCAAGTATGGTTAACGAGGCTACTTCGCGCTGCGCTGCCCCAGTGTTGAATTCAAAGCCAATTAAGCATGGACCGAACGACGCGTGAATATCTGTTCCGTCCAGATATGGTTCAGCTCTGGAGTGAAACCGGTGAGAGGTTTTCATGTTGTTTCGACTCGGGTACCGAATGTTCTTTAAATAAAAAAAAATAAAAAAATAAAAATTTAAAGATAGATTTCTAGGTAAATCGCAATATTATAATACAATTGCATTAGAAGGTGTAAGTAACGCTCGCATTAAATGTAATATCTAAAATCTTTAAACAATTTAAGAGTTATTCAGTAAAGTGAGATTAGACAGGATCTGCTTACATTAGGGTATTCTATAAGGATTAAAAATAATGTCTCATTCTTTAAACAAACAAGATTGGTTTTATTTGTGATATAGGTATTAAAGTAAACAATTTCGAAAGTATATGCAGCGACGTTCCTTACTATGAGAAAGAGAGATTTATTAGTTAACTGAAAAATCATTTGAATAATGTCATAGAGAGTACACCAACTGGTAGGGTTAGCACAAGTCAACTAATAATTAAACTAATCAATCGTAAATCTCACGGTTCAATGTAGACTTCATAGCTTACGTTCAAACGAAAAACGAGAGGTGCGCTGTCAAATCAAAAGAACTTTAGTCAACTCGCATATGTGATAGTCCTTACCCCTTCGTGAGCTCCATCATCCTAGTAAAGAAGGAGAGAAGCGACAGGCTATGCGTAGATTAGAGAGAATTAAATAGGAATACGGTGTCTGATAGATATCCTTTGCCACTTATTTCGAATCAAAAATGCTTTCATTTCGCCGCGATAGCAGACCATTGGTTGAAGGCTAAACAAGAAATAGATAACGAAATTAATTTAATTATCACGAAACTAGAGGCAAACTATTTCAATAGTGATATCTTTAAAACTTACGATATAAGAGGCGCTCTTCTTTTTCGGAAATAATGAGAGCTCTATGTTGCCTTTAGTGTTTAGGGAATTTCCGTGAGCTAATCTCGTGTCCATGGTGTATTCTCAAGAGAATCTGTACCATGAGATTCTGTAGGGAAGCCTTGTGGAGCCGTGAGGAGACAAGTATTACACCATAGATCTGGAGAGCGTGACCTCTGAGCTAATCGTGAGTTACACTTGAGCTAACCACGGGTCCTTGATGTATCCGAAAGAGAACCATGAGATTACGTAGGTATGCCCTGTGGAGCCGTGAAAAGACAAGTCTACGCCACAGATGTGGAGAGCGTACCTCTGAGCTAATCACGTGTTACCCTTGAGCTGACCACAGGTCCTTGCTGTATCCTTGAGAATACCGTGAGATGACGAAGAGCGGCCTTGGGAAACGTTGAGTAAATATGAAGTCACTCAATCTATAAGAACTTACATGATTTTGATATCAAACAGCCGGCGCCACGGCTTTATTTATAATCGGCTGTAGACATACCCTTCACAGTAATATTAACATGTCGGTCGACACACACAGCAGTGCCACTAAAAAAAGATGTTATAATTCAAATGATAGCATAATTGACTCCAAATTTCCAATCAAATACATCTATTGCGAGTACAGCTAAGTTTTGTTCCATTTCTGCTAACCGTGGTCAAACGTTTGAATCATGTTGTCGACGGAAAAAGGATATCACGCCGAATTTAAATTTAATATCAACTGGTAAATTTAATCTTAATAAAATGCATGATTTCAGGGGTGCGTTATACAAGAATCAATGGCAAATAACATCTCCGGGAATAGAAAACAAATCAGTCAACTATTTGCGAGGATTGAGGCCGGGCTCTATTATTAATATAAAGAGTTTTGTGATTACAGGCTTTAGCGTACATCTGACAAATTTAGTATCCTTGCCGATGTTATGAACATACGAATTCAATCCGGCTTTAACAGTTTAGATTACATTTTGACAATCCGTCCGTGGATATCGAAGCAACACATTTAAAACAGGATGGTCGAGGCGGAGAGAAGATAAAAAGTTGGATTTTAGAGATTTCGAGCTAAAATTTAAATAATTTCAGAATGGAGATTTAATATAAAAAAAAATATCACAGAAAAAGTAATAGAAACCGAGGAACACTTTGAAATGTGATTCGTGACCAGCCAGACGAAGTTCCACTGGAGTGACGAGAGAGTATAAGTAAACGAGCAGCAAGGTAGACTGTTCGACTACCTAATAGTTATCCGGTGAGCGTATTTCATTTTGTTCAATTTACTTCATTTCAAACGCATTACATATTTCGTAGATAGAAGTGTGATTTTGAAACACTTACTTTGAGATATATTACTATAAAATTATTAAATTATTATTATTACTATAAAAGATGCCTTTGATGGCGGATCCGAACCATAACAAAATAATAATAATAATAAAATGGTTAATAAAATAAAATTGTTGTAGACGGGTGGAGACGTCTTACGACAAATAAATAAAAACAAAATGTTGTAGGCGGGCGGAGACGTCCTATGACAAATGAATAAATAAAAAAAAAATGTTGTAGGCGGGCGGAGACGTCCTATGACAAATATGTTATGAATGTTCGTGTGATGCCCCCAAAGCCATGTAGCTTAGATAATTGGACGTGATATTATGACCATCTCAAAGTTGTGTTGTAGTAAACAACGTTACCCATACGATCAAAAAAAAAATTTAATATTCATAATTGTAACAATATAAAGATATCTAGGGTTACTGTGGAAGTACCTAGACTACAAAAGCATTTATCTTTTATCACAGAGCAAACATCAGTATGACCGTATCGGCATGACTTCGGAAGATGAAGCATCAATTCTTGATCCTATCCCATCTACTTTACGAGACGCGCGACTGGTCCAAGCACATAACGAAAACCAACCAAGAGAGAACACATAACCAGGCAGGTGCAGAGCACGCACCGCCTGTCAGAATGGCCGTATCGGCGCTACCAGCTTTAATAACGGATGCGACTTGAAAATAATTAGAGGCTGCCATCAATTCTTATTAAACCTCATTAGTATTTATGATTATTGTTAAAAGTAAAACGAAATCAAAAGAGAATAGAATTGTTTGAATCAAAAATATGACGTCTGGACTCACGACGGCGGACTCCAGAATTGAGAATTCAGCATTGATAATTCAGAGTTCAATGAGTGCGTATCATTGAAGTATGTAATTGTGAGGAACCTTCTAGAAATACAGGAGCATTAAGAACAATTGCAGTTTCATTTTAAAATATCATGCAACGCTCTAGAAGAAGTGACATTTGTAACGGCAGCGAGGCTGGCGTCCCTCTCTCTTTAAAAACAACGAATCTGTACTAAATCTGATATATACAATATAAATATACATATGTATATTTAAAATTTGTTTGTTACGCCAAAACTAAAACATGATGATATGTATGTGTATAGTAAATTTACTGCTTAAATATTATTTATTTTAAAATAAATCTGTCGTCTATCTGTTTTTTACATTTAATATCTGAAACAGGTCTTACTGCAATTGAAAACAAAATTAGGATAACTGAATTTTACCAAAAACATTTGCTTTTTTATTCGCTTCGATAGTTAAGTCATCACATATCCAAGAAATGTTTATAATTATTTTCATGAAAGATAATGTAACAGACATGTAGAATTTAATTAAATTAATTAATATATAAATTAAGTACTATGCAGCTTTTGTTAACGGAGGCTCTTTTGTGTACTGATTAAACACACATATCTGATTAACAAATAATATTTACCAGGATGTGTGAGTATTTCACTTGTTCCCTATAACATGTAAATTTCAATATACGAATATGTCTTCATTCCACTCATTTTCCATCTCAAATACTTTGGTCTGAACATCCTTTTAAATGTCTCTTACACGACAACCTTCTTTAAAGCTCACAAAGATCCTTTTTTAAAAACGTAATAAATGTCTAATATATGAAGCTACAGTGCACGGTTCTTTAGCATTATTTAGAATAAAAGAATTCTATCAGTTGTTTATTTTTTGTACTATATTGAATATAAATAGTGTTATTCAAATTTAAAACCCTTTAGTATCGTTTAATATAAAGATTTAAGATTACTAAATTCCTAACTAAATTCCGGGATTTAAATTTGTAAGAAAATTATGTTAAACGAGATCTCGTTGCTAGATATCGTTTAAAATCCTGTCAGCATCCAGAGTTAAATTTTATTTAAGCTGCTGCGACGCCACAAAAGTAATGTCACTTACAGATACACTAGAGAATTGTTATTTTGCATACATATATTCAATTAATTTAATTTTATTCTATTTCATTGTTTTCATTTAAATTGGTAATATAATTTAAAATTTCTCATAAGCAAATATCATATATAAAAGTAACGTTTAGTACATTTTTATGTGAAACAAAAGTATTATTTGTAAAAAGAATATCTCTATATATAATTCTTATGTGAGTGTGTATGTCACTGAAATTCTCTCAAACGAATGGACCGATTTTGATGAAATTTTTTGTGTGTGTTCAAGGGGATCTGGGAATGGTTTAGATTCACAATTTTGTCCGCTGGACAATGTTTTTTTAATACATTTTTAATTTATTAGTAGTTGTTGATACAAACGTTTTTTTTTTTGACATTAGATTTGATAACTAACTAATATGTCAATCATTCTGTCGCCATTCAAAACACGCAGATTTATGGCTTTAATAGGTAAACTCCAAAAATATAAATAAAAAAACGTAACAGATATTTCTTGATTATAGGGCGATACGAAGTTCGCCAGGTCTTCTAGTATAATATAAAAAAATCACATCATTAAATCATTCTATAGAAAGTAGTATCCTGAGACAGCCGAATAGAGTGACTAGTTATAGGACTTGTAATTTAAATAAAGTGAAATTAAAATTAACTATCTTTCAAGCTTTTATTTACTTACATAGATATAAATAAATAAACAACTCTTTATAAAACTGGCATAGAGATGCAATTTAAAAGGTTTTTAGCTCAACCATTACTTGTACGGTTTAGAGCCGTATACTCGTAAGTACTGAAACTGTCAAATTTTAAATGTAGAATACTTTAATTGCTGTTGTATATGCTTGAGTAGATTAAAAATTATAGTGTTGGAAAATGTTGAAATAAATAAATAATGTATTAACTTGTTGAACCGATTAATGTTACGTTACATTACGAAAACAATATTCAAGATAACAATTGTTTCTTAACAGTTTTCTACAAGATCACTTCTATAATACTTTATATTATGAAATGTAAATAAAATAATAAATTTCCAATAACAATGACTTTTTCTACCTTGATTTAACATTGAAAACATATGTAATGATTTATTTACGTTAAGTTTCAAAACAAAACATACAATTGATTCTATATTTTAATGGAAAATAAAAAATAAATATATTTCCATCTGTTAAATTATATAACTAAAATTTAAATGTCGAATATAGTTTTAATTTTTCACTGCGGTTAGAAAAACAATTTCGAAGTTATCTATGATGAAAAAATAAATATTATTCCTGCAATGATGTTTTAAATAAACGCCGTTAAAGTTGGATCTGAATTTAAAGTTGACTGGCTAATAAGACTGGCAGCTTATGCTTAATCTAATAGCTTGATTATAGATAAATATATTATAATTATTGTCTTACTGATATGCCTCTAGAAGCTGTAGTGGAGGGTCGTGTGCAGCGTGCATGGTTGGAGACGGGGTCGCTGCAGCACATAGCTCGCGAACAGCTGCTAACACCTCGAACGGTAGTGTCTTAGCTGATACTACGCACACTGACAGAATAATATTTATATTAGTAGTAGTTGTAATTAAAAAAAACTAATCGAATTCTAAAGAGAATCGAGTAAAGAGGTTTTTGTTGTGTGTCGAAATTTTCAGACGATCTATAAAAAAAATTAAAGAGAAACATTTGTCGATTTAAGAATAAAAAATGAGGAATTAAAGAACATATAACAGAAAGAAATCTCAAAATTAATAACAATTAAATTTGTTTCTTTGTTTAAAATTTATAGGGGTTATAAAATATTAACAGTCAAAATATTCCTGGCATGGCAATGAAATATCACTACGATCTCTCTATATGTAATTCCATATATCCTCGATATTTCGTGTTGTAATAACATCGTCAATACACATCATGTGACCATGTCAATGAATAAACATCGTTTAATGTGACCAGCTAAACGCATGACCTCTTCATAAAGTGGTTAAACATTAAAAACCATAACGTAACATATTAGAATTACATATTTCCATTGTTGGCGTATTAAGCGATACGATTATTATTACGTATTACATGGTCACTGTTTTCAACATTAGTACTTATTTTTTTAAATACAGAAAATTGTACTTATTATCTTCTTCTACCTGGTAATTTCCCAGCTTTAGGCAAGGTCTGCCTTATATGTTGTGAATAGTTTTGGTTATTTGTTTTTAAGACCGGCTGCCTGCCTGACATGAACCCTCTTTGGGAATCAGCATTAATCAGAGATGTCTAAAAACTCTAAGAAAGTACATCTGACTCGGTAAAATCACATTGGTACTTGCCGGGATCCAACCCGCGCCCTCGTGCATGAGAGGCCGGCCTTTTAACCACTAGGTCACCACTGACTTATTACGTATTCATGACTTATTATATTAGAACATAAGAAATAAGTTATGTATAAGGTTTATTAAACATAAATAAGCTGCACGGCTTTCCCTTTCTATCAATTATTCCATTATAAATATATGTATATGAGCGATAAAACATATTAGGAAAGAGCTTTGTTATAAATAAAATAAAAACCTTTCAAAGCATTTTCGATTGCTTACATTCTTATTTCTTGAAAAATGATTTGCTGAAAGACACGTCAAATAAAATACCGTAAAAGCCTTTTATTTAAATGTGCATCGTTCGTGAAAATTTTACGAAGTGTTCCATATTGTTAGATAAGGATTGGCATTGTGTCAATGTGACGAGATATTTGAGAATCATTTCAACATCTTGACAATGTAATTGTAATGTTACAATGAGAAAGACAAACTGCTTTTTAAGATTCAGTTTATATTGTTTAAATTTAGTTATCATATTAAAGACGTTCTTTATATTTATACAATTAAATTCTAGGTATATACATACAGTTTTCGTTTAAATCGTAGTATTCAAGATGTTGTATTTAAAAAAAACATGTATATTTGCTGGTTTTGAGTAATATGTTGAGTTTTGTTTACGATATTTAAATCAAATATGAGTTAAATAGTAAAGTTATTATTGATACCTTAGTTTTCTTCTAGTTTAATTAATTAGAAAAAGTTTGTTTGTGATTCAACTTTTGTCAATAAATTATTAACGTAATTAACATTTATATTCATTTAATACTTCAGAATTATGATTTTACAAAAGACTATAAAAAGGTTTTAAGTTTTCCTCGACTTTCAGAGTAATTTATTATTCTATCCCTATCTCCTAGTTAAGCCTTTCAACTGCCACGCAGGGGTCGCTTATCTGAGTGTAATATTGTGTTATTTTATAAAAATGCCGTAATACCACTTTTACTCCAGAAAGAGTTTGAAGGCCTCTTATTGGTAAATCATAGTAACAAGCTGAATCTTCTATTGTATGATATACACTTATCTTGAATATAAAATAACAAAAAAAAAAACTCACAGATGATAACTAATTACAAGATGGGGAGTATGTAGTTAAAACAATTAAAAGGCTAGGTAAATGTGAAAATATTCGTTGAATTTACTTGCTTTTAATCATTTTTATTTCAATCAAGACTCTTAAATTTTCTTAATTGTTTTCATTTGAGTGAGATTTTACACTGATATCGTTTATATATTTCATTATTCGAATATATATGTAGTCTTATTAAAACAACTCAACTATAATGTTATAAATAAGCAATTATTTCCTTCATAAAAAAATTTATAAAATATAGAAAGTAACAATAGTAAATGTTCTTATTATAATGACTTAGTGATACTTACTTCCGTTTCCATCGTCGTCGTAAACCTCTTCTTCTGCCACACCGCACCAGCCTTCTGCCACCCAGTGCTGGACGCATTGACGCACGTCCTCTGACACCTAATATAAGATATTTATAGACAGACAATATTTATAGGACATGGAAATATCATCATCATCATCAGCCTATCAAAGCCCACTGCTGAGCAAAGCCCTCTTCCCACTTGGAGAAGGGTAGAGCATTAATCACCACGCTAGCTCAGGGCGCGTTGGCGATTTCAAACTTATAATTTGAAATTATAAATCCGGGTTTCCTTACGATGCCTTCATGGAAATATATATAGGCCATATATGTATGTAGGCTATAGAAATACAGTGTAGCAGAATACGTATGTAGCGATTTAATTGAATTAGTACTGCTATTGCAGTGACCCATAAAGTTGGGTAGCATTATAGTTATTTCGCTATAATCCTAGAACAAGAAAAAAAGAAAAAGATCTTAGAAATATTAAATGTTACTGTAAATGTTCTCATTATAATGAGTTAAGAGAATATTTTTGTTTGATGAGAGCCACTTTCATTAAAGAGTGATTTTACATCATATTATTTAGCTATAATCTTTATGATATTGTATATTAAAAAGATATTTCATCATCTTCATTCATTAATCAAGTTTTTAAAAATTTGCTGTGGAAGATTAATTATGTTATTACAGTGCTAAAAATGTTTACAAGGAGCGCTATAATACAATTTAATGGTGTTACATTATAAGATTATTAAGTTATTATAAATTAAGGAATAAAAAAATATATAAGTTCATTCCGTCATTATAAAAATTTTAATTGATGCATAATTCAATTTGTAACGTTTTTAGGTGTTTTATTAGATTTAACAAGTAGTTAAGTCAATACTTGCATAGCATTAAAAGATACGAGAGCAATATTCATTAGCTTAATATACACATGTAGTTGTATGAATTGTGTATTCATATGTTCTGTTTTTTTGTTATTTGGAAAGAAACTGTTCAAAGCGTTGAAAACAAATACAATGGTAAACATTAATATTAATTAAATTCATTCTGTATAGCTATTTGTACAAAGAAAATTAAACTCATTCATAAATACTCACCATTTTGTCGATTTGCGTGAAAACGACTATGAAGTAAGGTACGTTGTTAGTTCTATAACAAAAAATATGTTAAAAAAATTCAACATTTGAATGAAATAGAAATAGCAAGCAAAGAATTTCTCTTAACTTGATGGAAAAACTAGAAACTCGACGACAATTCCTTGTCACCATTTCTATGTAAATAAATATCTAGATATTCAGAAATATATTACTTAAGCAATATCTAGGTTAATAATATTATTTAAGCACAACTTTGGAAATTAGGGCTTATTTATGGGCCTATTAATCTAAGTCTACGTGCTATTCTGAGGTACGAGAAATTTCATAATAAAGTGTTTCACAAAACAGTTTAGACTTTTTGGCATGAACTAGTATGTAGCAATAATTTGGAGATGCAAATAAGGATATTTTATGCTAAAATACAATGAAAATGTTGTTATGGATTATAGTCAAAGTGATTTCCTATAAAAATATAAAATTAACGGTACTATTATTTGTCTTATCTCATCACGATGAGCATATAGATAAAAATTAATTAATTAAAAAATTATCATAATACTAATGAATATCTGATTTGCAAGGTTATATACTGATATCCGTATTTGATAAAAGTAATACTTAAGGAACTCACGTTTCAAAGATAGGGTGGTAATATGTTAGCCCCTGTTGTAGATCTATCTGAACTAGTGTGATGAGGTTGACGAGGTCTTCCCCCCGTTCGGAGTCAGTATCTTGGGCGCACAATGCTTCATACCACTCAGCGGTGCCCTTACGTAATGCGCTTACTATTTCTCCCCTATTTAGAGAAACAAACATACTGTCTTAAAGATTAATCCTTAACAATGTTGTTAGTTAAAGTGGTCATTAAAATATTGGTTTATATAAGCGGTAATAACATTGAGACCTAAAATTCTCACTGATTTCAATGTTTTCTCTTTTGAATGCCCAAAAATTTTTGTTTCGTAATAATTTTGCTTATTTCTAGGGTAAGAAATATGAATTTAAATCATTACATATATTTAAAAAGGCGAATAAATACATCCATTATAACACATACCTGATTTCTTTATTGAAAGGACAACAACGCCAGAAAGCTTTCATTTGAGCCAGTTGGTTAAGACAGCGCAGAAGAAACTCCAACCTTAATAAAATCATAACAATTAATACTTACTGTTTTAAAATATGCCCAAAGAATATAATCAATGTAGATCCATACTTGTTAATGCTGTGGTGATGCAGTACTGGGTACAGATCTCTGTGCAGACGAAGCTGATGAAGAGCGCGTTCAACAAATTGACGGAAGCAGTCAGCGAGCCAGCGCTCCTCATCATGAGTTGCAGCTGATCCAGAGTCACCGCTTCCACCTCCACTCATGCCTTCACTTACACACCAAGCCCGCTCTAATTCGATCAGCAATTTATTGATGTACCTGAACACGAAATCTCTATTTTACCTCTCAAATATTATACAACGTTCTTTACATAACAATGTTGGCATAACGTGACGTCTGTATAATCATTATATGTACTTAACAACTTGAAGCTATCTCAAGATATTGTTACAAGTTTCAATGAATAGATTCTAAAAACAAATAATATGGGATTAAATATAGCGAATTTATACCATTAAAATTAAGTAATGAAAATTCCACTTATAAATATTCATATCTATTTATTAAAAATCAATGAAAACGCACTTCGGGTCAATAGGAATTTCATTGTTGAGTCTGCAAACAGCTGCAAAACGGGCTATTGTTGCTTGCAGTGGGCTCAAGTCACCCTGGATAGCATGCTGGTGCAGTAAAGTCTGCGCAGCGCTGCACAACTCCCCCTCCCACTCGCAGCGCTCCCCCTCAGTACCTGACGCAGCGGCAGTTTCTATTTCATGAGCTAACAGCACGCCGAACAGTCGTTCATGTTGACGCACCTATAAAAAACTTATATAATATATCCACAATTCATCACACATCATTATAGCGCTTGCTGGGAATAGAAACTAAAAATAAAACCGTAAAAGCATCACACAAACCACTCTTTCCTTTAAAACCATTAGTCCATGAATACACATCGGATGTACGTCAGTAAGCAATATTCGCATGTCACTAGCACCTGCTGCTATTAATTCCCGCTGCAATCAATGATCTAGTCATGCATAGACAAGGGGTTGACAGTTATGTATGTAGTATTGACGGCTCGATTATGATCGGTTTGTATAGTATGGTACAATTATCTCTCAAATAGGTCGTAGTGCGTTTACTATGCTTCATTATGCTTAAGTTTGCAAAGCTGAATTTTCGTTGATGTAAAATTTAATGCACTTTTCCTTAACTACTAATTGCATGTTCTAGATTCTAGAATGTATCGACCATTCGCTTGTGACATGCCGTTAATAGAGCGTCTATAATTTTCACCTATTATTATTGTATGAGGTTATGAAAGTTTTGCATTGCGGTAAATGTGTATGATACTTGTTTGGCTTAAATATTTTATGTTACGAATTAATACCGATTATATTTGAATTAAAATAAAAATGTTCATAAATCGTGAAAGAAATGATTTGTAAGCACATTTAAAATGAAAGAAGCTTTCAGGAATGAATTGAATTTATCGTGTAATCGCAATTTCTCTCCACTCTACCGTTGGCATGCTTATTACGTGACGTTAAAGAGGTTCAATCAAATAATACATTATCATTTGAATTGAAAAATATAATGAAATAATTTTGTATAACCATCTTTCTAAAGAGAAAATTATGATGAAAGTAAATTTTATCTTAATTAATTTTATAATTTAGTATATGTATATAATTTTGTAGTGACAAAATTAACGATCTTTGTCCACTCAGAATTTATAAAAGACTAGATGACCTGGCGAACTTCGTATCGCCCTATAATCAAGAAATATCTATTACGTTTTTTTATTTATATTTTTGGAGTTTACCTGTAAGCCATAAATCTCCGTGTTTTGAAGTGTGACAGAATGATTGTCATATTAGTTAGTTGTCAAATCTAATGTCAAAAAAAACGTTTGTATGGGAAATAGAAAAGGGCTGTTTTTATGGTTTTCCCAGTAATGAATCAATTTTTCTCACCTTTTATACCTTCCCGGAACCTCCACGAACATTTCAAGACTGAGATAAGTTAAATCCGTTCAGCTGTTCTCGAGTTTTAGCGAGACTAAGGAACAGCAATCCATTTTTATATATATAGAAGAGAAGATAAACGATCATATATGTAGTTAGTAGAAAGAAAAGTATTTTGCGTTTCACGTTTAATTTTATTACCGTTCATGTTTGTTGTTACCAAACTAGTAGACAATTTCATTAAAATTACAACAATATATTACAACCATATATGTAAATAAAGAAGGTATTATTTTCATTTTTTAACTCCCGTATCTGTCAAGGTACTTAAATTATTTTTTACAACAAAATATAGTATGTATAAAAAGACAGTATAAAATATAACTTTACTATTTTTCATTATAGGGATATTAATTAAATAAAATTATATTGAAAATCCAGCATAGACGTCACTTTTTATGAAACGAAGTATCTTCATCTTCACCTTTAAAAAATAAGGTAATAAAGGTTAATATTTAAACCATGGACATCAGATCAACTGTTCTATGCCTGTGTATCGCCGACACAACGCCATAACTTCCATTATGTCATGAATGTATGAACTAATGGCTCTTAGCGGGAAACCTATAAAACTTTTATGCCTCTCATTGTTCATAGTCGAAGAATTAGCGATAACTATAAAAGAAGCTTTTAAAATAACATTTTTCTTTAAATTGCCACACTAACTGCCTTTTATTGCTTCCGAGGGAGATTATATGAACCACGTCTTATTCGTAAACTATATGAACAATACGGGAATTTCTCAGCCTTTATACTTTTATGAAAAGTTATTGTCATTGTTGTAACACATGGATTTTTTTTGTCTCTTAATTAAAATATCTTAACAATCTGTAATCATTAAACTATAATTATTTTTCAAGCTTATAACAAACTGTGACTCTGAGACTGCTTAAAACAATTTACTCGTTTATTTACTTAAACTATCTGTATTGAATACGAATAATAGTTGGAGAGAATTGATGAAAGCATTTCATCTTTGAGGTGTCTTGAATAAAAAACTGTAACTTTTTTACAATTTCTGTCTGTTTTTCTGTCTTTTTTTTCGTCAAATCTATGAAATAGCTGGACCGATTTTGACGGGACTTATATTGGTAGGTAGCTGATGTAATGAGGAGTAATTTAGACTATTTGAGATAAATAAATTAATGTTGCAAAGTCCAGACGGGTCTGGAAAGAATATAGGCTACCTTTCATCTAGATTCCGAGTACCGATACCGAAATGAAGCGGTAGCGGCTAGATCTCATGTGATCTTTAATATACAACGAATTCGCGTTGCTATTTCAATTAGTTTCAGATAAGCATTTTCTTTGTTTATCCAAGTAGGTTTACTTATGTTTTTTTTTTTTACTTTAGAGTAGGTACAAATCTGTTCACACATTTTATTAGTTGTTTACTAGCAAATAATACATAGACAGTTTTTGTCAGATTTATTTAGTTCATTTACATAAGTAGGTAAGTTACGAGTATCACGTAATAAGCAAGACAGATTATTTTCGTTATTTTATAATTTCAAGGTATTGATTTTTTTTTGTTTCTGTCTATGTACATATTTTTTTGCAGACGTAATCGCGGGTAGCTACTAGTAAACGACAAGAATTTAAAATTAGTTCAGGTCTTAACTTAAAGCATAGATTCAATGTAAAATGTTATTTTAATTTAGAGATCCCTAAGTATATCTACCTTTTTATAAACGAAATGCTTTCAATAGTCAGTAACTACTATTATTACAATCGACATTTAATTTATTGCAGCTCTGCAAATTTCTACACAGTTTATTTTCATTAAAAATCAAACAAGGTCTGTGAAAGCAAAATATTCAATTAATAATTCATGAACTGAGAATCTGTTTTTCATTACAAAATGCATAACAAGCAATGAAATACTGAATTCATATTAATTCATTCATATCGTTTATTCATTCATTTAATTCAGTTAATACTTAAGCTGAAGAGGGGTAAATGAAAATGTGAATTATAAAATAAAACATTGAAATCATTATTCACATCGATAAGGTGTTATAAGTTTCCGTTCCAATAACTTGTGCTAAATGGAAAAGGAGTATCTACATCATCAATTTTAAATTAATTAGTTAGGTATGAGACTTTATAATATTATTATCATTTCATAGCTAAGTACCTGTTGAAAATTATCATCATCATGTCTGCCAGCCTCCCGAGCTGACAGCCACAGTCTAAGTTTGATCCGTCCCTGAACTGATGAACGCTGTGACCGGGCTTCCAGCTTATACCAAGCTTCTATTCCCGTTGATGGTATCTCCCTCAATGGTATATTGACACACCCTGTATCAAATTAAATTTTTATTGAAATACACACACATACACACACACACACGATCATACAATTTTATGTATGTGTGTAATTGAATCAATGTGTTATTATTCAGCAATGATAAAGAAAATATTTGGTGGACCTACGACTAGTTGAAAGGAAATACGTATACGTATACGAAATACTAGTTGAAAAGTATGTAGATGCATTTACATAATTAGAATAACAGTTGTAGTAGTAACCGTATAAAATATACGAATAAGAAGACAGAATGAATTCGTTTAAAGACATTTAACATCTTACATTTAATTAAAAAGGTGTCCAATTCAAATTTTCTGCCAAGTTATTCAGTTTGTCAGGATCTTAGCTTAAATTAGGAAACTTCTCACATACGAGTATACATACATATGACACGCAGCATTTATCTTGATAAGCATGTTGTAAATTCTGTGTTGTTCATTTCATAAGAAATTAATAACAACAAAATTTTACCAACAGTTACCTACTGTAAAGTTATAATTAGTTTTCGCTTCCGTATAACAAATTAAAATAAAAAAATTCTCAAAAAAGTATAGGCAGTAACAAAAACAGAAAAAGTTACAAGTAATCACAAAATACAAATCATATTTTAATATATTCGTTAAAATAAATTAATACTATTATGAATTAAATTCAAGTAATACATTAACTTGCTTGTTACCAATAAAGCAAAATTTAATAACATTGATATTTAAATTTTACGACCGATTTGTACACATTCGTTTTTTGTCTTTAAGGTTTTTTTAAAAAGGACGATTTTATTTGCCTCATTTCAATACAAAACGTGTGGTAAACATTGTTTACCTTAGTTCAGTTGTTACTTGATATTTAAAATTGGACAGGTTAAATTACTTCTGCCTTAGCTTGCCTTCTAATTTATGCAACTTGAGATACTGCTCCAAATTAATTAATACAAGAACATTTGAATGAAACAATATTAGAAGAGATACAAAAAAGGTATTTATTAATTATTCAATATGTTAAAAAGATGTTATTATTACATTAGGTTTACAGTTTAAGTAAAAATGTATAAATTTATATAAAAAAACATATTACACTTAAACGATATAAATTTTTAAGAGATCGATTTATAATTCTTTTATTATTTTATCTATCTATCATATACAAAATTAGTGTCAGCCAAAAGCAGGGGTTTTAGTGATCTCAGCTAATTATTATATGTATTTTTAGACAGTGTAATTAATATAACAATTATTTATGAGGATGGTAGTTAAATAGAATGATTTTAAAATATAATCTTACCAAGAAAGTCATCTTGGCTACCCTGACGTGCACTTTGGCAAACTTGTTTGAAGAACCGGCCTAGTCCCCTCACCCCGCGCACTTCGTTCAGTCGTGACACAGCATCTAGCACGGAGCTCTCATCATCATGATCCCAGATGTCCAAATGGAGAACATCCGATGATATGTCGTCAATGTCACTAGATTGTTAAAGAAAAAAGAAGCTGTATTTTTTCACCATTGACATAAAAGTATAGTGGTGGAAAGATTAAAGCATCATTTATGACAATGAATATTGTAACGTACATCCTCTGGAATTGTTTTTTGAGAATTCTCAAAGTTCACCTTATCTAGGAGGGTAAATTTTTCTTTGAGGTCTCCTTGAGTTCACCTTATTTATGAAGGTAATACTAATACTACAATTGTGAAGCCTGTCATCATCAACTAGAGGTTTTTAACTACAGCTGGCATCCAAAAGTTTCCTTAACTTGATTATATAATATGTATGTAAATGCTCTACAGATCTTATTAATATAAACAATTTTGAAAACTATTTTTCATTTCCAGATTTAATTTTTCAGTTCGGAAAAAATATGAATTGAACTGTATTTAATATATATTTATGAGTCAATTTTTTTTAACATTTTCCAGAACGTATTTGAAATTAACATCAATAATTATAGCTCATTTCCGAAAAATGGGATATGATCTGATAAAATTCATACTACCTGATATAAAAGGTAATATCACAACAAAAAATCTTAAATAACAAAACCAAAGTCCCAGTTATCGGCTACTTCATAATAATTATCTAAATCTATTATGTATAAGTGTATAATCCATCGGAATGTGTAAGAGGAAAATTTTTCATGAACAAAACAATGACTAGTCCTTTACACCGAGTAACTTAATCTGACGATAAAATATCAACTAATTCAATTAGATTTTGTAATCTGGCATTAGAAAGATATTAGAATATTATTTATCTATCTATCTAGTTATCTCTAAGAGGAAAAACCACCAACCGATTTTGTTTCTATACTAAAAAAACTCGTAATCAACACGTTATTAAACTATGAAATAAATTTCCTTTTCGTATAAGTACTATAAAATTAATTAATTTGTTTATGTTCACCGTTTTATTTACAGCGCTACTAATTCTACTAACCAACTCAATCTGTGATCTAAAAATGGCAATTAATGAATTATTCATGCACACACGTGTGGAAATCGCATTTTGCTTCCTGTTTTACAACTGGCGTTCTATGAAATAAATTTATGAATACTTATTTCTATCGATTTCCTCTTAAATTATTTATAATTAATATCTTAATAAGTCTTATCTAAGAGATGATCCATTTGCCGTCATACATTTGTATGTAGGTTACCTTATTTTATATATATATGTATTTATTTAAAGTTAGTATTGTAAGCTTGTTTTCCGTCTCTTTAGTTTGTTTCTGCGTATTTAATGAGCGTCTTTTGGATACTCCTATAATTTCGTTACCCATTTTATATTTCCATATACTACATACTATATGCAATTTAGATTATAATTATAACTATTTTTAATACTATTCCTAGTTTGGATTCAAGATTGTTTTCTGCAGAACATTGTCTAACAAAAATGAAATTATTCCTTTAACATCCTTCCATCAGTTTGTGATATTGAATAAACAGAAAGAAGAATTGCTTCAGGATCAATGGTATAGCAAATAAATATTTATATGTTTTTAATTTACATTATATAAAAAAATATATCTCCCTGAATACTTGATATCAAATGAAATCTTTACTATGATTAAATATAAAAAAAAGAAGTTTTAAAAACAATTGAAAGAAAACAAAATGTTTTAAAACTACTTACAATTTAAAAGACTCATTCCATTTGGGTGAGAGAGTGTGAGGTCGTACGCTTGTGGCTCTGATGTAGCGTGCGGGAAGTCTTCCGAGGCTGTCACGCTGTTGGCGGCCGTCACGCCGCTTGAAGCTGAGACGGAAACCGTGTTTACGACCTTCGTCTTCAGAGGCACGAGGCGAGGCTGGCAGGGACGCTGGCTGTATGCCCAACATGCAATATGGATCGCTAAAACCTGTCCAAGTGACAATATTGTTAAACTTATGTTGCTGTTTTGAACTTTCCTTATTAATATAGCGTTGTTCGTTTATTAAATGTAGAGTATAATATATTATATATGCATTTCTTCTTTTCTATCTGGCAATTTCCCAGCTTTAGTCAGGGTCTGCCTTACATGTTATGAATAGTTTTGGCTAATTGTTTTTACGACCGGCCGCCTGCCTGACATCAACCCTATTTTGGAAATGCATTAATCAGTGATGTCTAAATACTCTTAGAAAGTACATATGACTCGGAAAAATCACATTGGTACTTGCCCGGGCCAGGATCGAACTCGCGCCCTCGAGCATGAGTGGCGGGCCTGTTAACCACTAGGCCACCACTGACTTCAATACGCATATATAATATATTAATTTGAGCGACATTTTCTGTCGTTCAAGAGAATTCAAAATCCAAAGCAGAATTTCATAAATCGTATTTAGCTTTCACATCGCAGTAACAACTTTGAAACTGTCAAAACAAACTTCACACAGCTAACAGAAAACTGTGAATGTATTTTAACACTTACGCTATTAGTAGATGCATGGGTTTTACGGACAGTTAAAACCTAAGTTAAACTTTTCATCATATTAAATATGGAAAACTAAGAATGATTGTGGAGCTGTTTTAAATATGTCTTTGTTATTATGCGTAGACTATGATAAAGGTCTTGTTAAGGAAAACTGGTTTGTGGATGATGTATAGATTTTTTTTGTCCTTGATGCAAATTTTTCGTATTCTTTAATGAAACTTGTTAGTTATACATACGTTAAATATATCAAAATAAGAAATTTAATAAATTATAAATATATTGTGTTATGTAATCTTAAATAGTTTTACTTAACCAACTTTACCGCTGATTGAGCCATGGACGGAAATAAATTAACAAAATGTAATAATTTTTGTTTAAAATAGCTACAATTGTATACTGAGAATTTATTACTTTTTATTTGTTATGTAAAAAATAATAGCAGCCAGCCTCTCAGTATTACATATAAGGAATATATTTTAGGGACCATGTACAAGAATGACACACTAAAATCCCTTTATCCCCTTTCTATCATCAACCAGAAGCATGGCGGGCCTCCATCCTTTCTTTGTAGACCTTCCACGCATCTCGACGAAGCGATTCCCTTCATACCTCATTCACAAAGCTATGGATTGGGACAATAAGCTTGAGACTATATTTGTTTCCGATCACAATTAAGATGCTTTCAAGGCTAATGTGATTCTGTTATTACTGAGATAATGCGTTCACAATCTATGACGTCATTTGACCAATCAACGGGTAGAATGATAGTCAAGGAGTATGCAGTCAATATCCCTAATAATATTATAAATGCGAAAGTAACTCTGTCTGTTTGTCTGTTACGCTTTCACGTTTTCACGCCTAAACCACTGAACTGATTTTAATGAAATTTGGAACAGAGATGGATTTGACCTCGAGAAAGAACATACGTTAGTTTTTATCCCAAAATTTTGTAAAGGTTCTCTAGGTAACACGATACATGAACTCCACCCGAAGCTTCGGGCGGAAAGCTAGTTTAAAATAAATCAGTATTAATGATAACTTTTGTTACAAATTTTTCCACACAAATTTACTCAAAAGCCAGCAAACGTCCATCTCTACTAATTAGAATCACAACTTTTGTTTCAAACCCATCGCAACTGGAACTAAGTTGAACTATGTACTTATTGCCTTCGTCTCCATAATATAACTTTCTATGGAAACATATTGCTTGTAGAGAAAGTTATGCGAAGGTAAAATACTAAACATTGTCTTTGTAGCATTAAAACCTTAAAAATATATATGCGATTTGTTTGTATTCAAGCAATCAAATAAATAAATATATTCTGCATCAAATATTAATATTTAATAATATATTTTTAATAGTATTTATGTAAAAATCATCAACAAACAAAATATTTTAAATATTTTGTTTTAATATTTAAATAAATATATAACATGCATTTACAAGGAATAAAATAACTTACTGGAAATATTTTTATTTTAATTTATGTTAAATGAGAAATGTCGAACGTATGTTAAATATTATATTTTGTACATATTTATATTATGTTTTGATCGAAAAGCTTTAATTATGAAATGAGTTTCTGTTGGTAATTAGTAAATATTAGGAAGCAATAAATGCTATACAATTTAGCTATTTGCAGAAGCCAAGAAATTAACGCATTTGTTTGCGGGAAGCAAACTAATAAAACGTATATTGACATAAAGTTGTTATATTGACATAAAGTAGTTATGTATACTGTTTTGATAATTAAGAAAGTGACAAATCCTCATCTCTGTTTTACCCCTTTATCTATTTTTAAGGCTTCATTCGCACTGGAATCGTGGAATATTTTCCCAATGTCAACGTTTTTATTTGTTGGACTAATTATAATCTTGAGTGCTGAGTGGAGGAAACACGAAAGGGTTTGTCGCATGGAACAAAGGAATTAATTTAATTATTATTATTCTTTATCTTCTTTCAAAATCTTATTGAGTCATTGTGACTACTAATTTGTATATCTTGAACAATAATTATATTACAGATACGTATTAATTCTCAATTCAAAACATGAGATAATTAGTTTGATAAAATAATAATAATATTAATTAATTAATTTTATCATTAATTCAATTACGCATATACGGAAAAAATAATGTTAATCATTGCTTTCCTTTTCAAGGTACGACATTTATGACATTTTCCATAAGTATCGTCAAAATGTGTACAGAAATGTCATATATTAAAATGTATATAGAATATAAATCTTCACTAAGATTTAATGTGGAAGATAGCTAGAAGTTCACGAAGAAACTATTAATATACTTATTTTGTCATAACACTACCTTTTAATACTTCTTTTTTTTCATTATTAAGAGACTTAAAAGCACAAATTTTTTGAAAGGATTCAAATTTTTATTCCTCTCTATTTTTTATACATTTTATAATCTGTTTATTACATAACAAACATAGAATTAAGAAAAAAATATATCGAGTATGACTTCTCCTTGATATTATAATTTATGATGTAGTGTATATCCGTATTGATTGAACGAACGTGCCTAATTATATTGGCAACGAGGATATTAAAGTACTCGCGAATCGATTTCCATTTAACTTCTTTGTGTAATGTCAGAACAAATTATTACACGTTTTCGTTCAAGGAAAACTAAAAAATATTAATAAAAATGTAAGATTTAGCGAAATCATGACCCAAATATCGAAAGGAAATATGGTATTAGTGATGTATTATCAGTACGGAAATGATAACAAATTTATATCAAAAGTAACTTTATTTAAACCTATTTACGAATGTTTGTCAAAGCGAGGTCGAATTATGTTTATTTGAAAAACTTATTCCTTAATAGGATTTGTATGAAACCTTGTTACTGTATGAATACTTGATTATATATCTTTTTAGTAATTTATATATTACATTTAAAAAAGCCAATAAAATCCATTATTGGAATTCAGACAGTAATAAACATTATTACTTAATATCTACGCAACTTTAAAATTACAGTAAATAAGTCGATAAATTACTTTATGAATAAAATACGAATGTATTTATTTTAATAGTAACTATTTTGAATGATTTTCATGATAAATGTAACATTATGTGTCACACAAAAGGGCATTAAACTGTGAATTTCTATTCAATCGTTAAACACACGTCGGACACGAGGTAGGAAGCGTCAAATAGAGCACACAAGCAAACACGTCTCACTCTATTAGCCAGTAAAGTCGTTTAGTTGAAACACATCAATCTGGGCAAGGTACAGATAAAATATCCGCTTCCGAGAACATCCGCTAGCTTTGTTATTGAAAAGATAGGTACCCGGTCACTTTGTACAATAAAGAATGATGTATGATGTAGGAATGGCAGCTTTTATGATAAGGATATTAAATAATGTTCAGAAAACTACAAACAGTTACAGGTATTCAGAATGTATGGCTGTAGTCTTTAGAACGTCTATGAATTCATTTTTTAGGGTTGGCATCTAAAATACTAGGCCTGATGTAAAAGTAACTGTTTTAATATGATAATAGGACAGTTTAATAGAAACTTTGATGAAATGACACTCATAAAAGCATTAGTTAATTAATTAATTAACCTTAATTTTGTTTTAAATTTTAAATATACATCTTCAAGGTTTTAAAGAAAATAATTATACTTAATACATATGTATGTATGTAAATACTGATATGTGAGCACTATCGTGAATACCTTATTGATACTAGAATATAAAGGAATTATTATTTATTATATATTTTCGATATGAAATTGCAATTTGAAAACGTATATCATTTTTATATTTTTTAAATTTTTTCGATATGAGTTCATGTTTCATCTCGTCTCTTTTTCACTTCAGTTCAGTTTTAAAATAAATATTTCCATGAAAAGCTCCCAATGAATCATTTTATTTACAATCGCAATTAAATTTTATAAAAAATTTCTACAATGACTTCACCGTATAAAAAAAAAGATAATTTCAAAGAAAGTTACTGAACATCAATATCACTTACATTCGTGTAAAACGTATTTAATCCATTAGAAGATAATTATTATATTTAGATAGTACAGAGTCTACTTCTGTCAATAGAGTTCCGTAGTAAAGTTAAAAACTTTTCCGTAATTAAAACTATTCCTTTGTTTATTAAGATAAGATAAAATATTTAACTCAAATAGAATTACCCGATCTATGTATAAAGGTAGCTTTTTATTAATAAATAGTATGATGATAATAATAATTATGTTTTATTATTATATACAAAAAGAGAACACATATTTTCACAGAATATAAAACATGGTTTTACGTTCAGAAATTAACTGTAGCGTGTAAAGAGCAACACGTCAATCAACGTGTCTTTAACAGTCAAAGCTTTTTTTGAAAGCCGATGTCAGATAACAGATAATGTATTTTGTGTTCAACATTGCATTATTCTTGTATAACTATACTTTAATATTTGCAATTTATAAGCTGTAAATTTAACCAATTTTAACATGCTCAAATATAGCATATTTTGTTTTATTTTCAACTTTTGATACAATTTACAAAGTTGTAACATATTTCATTGAGTTATATGTATGTCCAAATTCCGTGGATACCATTTAAAAATAGTACATTTTTATTGGAAAGGCTGCTGAAAATATTTTTTATCAAGTGTCGTTGTGTACCTACATCTGATACGTACATTGGTAGGACTTTTATTAATACTCATCAACATGAAAAAATACCTCACATATCCACATAATTATTGTTACAAAATTCATATGAATTTTCGATAACATTGTTATATACTCATTTATTTAAAAAACCCTTAGGCATGCTGTGTTAATATTATATTTTTTCTCTCAAATACAACAACACTATGTGTATCTTCGTTAAATAAGAATTAAGAATTATTGGCTTTGTTTTATGGGAAAAATATATTTATTTTCATACATTGGAAAAAAGTAAATGCTTAAGAAAAAAGTGGAAGATAATAAGCATTACATATTAATCTTGGTTGGTTGGTTGTTTAAAAATGGCCTTTATCCGTGCAAAGACGTGTAAAATATGTTCTGCAAGTGTCGTGTAGAATGGAGGAGACAGAATATTAATCTTACCATTGGCATCTTTGGCTTCAAGTCCATCAGCTTCGATGACACCACATCCAACCACAACAGTCGGCGGTCGTTCGCTGCCAGCCGCTCTCAGAGCACGAGCATGAACCTCCATGGGAACGTGGAAGGCTCTACGGGCATATTCTATAACCTCCCCTTTATATGAACCAAACTGCCCATCAGGTGCCGGCGCGCCAACAGCATTCTCGATAGAATATAACACCTGAATCACATAATAATATCAATATCTAAAACTCTTCAATTCCGAAAAAAGAGGAATAATTCAACAACAAATATCAACGGTATAAGAAATTAATAAAAGTTGTTGTAATAATTGCAAATAAAACAATTAACTTTCATCATCTATAGTAAAACAAGTCCTGGATAAAAGTTCTCGTAATAGTTCTAGAATATTATCGAACATTCAGAATTAATTTATCTTCAACCGTACCTATTTTTATTGCAGTATGCGAAGTGCTCACATGTACAGACAGCAATCGAAAAAGTAATTTGATTCCTATGATAGAGCGTTTTCCAATCTCAAAATAGAATGTATTTTACATACTCGTATAACTAACTTTATGTAATTAGGTAACATTCAAAAACATTTACATCGTGAATCGTGATATCTCATTAAAACTTTAAGGGTTTCATTTGGTTATTAGCATAACATATAATACGCAATAACTATACATTAGTGTTTATTTAATACCGCTTTATTTACATTGTTCTTCATGAAAACATACTCGTATATATGTAGTATATTCAGAATGGGGTACAACAAAGGAAAACGCTGCAAGTAATCTTAACAAACCATTTAGAAGACGAAGTACGTTTACATAGGTAGGTGGAGTCAGTAATGAGAAAAGGCTGTCGTGCTGGAATGTGTTTGAGGGAACAGGTTCGCGTGTTTTAAGTATCTTACTGCTAAAGCATTGTACATAGTGGCAAAAGAGATAACGTTCCGCTCTCAACGTAGCCTACATTATTAACTACAAGTGAAATATTAATTTAAAGCTTCAGATAGTAGTTTTAAGAAATATTGAATTATAACATTATTATTTTTAGACTATTTATTTAATTATTTTTCACTCGTTATGATTTTTAAATATATGTATATATTTTTTATATATTCAATTGCCATTTTATGTTATCTATTTAATGTATCATGCTTGAATTTCTATTTCAATTCTTTATATGTATAATAATTGAATTATATGTTTGTCGATAAGCGGATCAGGTTTCATTAATCTGCGATCATTTAAACAGTTGTTACTCATAATACAAAAACAAAACCTTTATCTGTTCGTGTGATAATAATTAAATAACAACATTTGTTTTGTTATATCGAAATAATATTTTTTACTTCTTGAATAAACGCTTCCGCTATTTTGTAGACAACATCTCCCCTTCGGCCAGTAATCAATTTGTTAGTTTCATTGCTTACTGCTTATGTATTTGTCGATGGCATTTGGTTTAAGGTACATATTTATTTATGTGTGTTTACGTGTGTATGTGTGTGCGTGTGTGTGTGTGTGTCTGTATGTGTAAGCATACACACAAAAGAGACAACACAAAACATTTGGCTGAGGTAGTAAATTAGGAAAACAAATATAAAGATGGTGACACCTGTGAGATGTTTCATTGTACGGCAACCTATGAAAATATTGATTAGGATTTCGTTAGAAAACTTTTACAATATCATTTCTTATCAGGGCTCAGGAACACCCTAAAAGACCGCCGAAAAATGGCTTAGTAAATCAAAAATAGTATGTTCGAATAGTGGCCTAACGATCTCTTTTTAAACTAAATTTCTAAATAAATTTCTATTAATAAACACACGAGTCAAGAATGAGAAATTATTAACAAGAATAATCCGAGTTCAATCTGTAATTTAGATGAAGTTGTTATTGATTTTAATTAACTTAAACAAAATGTTAATTAGTAATGCAAAACAACAGTTCGATCGAGCGTTAAGTTCTCTTGATTCTTAGTTTGTGTTTAAATTAATCTGAAAGCAAAAGTCACGACATTTAAAATTATTGTGCTCTGGTTCGAATAAGGAAACGACAGACTGTCATTAAATATATTATTATCTTGTCGCAACTGGTATTGTCATAAAAAGAAATAACAATTGTTTATTTTTTATATTTATCTTTGTAAACAAAATATCAAACGTTGAATATAAATGCAAATTTAAAATAATAAGTAAATAAATATACATAATGTGCTGCTGTAAATTTAGGGTTCATGATTATTCGTAAATATGGAAATTTAGAATAAGCTTGTCGTATGTCAATAAAAATTATGAGAACATTGACATCTGAGCGTTAAAATTTTATTACATTCGTTTTATCTTTAAAGTCTCGCTGTCTCCAAAATTCGGGAGCAAATATTTTTTATTATCATAAATGTATTATAGCTATGGTCACTACCTACAATTATAAGAGCGACTGTTAATAAAAACAAAGTAATTTGCAATCACTATTCAAAAATGTCAGCTCTCTAAAAAGTTTCTAGAATTAAGACATGCAGATTATTATTATATATATATATATATATATATATATATATATATATATCTGTATATATAAAAGAAAATTGTGTTAGTTATTTATAACTCAATAACGGCTGTAGGTATATGGTTGAAAAGTGGTGGCGAGATAGCTTAGAACTAGGAGACGGACAGAGGATATTTAATTTTGTTCGATCGAAAAAGGTTTTTTTAAAATAAATTCTATTATCTGGTTACATATGGCCTCTAGGGTGGTAAAGAGTTCACCCGGTCAGGTCTACCTATATAACTAATTAATGCGACGAAACTGCGGGCAAACACTAGTATAATATACATATATATGTACCTCTGTATACAAATGCTCGTGCTCCTTATGAGAGAGTTGCGCGGATACACTTGGCAGGCCAAGATCGTGGGGTGCAGGTGGTGGACGTTCAGCTCGAGCCTCCGCCAGCCTCAGAGCAGCCAGCCGCCTGTTCTCCTGACGCCAGGACAGAGCCGTGAAGCTCTCGAAGTATGAACCATCTGTATCTTGCACCCTGAGGAGATAGAAGACTTTGTGAAGAAGAACTGTGTGGAGAAAGAAGACTTTATGAGTCTAAAATAGGATTATATTGTAAAAATAAATGTTAAGTTACGGTTTGCATCTTTCATTGTATTAAATAATTATTAACGCTAAAGTTATGAAACGTTTTCCTATTATAATATTTTTGAAATGTCAGAAAAATAAATATTTTTTTGCATTTAGTCAATGATAGCTATTTTATTTAGAAATACAATAAAGCCTAAGTGTTATGCTTTACATCATAGAAATGTGTACTTAAAGTATGGTTAATAATATTGTTATCATAACATTTATTTAGTTTTTTTACAAAAAATGCTTGCAATATAATACGAGTAGTTTTGAATAAAATGAAAGCATACAAAAGAATTCCAAACAATATTCACATATGACGAATGGAATTTGGCTTACAGGGACTTCTAGAAACTTCCATGAATTCATGCAGTATTTTTTATACAGCCAAAGCTTATATCAGGTAGACAATTTGATGACGTTTATTTTTAAATTGAAAATTCAGTGTATTTCCAATATTTTTATGGTATTAATTATAAAATTAATGACTTTTTATTAAGGCTTTGTGTTGTATTATAGTTAAATAACAAATTTAATTATAATTTTAAAGTGATTTCTCCAATGTCGAAATTATTTTTTAATATTTTATTCCAGAAGAAACTATAAAGAATATATTTATAGTTCCACTTATTCGAACAATCTTCCTGAACGTGTTGGATCCAATGTTCCATATCTGAACAAACATTGAGTTCAGTCGTTTTCCATCTCAGTAAATAATACGTACATTTATTTTGTATCGAAAATTGTTAACGTTATAACAAATAATTGGCTCAATAGAAATTTAACGGCGTTATAAGTTCGTTACAATGTCGACTTTATTACTTGTAAAATGTTTTTTCATAATATAGGAACATATTCTCTGCCTTTTTTATATTGTAATGTCATAGAGTTTATTACTTGTATTTTTTTAATTTTGGAACATTTTCTGCACTTTTTAATGTTTAAATTGCAAAAAATATATAAGTGTGTTGCCAACGTCACGCTCCGTTTCTATATAAAATATTTTAATATAAGTTGAGCACAAAATACGGAAGCAACTGCTTAGTAATTCGTTTAGCCACTACCTATAACTACTTGTTTTCTGACTTAGACATATTCAATATGAAGAAATCAGAATTTAAAAAGGCTTTAAAAAACAAGTGACATCTTAATTTATTATTAAAACACACAAATGCATACATACTTACCTACACACGAACACGCTCACACCCACACACACACACTTACACATTCGCTCACACTCAACGAACAGTCTTGCTAATTAGATTAGTGATCCATTAATTAATACTTAAGTTACGTTTATGTTTATACTTTTACTTTAACTGTGTAATCCTGTATTGGTCTTAGTATTGTTTAGTTTTACTTTATCATGTCATTAATATAAGCACTGTTGGATTACCGAAATAAATAAAATGTATTAAATATATAAAAGTAAAAACATTCTATTAATTATATCTACAAAAAAAACATTCAAATAAAATTATTAAAATATCAATTTTAATCATATTATTATAATTATTTTACTACAAATAATACAGGATAAGATTTTTTATGCTATGGTTTCATTCGCAAGGATAAGACTTAATGTCGCCAAGCAGTTTAAATGCGCTGACATTTACTTGTTTTTGATAAGACAACCTGTCACACGAGATTTATTTATAAACTTACTGTTACATTCATTTTTAATTATTTAAACGTATAGTATAGATATTCAAATAAGACAAAGAATAATAATAAAAAGGCAGAATGATCTAAGATCATATCATGTCCTAAAGGACGAATTTAGAAAAAATATATAGACTTTTTTGTCTCCTTTTTTAAATTTAGCCGGAACAAAAAGATTTGATATAGACATTTTTATAAATACCAATTACATTATATCCATTGTACCTAGCTTTTTTGAAAACAAGATAAAATCACATGTATTTTTTTTACATGAAGTTTTTTATTCAATATACATTTCTATACTTATTAACATTTAAATAAGAAGCACTTATAACATTTAAGAACTGATTTATAATCTATAAAATAATCAATGTTTTCATAATGTATACTTACAAAATACTGTACAAAATTAACAAAGAATTTTCTTTAATTCTGCATTACAAAATAACATTAGCTTCATTAAATTCTGAATAAAATATAGCAATACTTTTAATTGGAACCCTCTTATGAATTAGCATATGGTATACCTTCGCATTACGACCCTGTCAGATTAATTTTCAACGTAAGCTAAGCACTTTGATCTCGGCTGTGGACCTGAATCTGTAAGGTTGTATCTCGGTAATACAGTAATCATGTAAATATTAACCCTTTGTAATATATTGTAGCATAATATGAGAATTTAAACGCGTATTAGGTAATATCACCAATATACACAATTTTATACTTAATCCAAGTGTAACTTGTCATATGTATTCCTATTTTTTACTTGATAATATTATATTATCAGAGCCCACTGCTAAGCAAAGGCCTCTTCTCACATTGAAAAGGTTTGAGCATTAATCACCACGCTTGTTCAAGACGGGTTGGCGATTTCAAATTTGTAATTGGAAATTATAAGTCCAGGTTTCCTCACTATGTTTTTCTTCACCGTCTGTCAGTGGTGTCTAAATACTCTTAGAATAATATTAATATAGATCATATTAAGAAACGTAAGACGCTTCTTTATGTGACAAAGTAAAATTTTAGTAATCGTACTGTCTGTATTAAAATAGCTAAACTAGAACATTACATGAATGCGAGGTGTTGAAGTATATGATCATATCTTGTTGTATCGTATATATATTTAAAGATCTAGAAGACTTGTTAATTTTAATTGATTTTTCTTTTAGGTCTTCTTAGTTGGATAAAATTTAATTGTAACACATAAACATCTAACATATGTAATGATTGCAATATTCAATATTGAATATTTTACTATTATCATAAAATATATAAAGTTAATTAACGCTCGTCTATCATTTTGTAGTTTAAAATGAAACAGAAATAAAAAATAATAACTAAATATGAAGACAAACAAGTTTATATCACTAAAAACATACATAGAATGAAATGAAAATATTATTATAGCAATTATACATTTATATGAAAACGACCCTTTAATAAAAATTCAGTTGAAGCAGCGTCAAAAATTATGTAACTCTTTAATGAACGGAGTACTCTATTAATAAGGGCATCAATCATGTTTTGGTTTAATATAATGGGTGTAATCGGAAAATTACTGAGCCGTTATATACCCACGTTTTAAATTCAGTCGACCCTCCATCGTGCCTCTTAAGTGTAGGCTCTAATAAATTGATTGTATTATTCGACTGTTTCGCAATCACAGATCGAGACTTCATTATTTTATCGAAATAAAACAGTTACATATTTTTTTAATAAAATATTTTTAATGCCTTTATTTATTTATTATAATCAATAAAGTTGTAAATGTTGTAAATGTATATACACATAAATTTTAACATATAAACATATGTGCTTTTTAAAGGATTTTAACGTAAACGAAGATAATTTTTAACCTTGTTTTTAATACATATATTATTTTCTTACTATACTCATTTCTCACAGGTTCAAAGTTTTTCAATCTCATTCATCGCCGGAGATATGTCACTAATTTCAAGTAAACTACTTCTGTAAAGAAAGAGAAAAGACCACGAGTTTCTTTAACATTTGTTACACTCGGGTATGAGACGGATAAATGTATGGAAGAAGCTTCCAGAATCGCTTTTTAAAATAGTTGTTACATAGAAAATAAAAATAATAAAAATTGGTATGAGACATAAATAACAAAACTTACAAGCGTGCTAATTTTATTTTTTACGCTAGAAGATGCTTTGTATATATGTACCTATTAATTAGGCTTTCTTAATAATATACAAATATTTTTACTCATAAATCAATAATTTAGATACTTTAAACAAAATATATGTAAACCAAAAACATAACATTGAGTGTGTATAGAAAAGGTGTCTATTGAAAAATAATATCGTAGTAGTGCTCTTTTTGTAGTTTTTGATAATGTTTTTAAGAATCTGCGAACTAGTATATATGTAACAGAAGCAAGGTTTAGATTTTCACGCGACATATTCTATAGGAAATATTTTAATAAATAAACTTAAAAAAATATTAACTCTTTAATGTAACAACACATTCATTAAATATTAGGACAATCACTTCAATTTTCAAAAATAGTTTTGGATTTTGTTTATCACCTAAGTTAAAAATAGTTTGTATCTGAGAGTAAAATTTATTCATGCAATTTTGAACCGCAGAGAATTTATCCATATATATGTATACTCCTAATATTGCCTGTCATGAGATCATTATATAAAAAATGTGAATACTTCACATGTTTTTGTAATAAAGAACTGACTTTCAAAAAAACTACTCAAAATAAAATCTTAATATGAAAAAAGGCCTTTTCTACATATAAAACAATAAATCAGATTAGAATTTTCTTTAACACTGCAGTGATAAATTTCATTTTGTCATTTGATTCATAGAGCGTACTAAAAGGTTGACAAAGATGGAAGATTCGCGCCGTCGTAATAATTCAAAGCAAATTAAGCTTCACAGGCTTGTGATTTCTGAATTAAGTTCGTAAGATAGTGGCCTTTTCACAAGTAAATCTATCCATTCGCGATCGATACGGCCAGGCTTATCAATCCGGCCAGCGGAGTGCTTTTACTACAGTGACACGCATGATGGATGTTGCTATATAAAACGGCCTTGCGTTTAATAAAATCTCCTGTTTGTTCTGGATGATTGACTTTTTAATATAAACCGGATTTTTATGAGTTAATGATATTATGATTTTAAATTAAAAACTCTGCTCGGTAAATATATTTCTTAAGAATCAATTGGATTGGGATAAATCAGTGGCTATTAATAATTTTTATATTTTTGTTTGTCTTAGTTATTTTTCTATAAATTTCTAACAGTTAATATCAGATTTGCCTGAAGGAACAAGATACAGAAATCTTAAAAAATAAAATTTCGAAACTACTTTTTCTTTTTTTAGCTTGGAATAATGTAAAAGTAAGTCGGCTTTTACATTATGTAATATATTTCATAAGTATTCATGACACTGAAAGCTTCGAAAACTTGTCAATTTACTGTGTTATACTGAGATCGACACAATTTTGCTGAGAATAGCACAGAAATTCATATCCTTACCCTTTCAGGTAAACTAACTTTGAAAATAGAAGGTCTAAGATTATATTCTAAAGTATGTAAAGATTTACTAAAAAATATATAGAAACAAACAGCAAAGATAAAATAGATTTTAATTGTATTGTTGTTATTCTTTAGTACTAATTAGTCAGCTCCAATTAAAATGTTGTCCCTTAAGATTCTTGGAAACGAGAAATAATTAAGTAGTTGAAGTTTACTGCCCGAAGTTAGAAAGGCTTTGCAGTTCATCCTGAGTTACAGGCGATTGAAATAGAACAGTAATTAATTAAATCAAAACAAAATCAGAAATGTTTAAACATCTTTCTTTGTCGGTACAAATTAACGACGAAGTTGAAAGCCTGGGGGATGAAAGGTATTTTGGTTATTTTTATTGCAAATGAGAAATATTAAAAGTTTAATTTTGGTCAGACGAACATTAATAAATAGAGTTAAATTATATAGAAACTATTCTAAAGTTTTATTAAATAAGTTTTTGATTTTATATTAGAATCCTATATTTGTCTCATTATAATTATAATGTTTTGACTTTGGAATGTTTACTAGACGATTGTAACCGGTGTAAACGTCAGCTTTGTTAAGTACCTTTTTAAAACGTTAAACAGTCAATCTGAACTAATTTTAAAATACAGATTATAATTTATCATAAATCTATTTTTTGTAAAGACTGAATGGTTAACAAAATGCAAATTCAACTGTCATATCCAACTTCATTTTGAAATGAACACCATTACTCGTATATACGCCTCCGCAATATATATAGTTCATGTCTTTCTTCAAATACGTCATCAGCCTATCAGAGCCCGCTGCTGAGCAAAGATCTCTTTCTCACATGGAGAAGGTTTGAGCATTAATCACTACGCTTGCTGAAGACGGGTTGGTGATTTGAAATTTATAATTGTGATATTTTAAGTCCAGGTTTCCTCACGATTTTTTCCTTCACCTGTCAGTTGTGTCAAAATACTGTTAGAAAGAACATATGACTCGGAAAAATCACATTGGTACTTGCCAGGATTGAACCTGCGCCCTCGTGCACGAGAGGCGAGCTCTTTAACCACTGACTAAAATTTCTTTAAATACATTCTCACTTTTGTTGGCAAAACTTGGTGAGGATGAATGGATTGTCATTTTTAATAAAACTATCGAAAAGATTGTGTTACGACATAACGTAGTTCGTACATAATTACTTCGAACAATAATGCTTGCTGCTGCAATAAATAATTAATGATTCAGTTCGCTAAATGTTTTAAATTCCATTTATATTGAAACGAAACTAATTTTAAATGGAAGTTATTTTTTCGGATAACTACACGTATTTGATTATTTTACAAACTACATACTCCCGACGTTATATATCCATTTATATTGGTTGAAAAACTATATTGAGAATACTCAATAAATTGTTTTATACGCGTAACTATTACGTAGTACAGTAAGTAGGTCATGGCGTGACCTGTTGCATCTCCTAGCTCCCCTCATCAGCCCCGCCTTGTACTACTCCATAAATGGAAACCGTGAAAATGCCCTTTTGTTTTAAATATTATGTCACTTAAAGTATGTAGTATTTTAGTAAAAAAATAAAGATCGTTACATACATACATTTAAGAATCCAACTATGAAAGTCTAGCTTTTGTTCACAAAGCATAACTTATAAGTGTAAGGAAGATTCCAGCTTGAATTGATCTTGAGCCATTTGTTTAATCAATAATAATTATGATAAAGCATTGACAAAGACCAGTAATGGTTTAATAACTGGAAAAAGATAAACGAGTTTCTGTTCCGTATAAATGAGGTATCGATACCCAATAAATAATAATAAATAGGTCTGCGTTCAGAATAAAGGAATTGAAGTTATATTTATTTGTTACCATTAGTTCATTGTTTCACTTTCATGTTGAAAAAGGCTAACTAGCAGAAGAATTAATTTAAATGTTTATTAATTTTAAGAGATTCAATCTCAGATATTTGCCAGGGAATATTTTGAAGTTAATACAGGTTTAAAGTGATCAAGCACCTTTGGACTTTTACACTGACTATCTGTTTTAATTGATGACATTTTATAAAAAAATATTGTTACTGTATGTAAATGAAAGTAATTAAAGTAGCAAACATTTTTTTTTTTAATTATTTTTCGTTCCATTTCAACTTTTTCATATACTTTTTTTATTTATAACTTTGATGGATGGATGTTCATTATTAAATTAAGGAAAAAGATAGTTAATTTGATCTGATTGATTCATCGTGGGATTTTTAAAAATCTAGAACTATCTATTGGCTATTCTTTTGACTGTAAAAAAGTTGTTTTTGTGGTTTAGATTTGTTTGAATATATCTATACATAGCATCGTTATGAAGGTGGTAAACATAAGCTACATTCAAAGCTATGGTTTATTAATTATTTTGTTATCGATGTCAGCAGTTTGCAAACATCGTAACTGTTTAATCGTGTAGGCGAACGTTACAAGTTGAAGCTCGTACAGCTTTCTCATGTGTATGTATTAACGACCATGAGAGCTCTTCACATTACTAATATTTTGACCTTTAATTGGTTACACTGAATGAGGACAGTTATTATATACTCATTCTATCACTTTGACTGACAATTTGGCTTTAACCAAAAAAATTCACCTAAATTCCTCAAGACCGTGTTATTTTTCATTTGTTTTCTTTTAAAACCAAAGTTCCAGCTGTATAGTATAGCTACAATAACATTATGTATTTAAGAAACTTTAAATAACAAATTGTTTTACTAATATTTATATATAAATTATCTTTTAATTTCTCGTTCGCTACATATTCATCAAAATATATTTATATAATTTATTATTAAAGAGCTTCAGATTTATTTCAAGCCTTTTTTATCCTTTAAAGCTTTTTTTAAAAAATTTAAAAAGGTTTATGTTTTCTTTTTTCATGTCATTCTAAGCTCTTAATAAGTAACAAAATATTTAAATTAAATTAAATAAAAACCCCAAAACATAATTTTCTATGACTCTTAAGTATAGAAGTGTTTTAAAATATATTTCTGAAAAGCTTTACTGTTATTTGACAAATTATTATTTCGTTATATAAAGTGATAAACATGACTAGGCATCATAAATGCATTACGGTCCGAGCTTTAACCTTTGCACTATACTGCAGTAATTTCCTTAACCTGTTGCTTTATTGCATTTCAACCTGTATATAAAATAAATTGTATCAAGGGTGCCGTAGTTGAATTTATCATGAGCAGGATATGGGCTTGGGGCCTCGGTAATTGCTCCCGTTTGAGATGTGAACCAATTATAAAGTGCTCTGCCGTGCGTACATTCAGTAGAGTAGATAAGTTAATGCTCCTTTGAAGTGAAATATACGCTTACGCTGTCGATTCGCTCTATCATAAAATAATATGAATTTATCTACTTTAAATACTGGACAGAAAAATACAAATGCTGTTTCCATATGTTTGAAATCATGGTTATGTGTATGCGTGTGTGTAGTTAAGTGCGTAAAGAATTTATTAACTTAGGATATTTTATATAACAGTATGTAAAGTTATATCTCGTAATATGCAACTAACTATTGGAATTGTATAATCTATAAGGTATAGGTTCTTCCAATCAAAGAAACTGTTATTAGTATCCCCTTACTGATAAATTGACTCATCTAACAACGGGAGACCACGTCGAAAGAGAACAGCTTTATTTATCGATAACCATTATCAAAATTAAATATACGGTTTACTGCCTCCATCTAATTTACTATGCTAAGAAACGAATTTTAAATTAAGACGGGTACGGGCATAAGAATGTTTACTCAGTGAACATTTTGGTCGCTATTATGAAAATATGGAATAAAAACGATTTAAGTAGATGGTAAGTGTCACTTGATTACCATAAAAAAAATGAATATCTAAGATTTTCCAATATTACAGATCAAAATAAAAATTTGTAATAAAAATTTTATGAAATGAAAATTTTATTTCATTGCTTAAAATAAGAGAATTAATGTCTTAAAATGACTTAAAAGTAGTAAAATCTATCATCCTACATACATAATGAATTCAACGATTACAGTCTTAAAGTCTAGCATTATTTAAAGCTCTTGTTTCGTAAATTAAATTAATTCTCAACATTCATATAAAACATTCCTCAATATACTTACCCTGAATTCACAGAATTATCTACTTCTGGCCATGACAGTCTTCGTCTACAGAAAGCCATAGTCGGTTTTTCGGGAAGTTGAGGTTGCTTAGGTACGCGGAGCGAACCTCCCCGACGTGTCATAGCAGCCGGAGCTAGACAATCTAGTGTACGACGACGAGCGTTAAGGGCAGACGCGCCCTCTGTTGGTAGTACTCGAGGAAATCCTGCAAAAAAAAAAACATTTGTCATTATGTCGTAACGATTCTTTACTAAAATAAAGTAAACTCTTGTCATGTCACCTCATAATTAAAATCTTATTACATAACACTTAAATACATATATGTATGATGAGCGTGTTTGTATTCTATCTGTAGACGTCTTCAAGGCCTTGTAAAACGTAAATATCAGCTTTTCGTATAACCTTTCCACACCGGTTTCATTTAACAGGGCCCTTAGCTTTTATTATCATTAAAATCTATAAATACCATATCGGATTTATTCTGGATATCAGTTGTTTGACTCCAGTAAACAAAGCAAAATGTTCAAGATAGTGGTGTTGTCCGCTATCTTGGCAGCGGCGGTTGCTGACCCCGAACCATCACTTCTCGCAGCTCCTGCCTACATTCCTGGTATTATTTCTTCTGCAGCAAGAATTTTGCCACCCTCAAGCTACGTGTACCAGTCACCACTAATTTCAGCACCTCTATCGTACTCCGCTTCCTTGGGCTATGCTCATCTCATCAAGAAGCGGTCAGCGCCACTGGTACTAAGCCTCAACTCCTTCCCCTCTTCATACATCGCACCTGGTAGCTACGCGTACTCATCTCCGATCGTGAGTTCCTACTCCGCTGCTGCTCCTTTGGTACCAGCTATCGGATCTGGTCTTGTATATTCTTCAGGAGCTCATTTCATTAAGAAGCGGTCAGCACCCTTGTACTCATCGGCCTACATAGCTCCGTCAAGCTACATCTCTCCTCTTAACTACGCCACACCTTTTGTAGCTTCAACTTACTCTGCCCCTGTCTTTTCAAACCCCTTGACCTCATCAGCACCCTTCTCCTACCCAACTCATCTGATCAAAAAGCGTTCATCAAAAGTTAAAAGTCAAAAATCAAAAACCAAAAAGATCCTGGATCTTATTCTCAAGAATCCCGGTTTGATTATAAGGCAGCTTGACCAGACACCACAACCCATATCTTATGCTACTCCTCTAAGCTACTCTCATCCCATTTATGGTTAAAAATAACTGGACTCCATAACGACACCAGTTACCATTTCTGCAAAATAAAGTACGAATTTAAACACTAAAACATTTTTTTTATTTTTACTAACGAACCTGGTTTCAAGGATATTATACATTTTCATATACAATATTTAAAAAAAATATTTGAAAATGATCATAGATTTCCTCTTTCTAGGCATGTAGCCTAATTTACTTCATTTTTTTTTCAAGTAATTTAGACTATTTTCTAAAATTATCGAAAGATCTTCAAAACGTCACACATATAAAAATAACTCTCAACGTTTAATGAGGAATCCGGGGAAAAAATATTTTACATTAGTTCCTTTTGATTATTTGCCTTGACATGACCAATATAAAACTTAAAGACGTGTTTTAATCAGTTCCCATTAAGGGATTGTTTTTTTTCAGTATATATATTAAATATCACTAAGATATTTCATGGGAATTCCAATTTATAAAATGATTAAAATAATTTAATTTTCGTCTTAAGTATCCCTATGATAAAAAAGATTTCATGTGAAGGCGTTATATGAATAAGAATTGCGGTATTGATAGGTAAATAAAATATAAAATATATATATATTATAATAGTATAATAACACTAAGAATAATAGCAAGCAAATACGTTACGAATAAAATTTTTATGTATGTAATTTTAGCCAGTGTCTATGTTTTTCTGTTGTTAATATGCATACATATATAAAGTAAATGTATTCATTTCACTTATATGTACACAGTATACACACAAACGTTTTTTTATACCAATATACAACTGTTCTTTGAACATATGGATATAAAGTTTCAATTTTAATATTTTACATGGCAAGAAAATATTCTTTTTTTTGCATTTTTACACACTGTTATTAGCCTGGGTTGTATTTATGTATGTAAAGCAATCTTTGATTTAATTTTCACCTGTTTCTAGAAATCTGAATAATTTGAAACTTTGCATATGGATCAAGGACCGACGAAAATGCAATAATTTGATAACAGTTTTCCATTATCCTTATAAGGGCGGCCAGGATTAATGAATTCTCTTATATATCATCTGTAGTGAAGTGAAAGATATAAATGTCTCCAGTTTGGGCTCACTCCTTAAGTAATTTTCAATTACAAAGAAATTATTTTAATTCAGAGTAAAATGCGTGAGGTGCATTTGACAACGTTTCATATCTTACCTCTCATAGATAGATGCCACTAAAATGATTGTAAAATTTAATATCAAGCACCAAACGATTTTTAATCTAAATTGAAATAATTTCTATTTAAATGTAAATTAGATTCGATTTTTTAATTCGGTTAACTATAAAAGCGTGTTTTGTAAACTATTATTATTTATTATAGAGCAACATAGGTAAGAACGGTGTCTCATTATGATGTTTCGATTGCAGTGGTTTGGGAAGACAATCAATATCTTACGATGATTTTATGGTATTATCTTTAAAATATTACTAAAAATAACATTATTCATTGCAAGACACATACCACCGTGACAAGCCCTTGCCAGACACCCTAAATGATCAAAGTATTATTTTTTTAGTATTTTTTACATGCGTATATTAGCTAAACTATATTATCAATCAATATTATATGATATTTTCAAAGATAAATATTATATTAATTATTAAGTATGAGACTTATAAATAATTTTATTTGTAATATTTAGCTGAAAAATCACTTTTTACTATTTGACTAAAGTAGCTCTGCATTTTACACACTTTTAGTACTATTTATCTTATAAAACCATTGCAACGCAAACTTCATAATAGGTCGTCGTTCTTACCTGTGTTGAAAGAATGCGCTGGCAATCTTTCAGCTTTTATACAATTACGAAAGTCTATGATTCACGGACTCTTAAACAAAGTTTTGTCTGCAGTATATTGTTTCTAAAGAAGTCTCCGAAGGCATACCTTAGATTTGGAAAGAAAAACAATGAGATTGTAATAAATTAAAGGTTAAATTTCCGGAACTGTTTTAACTGCATTGACTGAAATTAAAATGTAAAAGTTACTATCGTATCATCTTCTATGAAACAGGGACTCTCTCTTTTTTAAAGGTCCATAGCAAATAATTTAATAAATATATAAAATAAACTAGGATTTGTATACAACTTTGACTGCCTTGGCATCTGTATTATGTGAAAAGAGAAATTGATAATAATTCACCATTCCTTAGACATATCTATCGTCTATGAAGTAAGTTCATACTCCATACAATTATGGCGTACAACAGTCGAAAAAACCGACTGCCGTACAAACTTCAAGGAATAAAAAGATAAATAGCCGCATATATGTATGTTGTTCACATGTCAAAGCTACATTTCATATGATTTCGTTCAGTATAATTTACATGAAAAATTAAGTAACATCCATTCATTCGTATTTATACATAATATTAATAGGGTATGTTCCACATGCCAACCACATTTGGCCATATTTGTCTAACTTAAGCATTTGAAACTTTTTGTTAAAAAAAAGTATGACCTACACGAACAAATTCTATTATTTTTTTATTACAATTTTCCACCATCTACTTCTATAAGAAAATAAAATTGAATAAGTAGAAAATTAAAAGTACCATCTCAGCTATTAAACAAATGTCCTTGCGATACCAGTTTACAGGTTCAGTCCTCACCTTTCATTATTCATATATTCCTATAAATACTTATCAGTTTTTGTGTTTAGTATCAGTTGCTTAATAACAACAGAACCTAACAAAATGTTCAAATTAGTGGTGTTGTGCGCTTTCGTGGCAGCGGCGATTGCTGACCCCGACCCACAAATTTTCGCAGCTCCTGCCTACGCTCCTGGTATTATTTCTCCTGCAGCAAGAATTTTGCCAGCCTCAAGCTACTTGTACCAGTCACCACTATTCTCAGCACCTCTGTCATACTCTTCTCCCTTGGGCTATGCTCACCTCATCAAGAAGCGGTCAGCACCACTTGTTCTGAACCCCTACTCCTTCCCCTCTTCATACATCGCACCTGGTAGCTACGCGTACTCATCTCCGATCGTGAGCTCCTACTCCGCTGCTGCTCCTTTGGTACCAGCTATTGGATCTGGTCTTGTATATTCTTCAGGAGCTCATTTCATTAAGAAGCGGTCAGCACCCTTGTACTCATCGGCCTACATAGCTCCATCAAGCTACATCTCTCCTCTTAACTACGCCACACCTTTAGTAGCTTCAACTTACTCTGCCCCAGTCCTTTCAACCCCCTTGATCTCATCCGCACCTGTCTCCTACGCGACTCATCTGATCAAGAAGCGCTCTGCTCCTCTAGCCATCGCCGCCTACTCTGCTCCTGGATCTTATTCTCATGAATCCCGGTTTGAATACAAGGCAACTGGACCACTCACCACGACCTACACATCTTATCCTGCTCCCCTGAGCTATTCTCGCCCCATTCCTTTTTTTGTCTAAAATTACTGTGAGGTTGGACTTTATAACGACATCAGTTACCATTTCTGCAAAATAAAATACGAATGTAAACACTAAAACATTATTTTTATTTTTTCTTACGAACCTAGTTTCACGGATATTATACATTTTTGTATTCAATATTCAACAATAAAAATAAATATATATACCGTTTATAAAAATGGCCAGAGATTGTCTAAAGTTATCGAAAACTCGAAACATACACAATAGAAAGATTTAGAAAATTATAATAACAATTTCTTTCTAAGATAGACAACTTGAATTCTTATTTATAAAATGATTTAAATATATGGATATATGAATCCTCCTTAGCATTTTTTTTTTAAATATTCCTTTTATTTAAGCGACTTCTTATGAAGGCTTTACAAGAATTGCTATTGTAAATAAAATAATATATTGCACCATTTTATTGAAAAATATACACCAATTTTTTAAATAAAATTTATGATATTATAATAGCAGTAAAAATAATAGCAAGCAAATACAGTACGAACAAAATTTTAATGTATGTAAATTTAGCCAGTGTCTATGTTTTTCTCTTGTTAATATAATGTAAATGTATTCATTTTACTTATACATACTCGTACCATACACACAAACGGTTTTTTATACCAATATACAACTGTTCTTTGAACATATGGATATAAAGTTTCAATTTTAATATTTTACATGGCAAGAAAATATTCATTTTTTTTACACGCTTTTATTAGCTTGGGTTGTATGTATGTAACGGAATCTTTGAGTTTAATTTTCACCTGTTTCTAGACGTCTGAATAATTTGAAACTTTGTATACGGACCACGGACCGATGAAAATGCAATAATTTGATAATAGTTTTCCATTTTCCTTAGGGCCGCTAGGATTAATTAATTCTTTTATATGTATATCCTCTGTAGTGGAGTGAAAGAAATAGATGTCTCCAGTTTAGGCTTACTCTTTCGCTTTTAAATTTAATGAATAAAAAAAGTAAATATAATAATAGTTTAAAAAAACTAAAAAACACACTTTATAGCTAACCAAACCAAAAAAGTAGAAAATAAGTTTAAATTACAACGAAACTATTTTAATTAAGAGTAAAAAGCGTGAGGTGCATTTGACTACATTTCATATCTTATCATAGATAGTTGAAACTATGTAGAATGATAGTAAAATTCAATATCAAGCACCTTCGTTACTTTATAGAAGCTGAAAGTTTGCAGCGAATGCTAGGAACATATGTAGGTAAGAACGGTGGCTCATTATGATGTTTCGATTGCAGTGGTTTAGGAAAACAATCAATATCTTACGATAATTTCATGGTATTATCTTCAAAATATTACTAAAAATAACATTATTCATTGCAATACACTTAACAACGTGGCAATCCCTTGCCAGACACCCTAAATGATCACGGTATTATTTGTTAAGTATTTTTTACATGCCTTTATTAGCTAAATAATATAATCAATATTATATGATATTTTCAAAGATAAATTTTATATTAATTATTTAGTATGAGACTAATGTTAAAAATAATATTGCTTACCTTATAATGTAATCGCTGAATTTTATTTGTAATAATTAGATAAAAAATCACTTTTTACATTTTGACGAAAGTATATCTATATTTCGCACACCTTTCGTACCGTTTATCTTATAAAGCCACTGCGACCCAAACTTTATAATAGGTCATCGTTCTTTCATCTGTTGAAACACGCGCTAGCAATCTTTCAGCTTTTATATAATTATTACGAAAGTCTATGGTTCACGGACTCTTAGACAAAGTTTTGTCTGGAGTATATTTCTTCTAATGAAATCCCGTAGGGATAATTTAGATTTGAAAAGAAAAACAATGAAATCGTAATACATTAAAGGTAACATTATCTACACTTTCACTTGATTGGAATTAGAAGGTAAAAGTTACTATTGTATCATCGTATATGAAACAGTGAATCTCTCCTTTTAGAAGATCCATAGCAAATAATATTAACAAATATTTGAAGAAAACTAGTGTTTGTCTACTACTACGACTGCGTTTTCGCCTGTATGATGTTAAAAGAAAAATTTATAAAAAGTTTTTTAGAGATATATTCACCAAACCTTAGTAAAGTGTGTTCATACTCTAAGTGTATGCACTTACGGTTTGTTACCGTTAAAATTATACCGAATAAAAAGAAAAATTCTAGCATGTATTTTCTTGTAATATATAACCTACATTATTGGAAAGTTTCATTACATTCCGTTCAATTAATAATTTACGTTAATTTACCTGAAAGACTATCTAACGTCTATAAATTTTCAAAAACTATCGCTTTTATAATGTTACAGTAGAATATGTTCAATTTCTAAAAGTAGGATATGTTCCAAGTGCGGAAAATTTTATAAAAAAAAGTATGACAAAACGAACAAGTTCTCACATATAATGGTCAGTTAATAAATAGGAATAATTAAAAAAATAATAATACTTTCTTAATTAAAATTGTCCAGCATTTTCTTCTAAAAGAAAAATAAAATTCAATAAGTAGAAAATAAAATTACCATCCCAGCTATTAAACCAATGACCTTGCGATACCAGTTTACAGAATCAGTCCTCAACTTTCATTATTCATATATTCCTATAAATACTTATCAGTTTTTGTGTTGAGTATCAGTTGCTTAATAACAACAGAACCTAACAAAATGTTCAAATTAGTGGTGTTGTGCGCTTTCGTGGCAGCATCGGTTGCTGACCCCGACCCACAAATTTTCGCAGCTCCTGCTTACGCTCCTGGTATTATTTCTCCTGCAGCAAGAATTTTGCCAGCCTCCAGCTACTTGTACCAGTCACCACTATTCTCAGCACCTCTGTCATACTCATCTCCCTTGGGCTATACTCACCTCATCAAGAAGCGGTCAGCACCACTCGTTCTGAACCCCTACTCCTTCCCCTCTTCATACATCGCACCTGGTAGCTACGCGTACTCATCTCCGATCGTGAGTTCCTACTCCGCTGCCGCTCCTTTGGTGCCAGCTATCGGATCTGGTCTTGTATATTCTTCAGGAGCTCATTTCATTAAGAAGCGGTCAGCACCCTTGTACTCATCGGCCTACATAGCTCCATCAAGCTACATCTCTCCTCTTAACTACGCCACACCTTTAGTAGCTTCAACTTACTCTGCCCCCGTCCTTTCAACCCCCTTGATCTCATCCGCACCTGTCTCCTACGCGACTCATCTCATCAAGAAACGCTCTGCTCCTCTAGCCATCGCCGCCTACTCTGCTCCTGGATCTTATTCTCATGAATCCCGGTTTGAATACAAGGCAACTGGACCAGTCACCGAGACCTACACATCTTATCCTGCTCCTCTGTCTTACTCTCAACCCATTGCTTACTCTCATCTGTACTAGAAGATACAACTATAAGGATGCAAAAATCCTTATTTTAACATTAATAAATAAAGTGCCATTGTAAAAATTATTAACACTTGTATTCCTTTATCAACCCCAAATTTTATAGATATTAAATTAACACCTGTTGATTTCGAAAGTTTAAATTACAGGACAAGAAATAGAATCGAAGTCACTGAATGCAAATAAAAATGTTAAAAAGAAAATTCACTATGCGAAAAATACACAAAGTGTGAAATTAAGAACCAGTACCTTTATTATTTAGTTATAGAATGCCCATAATAGAAGGAAAGTTGAAGGCATTTTGATTCCTTCATCTTTTAGTAGCAAAATATAAGGGATAAGAAAGTGATTTTATCGTCACCTAGCACATAAAAATAAAAGGAGAGAAAACTATACCGGCATAACTATTTTATCACCTATTTTAACATCGATAAAAAATTAATAAATACAATTCTTCAATTAAGTTTGTTAGAAATTTTACAACATAAAAGCAATTTGATTTTAAAAGATTTTTAAATAATTTTGTAGTATTTTTTACATATGTTTATTAATTTTAACCCTGAATCTTAGACGATCTCACATCTCCGTCTGATCGGAGAATTACATGTGTGGGTGTGTATTTAATATCGATTTCATCTTGATATCGTCAAGCGTAACTAAGACTTACCCTATAAATCCTTTTTCTATTTAAGACACAAAAGCCTACAAAGGGATGGTCTTGGATGTTCCTTCTCTCACATAATTAATTAAAACTATAATAACCTCATTATCCTATATAGTTACACCTCACTCTATTAATTATATTAAGTTTGTGATCATATATGTAATTTAGGATTTGTAATATCACACAGAATTATCGACAGAAAACTATATACATATATCGTATAGTTTCAGCTATAACAACGTTTTAAGTTATCCCCATTATTATGTGTCTTGCATCATAAGAATGAACATTTATATACATTTACATGTATTTATTTATTATTTAGAAACTGTATTCCGAAGGATCTATTTATATCTGTTGTTACAAATTTTTACCTACTTTTGTGAAAATCTATCAGTCTGAGAAGTTTATAAAGTAATAATAAATTTCATAAAGATTTAACAAGTCGTCCGATTACTACATGTATAAATAAAAGTTTATTTTATTAAGTAACTCAGATATATAGATTTTTATTTTGGTTACAAACAAAGGATACAATTACTTTGCAGTGAGTTTAACCCAAAGGCAAATTGTGCTTAAACAATAATTAATGTAAAATAAGAATTTTAATATCATACGTATTAAAATTATTAAAAATTAAGTTTAATACTTTAAGTTCTCAAACACAAATGTATTAACTTCAATTTTTTTTTTTTGTATATTGCTCAAAGTTCAAATACATAAGTTCAACCACACAATAATTCTAGACGCACTACTTATGTCGTTAGTAACATAGCAAGGCCGAAATTCGAAAATTAAGTCCTGGATATGAAGTAATAACAATGAAATATTATGAAACAATTGGTCAGTAAGATTTGAAAAGTATCTTTCTAGTACTATTTTGAAATAGAGGTTGTTCACATATGTTGTATAAGAGCAACTATAACAAATCTTTGACTTAAAGGCCTTTTTCAAATTATTGTTTTGTAATTAATGATAACATTTATACAATATTCTAGACTTTTTTTATTTTTTACACAAACTTATATATACTTAAAATAATTATATATTAAAGAAAAGTTATAGTTAACCAGTATTGTATATTTGGGTATTTCTGATTATTCTATTTCTGTTAAATAAAAAAGTTATAATTATCTTTTATTTTATTGAGTATTAGATGCTGAACCAGCAGATAGGTTGATCTGCCCTAATGAACAATGTTTGTATTTCCCACACTTCTTTTCTATCATATAGGGATACTTTGGGAATTACAAAAGTAAGTTTTTATGACTTTTCTATCTACTGAAATGTCTCGTGAAGACCTCTGATTGACCACTTTCTAAAAGAGGACTTCATAAGTCTAGAAAATTATATATCAGATAAATTTGATGGGTAGTTTAAAACATATCTTATATTAAAAGCAATAAGTAAATAATAATAAAGCCAGGAGAAGTTAAAATAAAGATTCCATTGTTATTACTTTTGCTCGTAGACTTTTACACACAATCTTCTTTAAGCTTATGAAATTGATGTACTTTTATAAATTACAAAGTTGTGAAACTTTATGTAATCGAAGATTTGTATCATATTTTTGTTATCTATCTATCTTTTATTTTTTGACAATTTTTAAAAATATATTTAATCACTACACAATCATCAGATGTATAAGAACTATTATGTCTAATTATGTATTATTTGTACACACGAAAGTATACAAATGTAAAACTATAATACTATTTTTAAGAAAAGGAAAAAATATCTCATCTGTGATAAAATAAAACATCTTGAAGGTCTCTTTAACATGTAAATATCAGCTTCCCGTACAACTTTTATACCGGTTTTTATAAACATCGCCCTTAGCTTTCATAACATTTATTTTACTATAAATACCAAATATGATTTACGTCTGGCATCAGTTGTTCATCAACAGTAAACAAAGCAAAATGTTCAAATTAGTGGTGTTGTGCGCTTTCGTGGCAGCGGCGGTTGCTGACCCCGACCCACAACTTTTCGCAGCTCCTGCCTTGGCGCCTGGAATTATTGCTCCTGCGGCGAGATATTTCCCAGCCTCCAGCTACTTGTACCAGTCGCCACTGATTTCTGCACCTCTATCGTACTCCGCTCCCTTGGGCTATGCTCATCTCATCAAGAAGCGGTCAGCACCACTCGTTCTGAACCCCTACTCCTTCCCCTCTTCATACATCGCACCTGGTAGCTATGCTTACTCATCTCCGATTGTGAGCTCCTACTCCGCTGCTGCTCCTTTGGTACCAGCTATCGGATCTAGACTAGTATATTCCACCGGCGCCCACCTCATCAAGAAGCGGTATGCAACCCTGCCCGTATCCAGCTACACAACTCCTTTCACTTACATCGCTCCCACAACTTACTCTTCTAGCCGGCCTTTAGTTTCTGCTGCAGCCATTTCCTCTCCTCTTATCTCCTCCGTACCTTACTCTTACTCCACTCACTACATCAAGAAGCGGTCTGCTCCTCTTGCCATTGCTGCTTACGCCGCTCCTGGAGCCTACTCTCACCAGTCCAGAGTTGACATCCAATCTTCGGGTCCAGTGACAGCCTACACATCTTACTCAAGCCCCCTGGTTTATTCCCGTCCCATTGCATACACCCATTTGTACTGAACAAATAAGTCATGAATATATAGAATTGTATTCCATCATCCTAACGTAAAATTCTGTAAAAAGTTATGTAAATAATTTTACATTACTAAGAATAAAAAATACAATTTAATACCAGATTGTCTTACTTATATCATCTAGACCAAGTAGTAACTGTATCATGTATGTTTACATCCATAATAAATGTTTCACAAAAACCTATGTCAGTTGAATAATAAAAAAGAAAAAGTATATTTATAATTTTTTTTTATCTTCAATATTTCCTACTATAAAAATCAGCAAATATGATGTAATATTATTACGTTTGTTCGATCAATAAAAAAACTTTTATTTGTAAAAAGCAAAGTTAACGCAAATCGCTTAAAGTTTCATACATAAAACCATGCACAGCCAATTCAGATATCATCGTTAAATATCAAGGCTATCTATGTATCAATCTATGTATTTAAAAAAAACAATAGAAATTCAGAACATCAAGACTATAAATGGAAATTTATTTAAAAATTGTAAAACAATATTTTTTTTTTTCTTTAATTTTATATCACGTGGTAAATTCAAAAATATACTTTTATATCGTTATTTCAAATATAAATATGTATATATCGTTACTTTAAGTGAAATATGTAAGTAAAATACTTTTTTCAAATGATTGAAATTCAATATGAATCTTATTTTTTTTGCTTGAGTTGATGAAGTGAAACTGAATTCCAACAAGGTTGCGTTGAATGTTTTACGCTCCTTGGGGGGGGGGGGGGAGTAAAAAGAGATAGAGTGAGAGGGAATGTGTGGCGCTCGACGCATTCGCGTAATTAATTGTGATTTGTAAGCAATGTTTATAAAGAATGTTTTAAAGAACACAAAACATTTCTTAAAATCAATTTCTACCCCTTTTCATTTTCATTCCAATATTATGAAGTTTGACTTCATCCGTGGGGAGGGACCCCACTCACATTTTTTTCTTATATGCACATCATTGTGTCAGAAAAATTAACAATGACTTGTTTATTTATAGGTCAAAGTTTATAAGTATTTGAGTAAACGATTTTTTTAATTTTTTAACTTACTTTATTAACTTAGAGTGTCTTCAGCTCTTGCTATGTGATCAGAGACATGGAATTTTATATTATTGTTGAAGGTCCCAGATTTTAGATAAATTGTAGGCAGCCTTTCAATGACAATAAGTATGTTTTATGTTTTTAATTTCAAAAGCCTCGTGAATTAATCGCGGTATATACCTTCACGAGCGGGGATCTGTGGTTTGTCAGACCAAATTGTTTGAAATCATTCTGTTTAATAACCCTTATTTAATATTGAAGAATAAAATAAAAAGAACTGATCAACGTTATAGGATTAGAGATTAAGGTAACTAAAAACGTAATATATTAATCTGAGATAAATTATAATAAAGATTCTTCAGTAACATTCATATGCATCCCTCGACCTAAAACTTTAGGTTGCCTTTGAAAGTTATTAATGTTGTTTTCGAAATTGTGTACCAAATAATGACCGTCATACTGGTGAATCAATTTAAAAACAAATAAGGGATATTCGCAAATATATCCACATATAAATACAAGAATCATGAATGATTTTTTTCTAACTGATTTTCTTCTGATTTCTTTAAGTTAGTAATATATTTTTAAATTAAAGATGCCAATATAAGGTTACTATTCATTAATTATTATTAGAGTATTGTTCCAATTTGTTCGTAATTTAAAATACCGAATAGCATAACATAAAAAAAAATATTTCAGATCATCATTCGCCACGTTTATTTGACTTATAAATATACGATTGTTTAAAATTGTTGCCATCATAGTTACTTAATGAAAGAAATACATAGACTACATATATATTTTTGATAGATACTCGATATATGAACGTAAGATTAAACCATACCAAAATGAAATCACCCGAGCATGAAGTAGAAGACATAAAGTACACGCTCACTGTTGTAAAATATTTAAAATTTAAGACTTAAATTCTTTTAAAAAACAGTTTAAGGATATGAAATCTTAATTTTTTAAATTTTGTTATGTTTTGTGGTTAATAGTCAAGTATTATTATCTCATAGTTAACTCACAATCTTATACACTTAAACGAGTTATTCTATACATATGCACACGTATATAATGGTCTGTGGTTTTAAAAACGAACTATATCTCTTATCATTAACGTGACAAGTTTTGTCGGGTTATTTACTTAATAATTAAAACTTTACACCATTTCAACAGTAATGCTTATATCAATGTTAATATATTGTCATCAGAAGCCCACTGCTGAGCAAAGCCTCTTTCTCACATGGAGAAGGTTTGAGCATTAATCACCACGCTTGCTCAAGACGGGTTGGTGATTTCAAACTTATAATTGTGAAATTATAAGTCCAGGTTTCCTCACGATGTTTTCCTTCACCGTATGTCAGTGATGTCTAAATACTCTTAGAAAGTACATATGACTCCGAAAAATCACATTGGTACTTGCTAGGTTTGAACCCACGCCCTCGGCAACGAGAGGCGGGCCCTTAACCACTGGGCCACCACTGACTTAATATATATATTAATCAATGTTAATAATAGTGTATTTAGATATTTAGAACGACATACTAAGCTACAAACATTCTCTTTTATTCTCTTTGTCACATCAGGTTAGATAGTAAAAGATCACACTGATATAGTTCTAAAATCAAAATATAAAGGTCAGGTTCCTTAATCTTATATCACTTTAGATATTATGTAATTTAAAATAAGACATTTTTTAGTTATTTGTTTTGTTTTTATTCAATTATTCTTACAAGTAATAACGAAATTCTGGTATTAATACAGAGATAGAAATGTAACATTGCACACAATATATGTACTTTTATTCCTTTTTAATTCATATATTGTTTTTAAAGTTCAATTGGTGAATTATTTTTTAAATTGTTAAATATATTCTTTAATTTTGAGTTATTAATAGAAAACGTAGATGGGCTAACTTGCTAGGGTTAATTTGTATTTCGTATGCATTGCAATATAAAAAATAGTTTTTTATTTTGTCTGTGTTTTAAAGGGCTTTAAAATGAAATAAAATATAAAGTTATTTTTATATAGGCAGTTTATTTATTTCAATGGTAACTGATGTTGATGGAACTCGTTTACTTTTTTACCACCCTTTTTTCAGTATACGTGAGAGTAAACAATTGGGCGAGAATAAGATAGAGGGGCGATGTAGGAACTGTAGGCAGCAACTGGACCGGAAGCCTTGAAGTCAAACCGGGATTGATGGGAGTAGGCTCCAGGGGCAGCATAAGCAGCAACAGCCAAGGGAGCAGACCGCTTCTTGATAAGATGAGTTGCGTAGGAGATTGGTGCTGAAGAAATCAGGGGCGTGGATACAACTGGGGCAGAGTAAGTTGAAGCTACCAAAGGTGTGGCGTAGTTAAGAGGAGAGATGTAGCTTGACGGAGCTATGTAGGCCGATGAGTACAAGGGTGCTGAGCGCTTCTTAATGAAATGAGCTCCTGAAGAATACACAAGACCAGATCCGATAGCTGGTACCAAAGGAGCGGCCGCAGAGTAGGAGCTCACGATCGGAGATGAGTACGCGTAGCTACCAGGTGCGATGTATGAAGAGGGGAAGGAGTAGGGGTTCAGAACAAGTGGTGCTGACCGCTTCTTGATGAGGTGAGCATATCCCAAGGGAGCGGAGTACGATAGAGGTGCAGAAATCAGTGGTGACTGGTACACGTAGCTTGAGGCTGGCAATAATCTCGCTGCAGGAGATAAAATAGCTGGCGCAAAGGCAGGGGTTGCGATAAGTGCTGGGTCGGGGTCAGCAACCGCCGCTGCCAAGAAAGCGCACAACACCACTAATTTGAACATCTTGCTGCTTGTAAGTTAAACACAGTGTAACTACTGATGCTTTAAGTTACTCTCTGCCGTATTTATACAAAACATGACCAATACCTACATCTAAAACTGGCTTTCTTACGAGAGCAAAAAAGTAATTGATATTTACAGTCCACAAGGTCGTAGGGAAGCTTACGGCTGAAATTATATTTTATTCTCTCACAATGTCATTCAGTCTTTCTAAATACATTTAGTCAAAAATCTATTTATTTAATTAAAAATTAAGATACAGAAAGTGATGTATTCAAATCTAAAATCCTTTAAATCCCTTAATCTAACAATTGTGAATGGATTTACCCACTTTTTTTAATTCAAGATAAGATTTACAATTAAATGTCACTGCGACCTTGAGTTAATCCGACTAAAGGTTATCATGACATTGTTATCGTGAGTGTCATTATAAATAATAATACGTACCTCTCATTGTAGCTGTTGAAGGCTGTGGTTGTTGCTGGGAATCCTCAGCTGACCGATGACGTGGCGGAGGAGCCCTTCGTGGCGAGAGTGCTAACCCAGCCACACTATCAGCCACACCCGCCACATACTGTCCAATCGATGACAGGAAACTCATTTTGACGTTACCACTTAACACATTTGTCACTAATATGACAGCCAAGTACAACACAAATAACAAAACCACAGTAGGTACTAATAGTTATAATTGATATTCATAACAGAAAATCAGCCTCTTTTAGTTCGTTTATCTGAAACAATAAATATAAATAAATTCCCATTCTAAAGCACAGGAGATAAATAAATGTATAGTTAAATTTGTATATTAATCTTATTCTTAATAATACCATTAAAATTCGATTTCTAAGACTGTCGGATAAAAATTAAAATGAATAGGGAATTTAAAAAAAATATATAAGCAATCCTTTTAATAACAATAAGAGATAAATAAATAAAAATTAATTTTCAATTTAAATTTAAAAAATTAAATAAAGTAAAATGAAAAATTAAACTTTTACTTAAATAAACAAGCGTTTATTTGAATAAGATATATCGAATAAAAATTACTTTCAAATAATTCTTCTTCTTCTACCTGGCAATTTCCCAGCTTCAGCCAGGGTCTGCCTTACATGTTGTGAATAGTTTTGGCTAAAAAATTTTACGACCGGCCGCCTGCCTGACATCAACCCTCTTTGGGAATGCATTTATCAGTGATGTCTAAAAAGTCTTAGAAAGTACATATGACTCGGAATAATCACATTGGTACTTGCCAGGATCGAACCCGCGCCCTCATGCATGAGAGGCGAGCTTTTTAACCACTAGGCCACCACTGACTAAAATTACTTTCAAATAATTATCTACTGAAAACGTTATTACTTAATGTATATAATATAAAAGCCTGTACATATTTATATTTATTTACTTTTGAAATCTTTAACATTAAAATCAACTATATTAAGTTATTAAATTTATTTATTTTCGAAGTAAGCAAATTTTCTGTCCAACAAAGTAACTTGACATTAAAAATTGACTAACAACATTTTACTCGAAAAATTTGTTACATACATAATATATGTATATTGTATATTAAATGAAATCTTGTAAAGTACTCATATTTATAAACATTAAATTTATTACCAGGTTAAATTTAATTTATTATAGTCTAACGAGATTTATGATAAAAGTATCGTTTTTCCTATGTTTGAGAATACTTTTCCCTCGCGCCCTTTATGAAATCCTCAAGTATGAATTATTGTATTAGTATTATACAAGAGGAGGGAATATTAATTTCTAGAATGTTATAATCGTAAGTGCTAACTTAAGAACTTTCGTACAAAAAATATATTTATTTTTATTGCGCCGCCTTATAGCATTACCAACCTCTATAAATTATATGTGTAAATAAGTACAGTGACGTATCTCAACAAGGAAATCTACTTATGGGTAAAATGTACTCTATTTTTGACACAACGAAATGATTCTTACAAGCATTGTAAATATAATTATGAAGATATATTGTATGAATTCATCTCTCAGATTTATAGATAAATATATGCTTTGACGGTTAAAAATTAAATAGCTATTTATTATAACAATTCAACTGACTTATACGCAAATAAACATACGTCTCTATTAACCTTAACCTTTTTAAATAAATATCACTCATAAGATATTAACAATGATATTATTTCCGAGTACACTTCAACTCTCACGAACATTAAAGCCACTAAGAAAATTTATTTTCTCATACCAACAAAACTATAAGTAGATGAAGAAAATATCTCAGTCAAAAATTCATAGGATGAAAGGAAAATAAGAAAACGATGTTGATTTAAGACACAACACCATAGAATTCTACATAAAAGTATTTTATATTTATATATTGTTTTGTTGGTCTCTGTTTTAAATATGTTTTGGGTCCTGTTTGTTACAAGATATTATCTACAAAGAAATTGTGGTTATCCTTTACAATTAATACTTAAAACAATGTAAATTGGGTTGCATATGAGATTAATTTTTTACTTTCAAGTTTGGTTATGTTATTCTAGAATAAGAGTAAAAAGTTAAAGAAATATACACTTTTTTTTTCGATTTAATTCAGTAAAATAAAGTACCTTATACGTTTCAATGAAATAAACGAGTTTTCGATATAACATAAAATCAGTACTTTTAGTTCAAAGCTTCTACACCAAAAAGATATTATTAATTACCCAGATCAATCACGAAACGCGACACCTAATAAAATATTAATCTATTAACTAAAATTAATTAAATTTTTATTACGAATTATCGGTAAAATTTAATCTAAAATGAAAAGCTGGTAATCAATAGAAGTCAAATCTAAAATCAACTTTACGCAATACAATCAACATACATTTTATTCATATTTAGTTTGAGACTAAATCTTTTGTTAAATATTGTAGTTAATTCGATTTGTTTATTAAAGTTTCAGAATATTTAGAAAATCCTATATTATACTAATACATATATATATTTGATAAAATTATCCTCATACATATATACACTGTTTTAAATTTAAATAGCATTTTTTAATACATAGCAATAACAATGTACCTACCACTTTGCTTTTCCGCTCAATTAAATCTCTGAATGAAGAGCTTTATACACATTTTCGAGACAAATGGAAACATTTCTAAAAATATACCTTTAGTGAATTTCGTGCGTCAATTATAAAAATGTTCCTTTTTTAGCAATTACTTTACATCCTGTGATATTTAGTATGAATTTTTTTGTCAATAACAAAACTATTGCATATATTTTCACGTATACTTCGAATGTAGTTTTATATTTTTCTTTAATTACTAAAATAACTTAGAACAGTCTTTGAAACTATAAAAAGTAATATAACTGAGAAGTAAACTACAAAAAAGAATTAAAAACAGATCTCTATGTGTTCAAATGTTTTTCCAAATAAATGTTACTTTTTGTCAAAATATTCTGATTACAATAATAATATATCCTTCAATTTCAACAAATGTCTTCCTAGAACAATCAAGTTATAGATTTACAAGGTTTGTACGAAATTAATTACTTATAATTATATTTATCTAATAAATCATTGTTGAAGACTATATGTTTATTCCTTTCTTATTTATTCTATTTCTCATAAAACTCTAAACCAATCCAAGAAAATAGATTCATATGATCTATGATAGAAATTATCATAAAGTTTAGGACAGTGCAGATTAAAGGGGGCATGTTGGAGTAGTATAATTATGTACTAGCTTTTTTATAAAAAGTGTACATCTGTTGCTCGTCATTTGTTTTACTGTCATTCAAAGAATAATTTGTCCCATTTAAGCTTATGTTCTTCATTATAAGCCTCATCGATTCATATTTTAACGCCCTACCGTAGAAAATTGCAATTTTATTATTTCTAACTCAATACATCGCAATTAACGTTACCTAAAATAAATGTTTATTTTTAGAGTTGAAAATTTCTCTTCTGCGAAAGGTTAAAGCGCCAGATCGATAAGTTATTCCATGCTTTTTATAAAATAAATATTTCATTACATGTTTTAACCTTTAGTTATAATATAAATTTATTTATTACTGCATTCTTTTATACATTTTTTAATATTATCATGAATATTATGCAAGAAGGAATTGTTAGAATATTGTTTCGTTTGAAAGAATATTTTTGTTTATAAGAAAAGCGTTCAAAGAGTACTGAGAGCGACCCAATAACAGTACTTAGATACAACACATAAACGTTCTTACTTTGTCACGTTCTAACTAAGCTGCTTAAAAGTTTCTGTCCTGCAGTCATTAAAGACTTAGAATTTTAAATGAATGTCAAATCATCTTAATTATTATTAATAAAAAGCATCGAAATACCTAAATATAACAAGCAAATGTTTTCATAGTTGAATTAACCTATGAAAACATTTGCTATAATATAAATAATAAAAAAAAAGTCCATACAAATATTATGAAAATATAGATTAATATAGAATGAATGTATTTCTTTATTCATATAATATTCAGTCACTGTTAAACGAAACGAAATGATGAAATTATTTATATGCATTGATAACTGTATAACGTCAAAAAATCAACTACGTTCGTGAAAAAACAAATGGTTCTAACTTATAATATAAATTACGTGAATATTATTATAATTTTAATAAGTAAATATTACGAGTCAACTTCAACTGTATCTTACAATATCTAGCAGGTAATAGTAGCAAGCTAGTATAAATTTTGTAGGCGTTTCCAGACTACTGACCCAATAGTCCTAATTGGTAAGGCAATATATAATTGGCTATGACGTCATTTAATACAAATGGAGTAGACACAACAGATAATAACTACATTATGTATGGACTGTTTGAATATTATTGCTACTTTCATAACTCTACTTGAAAATGAGAATAAAAACGCCTCTTGACTGAAAATTAATTCACAAAGACCTTTTCTGTGATAAAACGTTACTGCTATATGCCTTAATTCGTTTATTATAGTAACAATTTAAAAAGGTAACACTCGTCGTAAATGGTTTCCATTAGCTATAATAAAATCTTATCGACATTGTGGTTGGTTATCAATTAAACAACACTTATTCCATCGGAAATTAACCGCTTTGGATTTAATGGAGTGCTTTTAGGACTTGTTTTTTTTCTATGAAAGGACAATTTTTTTCCGTCTCTCATGTTTAGATGTAGAGTTTTAAAATATAGCCGCTTATTGAATTAATAAAAGCAATTTTTATAAGAGTGTATACTTTTATCAAATAAAGAAGTATCTACGAATGCTTAACCTCGTACGCGAATATATTTTTTAAGAAATTAATTATTTTGGGTTGCAGAAACTATTTCTTTTTTGGGACATGTTATGAATCAACAGGGATTTTTTTATCATTCATTGCTTAAAATATTTTTCTCTTTATCTTACATATATAAAGGACAAGTCACTAATGTTTATGTATGTATATATTATTATTATTTTTTTGAATATTGAATAATATTTCATCGTGCTCTCGTATACACTTCGGTATTGATTATTTCGATCATAAATTATTTTTTACATAAATATACTTAATTTTCTATAAAATTGTTTATTAGTAGGCAATTTATAAAATACGACTTTATCATATTTGAAGTGTGTTATATAAATTCCTTTTTGCAGATATATCTTGTGTTTTTAGTTTACGAAGTAAAATATGTATTTTGACAATACATTGTAATAAATACCGCATATAGTAGTAATGCACATAATAATCCCTTAATACAAAACACTTAACAGTTAAAATGAGTTACTTTTACAAAAATACGAATAGGTAATGCCAAGGAGAGAAGATAAATTTAGTAAATATTTTTTTCTTGGTACCGCATTAGTGTCAATAGATGAGTTTGTTCTTTAGACTTTCTAAACACTTTACACAATTTCATATAATAATATCGGTAACCCTATTGCGATATAATACCCCATAGAGTAATTTTCATGCTTATAACATTTGGTTCAGTATTATTTTAATATTTGTAAACTATAATTATGTTATTGGAAAAAACCTGACTTAAAAGCGTTTTAATATTTTTAATACAATAAATATTGCAAAATATCTTTAATATTCTACGAAAATTATGTCTTTCTTCAAACTAAATAAATTCAAATCGATATGTGGTGATCTAAATATTTAAAAGGATTATATTTGACTTTAAATTTTCAATATTTATCATTTATTCGTCTTTCGTTGGCACATATTTCAACGCTGCTATTGTTAAACAAGCACAGTCAAACAAGAAGATGAAATTTAAAATATTAATTAATTATACAAATTTGATTTAATTATTTAAAAATATGAACACATGTTATCTTTTTATAAGCTTGCAAACAAAGATAATGCCTCGAAAGCTAACTAACTTTCAATAGAATGTGCTATTGATTATTTTAAATGTAAAGTTGACTTCAATATTTTACTGATTTTGAAGGTGATGATTTTTTTTTGGCAAAGATTTTTTAAAAAAATATGTTATATTTAATAGTAGAAAAAATACATCTCAAAATATATTTCAGTACTAGGTTTCATAATTATTTAATTTGTTAGAAAATATTACTAAGCAAAAAAATGAATGAACGGAATATTTTCAATGAAAGTTAAATCTTTGACTTAAATTACCTAGACATGAAAAAAGAAAACAAAACAAAGACAATAAATTTAATCTCTTTTTATCGCGATATCATTAAACATAAGGACGATGAAACGAAAAGCATTCAATACTCATGGTATTTTTTTATCCCAGAAGTAATTTTTCGTTATAATATAAATATAGGGATAAATCTAGCTAGCGGAGGGATTACCTAAAAAGTAGCTCGTACACCCACACTATTTTACAGATCATTGAACGTACACAAAGACTCGCCGATATTCAGGGAATTACACCAATATTAAATACTATGTATGTTTTATACAACCGTCTTTTATAATAATTTGAATATATTACTATACAAATGTGTAGATATGAATGGTTAGCTTTCAATTGTTCTGTAGTGTTGAATTCTACAAATAAGTATGATTTTTCAACTATACATCATGGCTTGATGCTCAGAACATTCTAAAACATCACTGGGATATAGTAAAACATCAAGTGGGTGTATCGTCTTAAGCAGTTGGTGCGAAGTTTAAGTTTACGACAGCTTAGTCGCTACGAATTTTGTAATAAAATACATATTTAAATAGACATATCTATACATATAAAGTTATTTTCTCTATAACTTAATTATTGACAACCATCGAAAGCTTTCTAGTTCATAGGACATACTCGTACGTGCGTAATAGAGTGAAAAATTTACCCTTGTTTAAAATGCTTAAAATCAATACAAAATCCCGCGATGGCATACGTTCCTGTATTCAGATTATTTTTCATACAAAGAAAATATTACATAGAGTCCGAACTCTAAGCTAGGCAATACAAAGTAAAGCTAGCTTGCAAAAATAAAGACTTAAAAAGAAAGTTCTAGAAACAGAAAAAATATTTAAAGTATACCATCGTTATTATTCTATGTTCAATGTTTCCAAAAACGACGAGCCGTCGAACAATGTGTGTCGAATAGATTGAGGATTAAGAGCGCATGCAAACTTTTGCATTTATTGACCATACATGCCCTCATTACCGAACGTTCTAGCCTGATTATCAGATACAAAAAGTTAAAGCGAGGTTACAAACAGTAGAATTATGATAGCCTTAATTAATTTTCTCACTAACATATCTTTTAAAAAAGTTTTTGCAAAAGCTACGACCAAAAAATATTTTTGTTTATAAAAATCATTGAAATATTTTTACTCATTATAAAATTTGTTGGCATTATTCGAATAAATCCTTCATAAAAAGGGTTGCGGTTAACATATGTGTGAATGTCAGTACAATGACCATTTGGGGATATAAGTTGACCCCCGGGAACCATTAAGATATTGGAGGAGCGTTTAACATCGAAAGTAGCCTTAGTCGTTGGCCCCTAGTGAACGTGAAAGGTCAAGCATTTAAAATTTTTCTTTTCCATCCACTCCTCACAGAGTCGGGGCTTACGATAATATTATATTTCTTAAAAAAGAATTTTTTTTTTTTGTTAATTAATTCAAAATTTATGATTACCAAAGTTTTTCTCAAAATAAAGTCTTTATAAAAAAGAATTAGTTGATATATCCTATTTTACTACGACAACAAATCTATAACATTCCCTATAGAACCATCAGTAGTCAATAAACGTATATATATTCCGATTCTTTTTAATAAAATAAATATAAATTGGCAAAAAAAATAACAACATCAAAATAATAAACAAACAACATAACACATTTAAAAATAGGACTCAAAATATATATAAAATCTTTTTTATGTCTAAACATCCATCTATAAAGCCTGTCATACATAAAGCTCGTCATTGGCATACCAGAACATCAAACTTACCGTTTACATGACAAATCATTCACATAGTTGACCAACGTGTTGATTGAATCGATAGAACAGCTGGGGCGTTGGCGCGAGACGCGTTCGCTAGGGCGGCTGGGCGGCGACTGAAGCCTTCCCCCGCAGCCTGCGTGCTCCTGCCAATATCACCCGGATCTTCCTGTTGATCGTGTACGACAGGTGATCCGAACGCACTCTTAATCGTTACTGTTTGTAAACCCATCGATAACTGTTCGATTTGACCATAACTTCAGTGCCAATAAATTATATCGGACTTAGCTCTTTCATTTATTGAGTGTTTATACATTTTTGAATTCACAACGCTCAAGTTAGGTAACGTACATCTTTTTATATATATAAATTTAAAAATATATACATTAATATAAGCGAGAATGAAGCAGTTATGTTATATATCGAAGGATTTACTCATTTCATTTTTGTTGTTAATCTTTAAAAACTTCGAGGATGGCATTTTTAACGCTTTAACGTTTCGTTGTTTAAACTAGATAGAGTTTAAGATAAGTAAAGTTTTGATAAAAAAAACTGTTTTATAAATAATAAGTAGGACATTTTAAATTGAATTTTTACCATATTTTGCAAAAATGTGATATCATTTGAAAGATTATTAACAAAGTTTGCGCACTTCTTTACCCCATTACCGAAGCGAGGATAAAGGAGTTCCAATTTATCAGAACTTTTCAAGGGGATTTAAATTATTTATATGTTTTACGAATATATTCCAATGGGCGACTTAACTTTAATGTATGGAAAAACTTTTTTAAATGCTCGTTCATATAAATTAGATAAGTTAGAACAGTTCCTATTATATATGCATTTAAATGGAGTAATAAGCGTCATTTATAATAAGTCCTATAGTGATTGACACAAATTCTCACAATGTATGAACACATCTAAATATTCAACAGTAAAATATCAAAAAGGAAACAATATCATGTTTATACAATTATATTTTGCTTATACCGCCCCAGGGGCATGTTAACAACTGTTCCGATCAGTACTTCAAATCAAATGTAGTGTCTTTTAAACGAATTATTTAATTAATAGGATTATAATAACAATTTTTACTAAATAATTGGGAATAATTATTAAGAATTACATACCATACAAATGAGTTTTCATCTTATATTATTTAATGAGACGCAACGCGATGGACCCGGCACCCGCACGGTGAGTCCATGGAATGCTGAGAAGTTTCGTCTCTAAGATTTTCACGAGTATTCATTAAAATTAAACTAATATTTTTCGGATGTACGATACTACTCGTACTACGCGATTTTTATTTTTTGATTATAAACAACGACGTTTCGGTTACTTTACAGCAACCGTGATCACGGGCAGACGAGCTGTGAGTGTCTTTCAGTCGGTCTTGTTATTTTATCACCTATCGCCATTGATTTCTTAATTTTCTGGTGTAGCGTTCTGGATGCCGGCAGAATGCGCTCCCGGTCTCCCGAGGTCCTGCAGTGAGGCCACGGACATGGGATTTTATATTTTTAAGAAGAGGATTCCAGGTGTTTGATAGAATCCAGCCTAAACTTCTCTATGGAAATTGGGGTGTCTTTTAATTTCAGTAGCCTCGCGGATTAACCTTGGTATATATCGGTAGGACTTTGACAATAAGTGATCTCTCTTTGGAATTCGAAAGATCTTAATAACCATGATTGGCATGCATAAAATTTTCATTAGTAAATAGTAACTTTAGACTGAAGAATGACCGTACTGTAAACTTTTAGACAATTGTTGTATAAACAACGTAGCAGTATTATAAGATTTTCTTTAAAAATTGCTTTTCTTTTAAAAGCTACTATCATTCGTTCACACTCCCCATCTTAGATCTATAAAATAAAGTTTTATATTTGTTTTGTTCAAATAGGAAACGTTTTTAAAATGTAAATCGCAGGGTCACATGATGTAGATTTATTCGAGCTACGAATTAAATAACCGTACATTTTCATTCACACCCAGAATGTTTAATGTACTAAGAAAACTATAATGTTTGTAAATAAGAACAATATTGACATTGGTTTTTTAATTATATGTGATTTTAATTAAATATAAACGTCATTATAATTGAAAAAAATCTTTAATTATGTATTTACACTTTCTGATTAGATAAAATATATTCATAGTAACTGAGTTATTGCCATCACTAAAGCATAAAGAATATGTTTATTTTATAGTTTTATTTTTATGATAATTTAAGAAATTTCTTTTAGGCTCACTACTAATATTTTTATAATTTATATAATTTTCTCTTACCATTCCATTATATTTTATCAAATAGTTTTTCGGTTGTATTATCGGGCTTAAGAATACTATTCAGAAAATAAGTTACGATTACGCCTACATTCTTATACATACATACATATTATACAGATGAGATTTATCTGTCAAATATATAAAACCTTTTTGATTGTCTCAGTATTGTTAGTTATTATAGTTAAATGTTTTATCTGTGATAAATATTAAATATTATTTTAATAATATATGACACTTGATTGGTGTTCAATTATTGTAATAGTAATAATTTGTTTTCAACAAGCAATATTTTATTAAAATATCATGTAAATGATTTTTATGACGTTTTATATACTTTAAGATCTCCATAGAAAGCGAACAAAGCGATAATATTTAGAACTATTATACAAAACAATAGCCTATTATGAATGTTCATATTTGTATAGGGATATTAATGTTCATCACAATCTTGGGGGAGTTACATTTGGTACAACAAAATACCTACGTTTCAGTATACACAGGCCACATACAATAATTTTATACAGATGAAAGCATAAACAAATTTACTATGAATGATTTTAAAATAGAATAATGTTAAAAGAACGATCTAAATTCTATTTGGTTGTAATTAGAACGGGGGTATACCAAAAGTTAGTGTGATTGCCAGCACAATTTGACCCCATTAACTGTTACTCCAAAAGTTGAGAAGATATCTCTTAAGTTCATGAAAACTATCGCAACCTTTAATGTTGACATCTGGTAAATTTAAGATTATTCGAGAGCAAAACTATACTAGTATCTAAAACGTATTGGATATAATAGAAGGAAGCCAGTAATCTATACCGTATAAGCTATTTTTTTACGTTATAAGTACATTTATTAATTTGAGATTTCAAAACTTCTTCCTATAAGATATTTCCTTAAAGAAAGCCATTATTATTTTTTTACGTTAAAGGAAGTCACGAGCAAAATTTATATTTGTTGGTAATATTCTTCATATTTCTCATTTCTTACTGTAGTAGGACTCCGTTATAGTAATCAGTTTTAATAAATTCCTTTACTAATGTGGTAAACCATTAAGCTTACAAACTCCACAATACACACAACTCTACAGTACATGTGTGTGTTTACACACACATATACATTATGTATATAGCTTCCAAAAACACTTGAAAGATACAAGTATAAAATTCGTTTGCATACATAATTTCATTCAATAATAAACAACGAATACTACATATAAACACTTCAATGATTTTCTGTACATAAGATGTCTGACGCCGTTTCAGTTAATGTAGATTATATGCCATAAACATTGATGCCTTCAAACTACTCGTTACCCTTTATTACAAGTGGGTTGGACGTACAATATTGATTATTAACTTTATCTCGTCAAAGATAACGATGGGTCGTAAACATGTTTTGAACGGCTGGAAATATATACAATAAATACCATAATTCACACGTCAAGTATTAAGATGAGAATTTTACCTAAATTTTATATACAAATTGAATTTTAAGAATAACATAATAATCCTATTCCTTTCCTATATAAATCACGTGTGTTGAATAATAAGGAATTGATTATGTACACAGTGTGTTCTAATTATTATTTACTGTAATATTTTACCTTAATCGATGAATCATTATCATTGCTATGATACGTCATTACTTTGTTTACATTTTGATATATTTTTCATATAACATTATTCATAACTAGATACACAGTAATTGAAATGCATCAAGTAAAAGCTTGTTCAAATTATCAAAAATAAAGATATTTAACAAGTGTAAATACAATTCTCCTGTTTCGTAGATGTAATTGACGTTGTATCGAACATGAACTTTTTGGTGATTACCTGTTAATTGAGAATATTTTTACAATGGAGTAATATTTTTTTATTTAAAGTTAACTCTTTAAATGAATGTTTAAGTTAGAAATAAAAGATATTTATATATAGTGATAGGATACGCGTTACAGTTACTCTACGAAATATTTCGATGTTAACAGATATAGATTTCGTTTCGATGAATTTTCATTTCTGTTTTTTCTAATTTAAATATTATTTAAAAAATACTTTTATGCAAAAACAGCTTTATAGGAAATGACACTTCATATAAAAATTGATAAATCCATTATAATTACGCTTTTTGGACTCAAATTTAGGAAGAATAAATAAAATTAATATAAAAAATGTGAAAACTCTCGGTATTTTGCAAAACTACATAAAAATAATAAGTAAGTTTGTAAACGAAAACTGACATTATATATTCTTCATTGTTATTTGATTCATGTTTTCTCAATTTACAAAACTGGTGTTAAAAAATTATTGAAATAGTACTAGGCTAAAGTCGATGCGGGGTCTGATTTCAAAAGGAATCTCTCAAACAATTCTTGGATCTTAACAAACTTGTTTGAAGATGGTTCAAAAGAATATATATCCTTAAGTTTTAAAGAGTTATATCTAATCTAATATAATCTAATACATAAGCCAATTCTTTATATATCTAGAATGGAATGGATGAATTTAAAGTCTATAAATAGTTCCATGCCAAAATATTGACCCAATTATGGTCTCTTACATAATGGAGTATAAATTCAGATTATTATTCAGAGTATTTGATCTAAATAACAATTAAAAGTTATTTATATATAAAAAAAGGAACTGCAAACATTTAAATACACATGTACATTCAACCTACATGTATTGCAAAATTACATTATATACAACATTAACTATTAAATATAGAAAAATTATGTAATTATAGTTGTATTTGGGTACTGTCTACATTATATACAAAATAATATTGTCATAGGAAAAGACGTTAATATTTATCATGCCGTAATTCAGTTTGGATTAAAGCCGTGTACACAATAACAGCTGATAGGACATCGTATCATTGTGACGCAATATGCAGGTAGCTGTTAGTAATGAAGTAGATAAACCCACAATAATAACTGATTTTGAATCGGAAATGACTAATAAATGATAAAAAAACGACAATTCATAGCTCACTTTACGTGTAATTATTAGTTATAATGTATTACACATATATTTATCTCTAATAATATAAATAACACTGTTTAGTAACTCATAGTATAAAGCTATCTTTGTAACTCTATCTCTTGTATACTAACTATAAAATATGTATTTTATCTTTAGCTGTCTTTAAACTACATAATGAAAACATTTGGTTTTGTCTTGCATTATTGTTAATATGAACTTTATTGTATACTAAAAAACGTCTTTAAAGGCGGACTTAAGGCTTATTTATTTATAAGATTTTAATGTTAATACGCCATTCAATATCTATATTTAATAATATCCTTAGGTATAAGAAATTATTATATATATCTTTAGGATTACGAAAAGATGCTTCTCAGATGAAGTCAGGGTAAATTATTCTAAAATCGTACAACAACTGGTAAAGTACAGTCATGAAAAAAATAATCTTGAAATACTCTCTAATTCAAAAAATATTTTGAGAAAAAATATAATGAAAACGGACGTACTATATGGAGATATATACGACACTTAACAATGAAAAATTACTTAGACAGCACTCTGGGGTTGCTTTAACAGATTCATAATCATTTCGTGAAGATTAAAAATAAAGCTTAAAGCGGTGTTTACCTGGCATTCAATTTTATTAAAAAGTTAGTGAAACAAGAATACTTAGGGTAACAAGCATTACAATTTATTAGAGGGAACAATAAAGAATTTAAAGGAAACAATTTTGTGTTTATGTTCAAACATCTTCTAAGGGAGAAAATTTATGATAAGAGGTAACGATATCATTGATCCAGCCAAGATCGTTATCTGTAATATTTCAAAATCTTAATATTATAAATAGATTTTCTGACTTTTTGACAATTTCTGAATATGATGTCTTACTAATGAAATGTAAGATTTTCGCTTTTAATCATTTAAATTAAACTATGAGAAAGATGTCTGGATACTACCCAGTTATTTTATTATTTTATATTTACATGATCCAGACTTTTCGGTTCCTTTACAGCAACTGTGATCACGGGTCAATGACATGAGTGTCTCGTTACCAATATCCGAAAAACTTAGTTTATTTAAATGATTTCACTATCTGGAAAAGTTAAGCACGTGTTGAGATGAAGAGTAAAGTAATGATAAATCGATATTTAACTAAATTATAATGTAGTTTAGGTAATCAATATAAGTATGATGATCACGTTAAAGGTCATCGACCTAAAATCTGTATAAACTAAGAGGAGGGATAATAGATTAATATTTATAAATACCGAAGGGATTGAGGCGATAGAATTCCGTCTCAGGAAACATTAAACTTCATATTTAATTTCATCACAGTCTGAATTCTCAAAAGAAACCGAAGATTTATATGTCTTAAAGGTAACGAAAACTAAAGAATTAATAACTTAATATGAAATTAATTAAAAAAAAATTGGTATCTTTTCGAATGTGTTCAGTGACACTGCAATTGTGAATCCTTATGTACGTGGATTATGTTCCTTTAACCTTAATCATTATAGAAAACTTATTAGTTGTTGATAGTAAGGAATTGAAGAAAAAATACGATAAATGAGTAATTTAATTATTACAAACAACAAGGAAAGATAATAATTAACTGGTAAATCTGGACATCTTAATTATTGAAGAACAAAATTTATCCAATTAACTAACTTATAATTAATTTTTAATTTGACTTAAAAAATCATGGACAACTTAAGATTGTTTTAAATAAAGCTTCCGAAAAAACGCTACTATTCTGACATGAGAGTTGTTTATAAAACTTGACTCACAATTAACTGAAAATTTTCAAGAAACGTTGAGTCTCTGTAATAAGTGTTAAGGATTTTTAAATTCATTTTATAAAATCCCCTTTGTAGGTCCATCACTGGCCTTTTTCTTATCACATACTTCATGGACTTATTACTATCATCAGTTACCAGATTAATGAATCCCATATAATAAAACAAATTGAAAAAAAGTTGACACCGTTTAAAATCTGCTTCATATACACAATAATAGAAATAAATAATACTAATTATAATCCAAACTTTACAGACCAGCGAAATACAATGTAAACTAAAGCCGCTTTCAGGCGGGTGTAAATTATTTTTGTATGAAATTACTCTTCAAATTTAATTAATAACGTTGTATGTATGCACTAGTACTGGAGTGATTCGTCCGCAGACTGAGCTTGACCTATATTTTAAAGGTATTGATCGAACAAACAATACTCAACATACAATGAAATGAAGTCATTTATTTATCCATAAAGTGTTACATTACACCCGACAGCTATACGTTAACCTGTTGCTTGTATCTGCTCAGAGTTATTTGTCACATGATTAAATATTTGTTTTCTGTTTTAAATCTAATTTGCTGGGTATAAATGTTGAAACTGTTTATACAAATAAAGTATATTTACAGAACTAAAATTATTATGTGGCAGCTTAAGTGCAGTAACTAACAAATATGTTACTATTTTATCACATAACTAAACACACTAACACTCATATGTATATATGTAGATATATTCAGATAAACATATGTATGGAACGATTCAACTGAAAATTAGCATTTATGATAATACGAGTATTATCTCCTTTATTCTATAGAAAAACCATCTTTGGAGAAAATTAAAACTTGTTTTTAAGTTTTTTTCACATACAAATCATTTAAAAACTTCCAGTTGTCTGGTAAGTTACATCATCTATAAATCTTCATTATGCTGCTTGATATCAGACGAGGGTGATTTGATCTTAGAGTAGCTGTAAAGAAAAATCAAGTAAGTCTTTTGGAAATATTTATGTATCATGAAAACACTCTTGCTTGTTCAAGCTTGACGTTGATACGGATCCATATCCTGTTTGCATGTAACTTTGGCTCGTAGTGTAGAAATTTAGAAAGAAAAAAATTTGGAATAACATTTTTATGATATATGTATATATATATATATATATATATATATATATATATATATATATTATTATTATAGACAAATAGAAATCGCATTCAGCAAAAGGATTGTCCGACATATGGGTGCTGTGAATGATATTTTTTTTACTATGTATATTAAAGATAATTTTCTTTTTAAAATTTAATCTAAGTTCTTAAAAAAGTTGAACATGTGACGTTTCATTAATACCTGTTATGTTATTACACGTCGTGTTCTCATTGTACGTTCTATGACGTTCAACAACCGCAAAATTCTACTAACAGTATAGTATGAATAATCCACATAAAATGTCCCAGTTCCTTATTCACAAGTCACTTACATACAGTTTATAACTTGTGTGACAGTCGCCGGCATGTCTACTGAGGAACGTTAATGTGATTTAAATAAAAAAAAATCGTGTCGTAAAGTGCAATGGATACTGTAAATGATACGGATCTAGCAACAGAGTCATCGGGAATAATAAATTTATTGAACATCACAAATGTCGGAGACAAAGACAATTCATCTCGGGATCTCGTTCTACCTCAAGATGATTCCACAACGTCTGTTATATTCGAAGTGTTCATTATAACCCAAATTGTTATGACAGCTATGGAGTTGGTAATATCGATCGCAGCAGCTCTCAGAATATCTCGATGGAGGAGAAATTACAGGAATCAAATGCTAATGCAGTTAAGTCTGGCTCGTTTCATAAAAAGGACGATATTTTTTATTCAATTTATTAAAGAGAAATATAAAATCATTTCAACGCCAGCTACAGGGGTGGTTTTAATGAGCTCACAGATTTATATTGATCTAGTTATAACTATTCTAGTCTGTTTTTTTATAAAGCATATGTATGATAGCGTTCTGGTGGTGATTATTAAAATAAGTAAGAAGAGTCTTTATAAAGTACTGTACTGTTCATGGTTGATACCGGTTCCAGTTACTGGTGTTTGGATATTAATTATATGTTATAAAATTTTAAATGAATGGACGTCATACCTCATTATATGTTTGGCATTAAGATGGCCGATAATATTGGTAGGAACTGTTTTATACTTAACCATTTTATATAGAGTAGTAACTGATAGAATAAGACGATTTGCAACAAGCCTAACTGTGATCACATTCCTTTTGTGTTTTATTATAAATTTTTATTTATTATGCAAAGACATTATAATGTTGTGGTGTTTCGAATCATTCATGACGCTCTTAATAAATTATATATTAGGTTTCATGTTAAACTTTCTAGTGCTCTGTTCTTACGTACTGTTAATTATTCTTTGCATCAAAAGCAACACAAAGTCTTGTGATGTGCTAGCAGGTAACAGTGTTGCGAATGTGTTGTGAATTTAATTGTATATAAAACGTGAGGGTTTAACCTGGCTTTAACGAAATGTCTTATTATTTTATATTGTTTTTCCTGTATTTGTTTTTAACGTATGTATACAAGTAGGAATTAGTTTAAATGATTCAGACGGTATCATTTTTGTGACGCTGTTTGCAAATATATTTTCTATCGTTATTTCAATGTAATATTATTTGTACAGCCCTTTGTAATCCCACCTATCTTTAACAAATGAAAGTTTCCATGAAATAGTGTTCATTATTCATTTTATTTGTTCATAACACTGAATCAACTCAAGATATTTCATTATCAATTATACGTTAAAAAACTACACTCATCGTTGTTTCGTTGCTCATTAAATAAATTAATTAGTCACAATGTAAACATTACCGGTAAGTTACATTCGTTTGGAAAAACCATAATGAAACTCCGTTTCCGTAGTAATGATGAAATAAAGGAAAAGTATTGCTTATACTGAAAAAGTTAATATAAAATTTATACATAATAAATCTGGTTTTTAATTTTTAATTTATTTATGTCAGTATTTTCGTTTTTAATACTTTTATTTTTATTTACTATATTTGTTTTAGATAATATTTTACAAATATATATATATTTGATGTATAAATTGACATTTTATTAGTGTTAAATTAAACCTCCTAAATTAAACCTTATAAGTATGCCTATGTAACCTATTTTCATATAACTTTTTTCAGTATGAAGTTAGATATAGTAATATTAATTTATGGTAAGAAATGTGTTACAAATTTATTTTTACAAATAAGATAATACATTGTAATAAAATAATATAAATATAATGTTATAATCGCAAATATAGTATTATGTAAAAAAATGATTTACATTCCCAGTATGGAACCAATAAGATTCTCACAAAAAAAACATATGATTTCTTAAACATATACTTTTTAACAAACACGAAAAGTAAATGTAAGCAAGGTTTTATAGTTAAAATTTAATTTCTATATATAAAACAATCATAAGAAAGAATTTCATTATAAAATATATACTGAGCCACGTAGCAAAGTTCTAGATTAGGATTAATTTTGCGGAAGTCTGATTACGTCGTTTGTGGCTTTAAAATGCATTCACCCAGTTATAAATGAAGCAATTGTAGACACGCCATTATAATATTATGTATTTCAATACTAATTACATGTATTATTTACAAAAATATCATGTTTATAAAGCCTAAATATAATTGTAATTACTATACAAATATTTTTCTTGTTTCTTTCGATGGAATTGAAATTAAATATTATTGTTTTTAAAGTGTAATTCAATATAACTCCATTGACTGTGAAACAAAGGATGTATCAAGCTTCCATTTCCTCTTTAAACTTTCGCTAAGAATTATAGACTTTGATCCTATAAGGGAGCTATCATCGGAAAATTTTCATTGTTAGCAACAAGCTTTTATGTTCGACGTAATACTGTTAAAAACTATCTCGCTTCTAGAACATTCTAGTTGTTTATTTTTTAATCATAATATTTATTAACCTATCGTATATCAAAATGAACATCGGAGAGTAATTTACTCTGCAATCCGGTATTATAATGCTAATTAATTAATACTGATAGGCTTAATGTTGCTATAATTAAATAAATTACTGTACATTACTCACGATCGATTCTTTACCTAATTATGTAAACAGATGATTAATTATTTTAATCCGATTTTGTGTATGGTATTAAAATTATTCTGTATTATTTTGTTTTGCTCAATTTTACAATTACTGAGTAATAAAATATCGCATGTTAAATGAAATGAAAGTATTGATTGTAATTTAATACTTATGAATAGTTGTTTAGAAATAGTTTCTAGATTATTCGATGGCTGGCGAATGATATATTAAATAATTTTACTTTTAGCACTAATATAATAAAAAAGTTGTTCGTGTAACTGTCTCCTGGAACGATGACAAACGAATGAACCCTCTCAGGACGCTATTATGTAATAAATGGATCTCTCTAATATCTTTAACATTAGTAATGGTAAAAGTTGTTTCGATCTATATAATCTGGTTTACACATACATTCTCTATACAAATAGAACATTTAAATATATATAAATAGTTATGGATTCAAGGTTCACTCAATTAAAACTCATAATACAAACTAATAAATTTTAATTTAGCATCACAAACATAGTAAATTTAATTTTAATGTTAGGATAATAACAACCCAATTTATTTAAATACGGTACGGTGCTTCATATTAAATATTTGAGCCATATATATTTATATTAAATATCGAATGCTATGATTAATGATAATGATTAATGTTAATGAAATGATATAATGAACTCAAAAAGAAAACTGCACTCGTAAGGTAACTTTTATTTACAATAACCGCAACCGTATGTAACAATATAGGTATGGACGGAACCGCCCACATCTAGATGATAGAACGATCGTGTTAACAAATAAATCGATTTAAACATTTAATTAAAAATTTCAAGCGACCGTTCGTAATCATCTTTTAAATATTCTGTTTAAATGCAGTCGCAAGAGCAACGCTTGACGCGTTTTTCACGAAGCAGAGGTGAATTCACCGAACGAGCTGCGCGAACCGAACGCGGCTGCATATCTGAAATTAAAATAAATTTATATAATAAACTCAAATAAACAAAATCTTATATAGAAAAATCACATTATACTGATAAATTTCTGAGCACGGCGTCACCCGAATACATAATAAATTTTCAATATTCCTCGCAAATAAATACTCAATGCTTAATATAGTGAGCGATACCTTCTAGCGTATCCAATAAACATTTTCTGAATTCAGAATTATTAGGTTTTCTACTCAACTTATTTTATTTACATTCAACGAATCACAAACATTTTGTCAAAATATTTTTTTACTACAATACATTGCAGCAACGTAATATTGAATAGAATTGAATATACAATTTAAATTACAGGAAAAATACCATTTTGCAGATTCCTCGGAACTCTTTTAGTACTTCTTAATGTTGGTAATTTTATATTCGCATATAAAATTACATCACAATAAAGTTTTAAAAAAATCCGTTCATTGCTTTTTCAATAAAATCGGGATATAGATGTAATCTATTCTTACCTACAGTAAATGGCACATATACCTAAAGTAGGACATTATAAATATATGTAACATATATATTATGTAATAAATAAAATGCCTTATTTATTTAAAAGATAAATAAAAAGAATGTAAAAAATAAATCACATCTTAGGATGACATCAGATATTAAATTGCCACAAAACATGATTCGTTTATATTTTCAAAACGTTCCCGCTTGTTAGTAACGGCGCGGCGTCTTAAAGGCGATCGTTAAATTTGATGTTTATCTAATTATTAACTATGTCGAAAGCTGAACGCTCCCAATCAATCACTTACAAAAGGCGGCTAATTTCATAACATAAAACCTCCTTTAAAACGTTTATAACTCTGGTCTTTATCTCAACAATGCCGAACATTTATTCGAAAGGAGATTTAATGAAAAACAAATTGGTGTTCTTTATTTAAAACATTCAAAGTAATTTTTTGCGCGATTTTATACCGCATTTTTCTTGTATTGATTTTAAAAATATATATTTGTAATAAAAAAGATTCCACTTGGATGATAAAAAATAATCTTCTCTTCAACTCTTAACTTTTCTCGACAAACTTTTGTTAGTTTTGCCCTTACAGTGCCAGTCTTTTAAAACCTCGACAGTTTTGACCTTTATCTGATAGGATTTCATTTCTACAAACTATTTTATTACTCCAACATATCATGGAACTAATATAAACTTTTACGTTTAGTTTTATTTTACTAAGACTATTTTAATAATTTGTGAATAAGTAATAACATCATTCAATGTCCATTTATTAAGGTTGCTCCACACGAACTATCAACACTTGGAAACTACCTCCGTGTGTAGAGGCTCTACAGAATCATTTTTTCAGGCTCATTTAAAACTTCACTCATTTACTATTAAATTAACTTCTACACATCATATGTTATTTTTGTCACAACGATATTCAATACAGTCAGAGTATTTCGTCAATTACTCTGTTAAACTCAAGGCAATACATTTATTAATACAAAAACTGTCTTTGGTAAGTATCAGTATATAAACCTTGCTTATAATGCTATAATATACATATGAATGTACTCACAATGTGGTCGTTGGTCAGCCATCTCTTGTGGTAACAGAAGCGTGCGTGGCGCCCTCTGTCCATCTTGTGCTGATTGAGCCTGCTCACGCTGCTCCGCTTCCATTTCCGCTGCTGCCAACGTATTTACTATCGTTTTCACCTGAAATATAAATAATTTCCATTATAGTACATATAATATATAATACAAAACATTCTGGTTAGTTATTTTAATTGTATTAAGAGTTTGCAACCATTTGCTGAATCAGATTTCTCTTGTAGTGATCATTTACATCCTAAACAGACAACTATCAGATTCAATATGTAGTTACAACGCGTTTTGTATATCGAGTTTGGATTTTGTAGTTGTATTTAATGGAAGTTAAGATCGACATATCGGAATGGAGTTGAACGAAGATTATCGTAGTATTAACCCCGAACAATGCTTTTCAATACTTGATTTAAGATGATATCTGAGATTTTTTTGAAGGAAACTGTTTTTCTGATATACTACGCAATTCATTATATTAAATTCTAACCGTTATAACAGGCAGACTAGACAAAAATTTCTGAATCTAAAAATAGATCGCTAAGTATCCTTTAACTATAGTTTCATCTTAAACATAGTTTCATCCAAATTTCCGTGGCACATTTCGATGTGTTCAACAATGAGAGAAGTACCACTGGTTCACTCAAGCACGATAGATGGATGGATGGATGGATATATGGATGAATGGATGAACCTCGATTTTCGTTAATGTACTTTTTTGCCTACCTCCTGCATGTCATTGTCATTATCCATCTGCTGGCGTTGTTGATTGGCGACGGCCTCCTGCACGGAACGGTGGAGTTCCTCTGGGAAGATCTCCCATGGCAGCTTCATCTACACATAACATTTACATATCGAATTATTAATTATAATATACTTCTATAGTAAAGCTATAGCTATATAGGCTTCAGAAATTTTGTGATGCCAAAAATATCACTTATTTATAGAACCAAATTTCTCTACATTTCAGAAAGTTTCCATGTTGTTGATAATAAAATGTGATTTTAAAGTTCTTGAATATTTGATAGAAAATTGTCTAAGATTTGATTTAAGTTACCAAATTTTAATACATTATTGGTTGATATTTCTCTATGAAAGTAATTTAAATGTTAAAATGTTTGAAAGTATGAAATATCATGAATGTTAATATGTCTTAGCAATGTCTCACTTCAGGTTGCTCTAATTCTTGTGTAGGCGCTGGCTGAGGAACGAATTGGTGAAGAACGCCTTGTTGCTGAAATCAAATAAATTTTTAATTTTAAAAACAATATAACATTCAATGAAAGGGTCCATTGAAGAAGCGTGAATAAAATATAAAAAAGCTAATGATTTAATTAAAAACCCTATTAAATCTCAGATTACATGCTTCTACTTAAGAATGAGAATGGTAAAAAATATAATAAAACCATTTAATCTTTAAATACAAAAACAGTACAAGAGCATTATACTTTAATGTGTCCTTCATCTAGGAAGGTGTATTTCCAGAGCGAGTATTTAAAAAAATAACAAAAACAAAGTTAAATATTGACCTCATTCGTATGCTAACAAGCGAAGTTCCTTAACCTCTAACAAGAAAACGCTTCAGTGAGTCCACTACTGGACTTTAGGTGTAATTTATTCTAGATTTAATCACGCGTTCAACAATGGAAGTGTCCATAGAATGATATCAACACATATTTATTATTGTACGGAAATTTTACATACGATATTAATCTAAGTACGCTTTATTTAACATTCAATAACTGTGTAAATTTCCGGGACATTAGGCGAAGCATACAATATGTAACTACACTCAATGTAACGGCATGTATATTTTTTTAACAATGCAAAGTTTTTTGACTCCATGCAAAAATAATTATTGACAGTCGCGTTACGGTACTTGCAAATCCTGTTTCAGGTAATATTTTTAACGAATCGCTCGTACATCGATATTGATACGGTTCATAATTACCTTACAAAGACGTGTTTATTTTATTACTGTTGGTAAATTTATTTAGCGTTAAATTGTGATACTTTAACTTTTCATTAACGATTTTGTGTTATTGTTGATATTCGGTTTTAAAACCAATATTTTTTGTTATGAATTTTATGACGAAGGTTAGAAACAAATTGTTCACACTAATTACACATTAGCCTTAAAATTGTAATAAAATATACTGGTCATCCGAAAACTCATTGTATATTTATTTAATTAAAGATATTTGTAATAACTTTTCTTATTATTACCTAAATAATAATTATCTTTTTAACGATAACATCAGTGAATTATCGCTACAAATAAAGTATGTACTAGAGAGACAATTATATTATATACATTTATTTTCTATACACTTTTATCAAATGCAGCCGGAATAGTGAGGCACTTATGTAATTTGTTAAGAAGTTAGAATAGCTCAAGCTGTAATTACCTCATTTTGTTCCTGAGGTAGCGGCGGGGGTTGGAATGGGCCCATGTTATCATTGTTCATGTTTTGTGGGGCTGGGATGGCAATCACTCGCATCTGACGTGGGGCCTCCATGGGACCCTGTTCTTCACGCTAAAGAAAAAAAAGTCCCATGAAAAATCAACCTATCAACCCTACTCACATTGGGAAGGTGTATTTTGGTTTTAGTGAAGCCCAAAAGTGAAAACACATAGACATTCCTTTTCTATTTAGTATAAAAAAATACATTATAAAATATTCGCTAAAAATTTAATAAATATTGAAAACGAAAAAGATAAGATAACATATAAAATTCCAAGTAATTAATACTTAGTGCTCTTTGATCTAGAGGTGCTAGGTCATTTATTTTTTTGATTAACAAGGAAGTTATTTATAAACCCATTAGGCTGATCTTTGTAAATCCATTATAAGAATAAATAATAATAATAAAATATACCAAAATTAAATTAAATTTAACTTTCAATGGCTGCCCAAATGTAAGTGAAAATCAATAGTAGATATTATAGTGTTTAATGGTGTACCTGATGTTGTTCCTGGGACTGTGGGGGGGGTGGTGGTGGGAATGGACCCATGGTGTCCTGTGGGGGCATGTTGTGTGTGGGTATGGCAAACACACGCTGCACGTGAATGCGCATCTCACGTGGATTCATCGAATCCTCCGATGAGTCCCATGGCATCTGCTGTAAATTAAATCATCACATAAATCCAACTGCAAAGTTACTCATAAAATTATTGCATTTTTTATATGTAAATAAGAATCGATAAGCACGTAAGTTGAAACTCAATTTTGTACACATTTTATGGTCTTAATAATTTTATGTAACAATGAAAGAGATACTTGAAATAAATAATGCATTAGAAAAATATCCGACTTGGGTCAGTTCTTATAAAAAAACATAAACGTTCAGAAAGCAACGACCTGATATGCGTCGTAAAAAGTAACGAATTCACACGGCGATGTAGCAAAAAGGTTTAATACATTCAAAGAACTCCGGTGCACGGCGGTTAACTGACAAATTGAATTTCATACTAACAAAAGTACATTAGAACAGTTAATAAAAAACTTAACTGCAATCCAATGAGTTGGTACATAAAAATATAAATTTATCACATCTATAACAAGTTTAATAAATATAAAATACAAATTAATCTATTTGAATAATGAATATAACTGATTCATTATGAAAACTCGAAGATAAAGCAAATTATTCTATGTTATTAATATTCGATTAGTGTAATGATTAATGCGGAACAAAATAAAAACACGGAAGGGCTGGCGATCTTCTTATTGTCCACATGTCCTTCGTCATAGTATTAGTACGTATTGTTTCAATTAACATTGTATAACATACACACGTAAAATTGTTTGGTTTTAGACTGGAACCTTAGTCTACATTTGAAAGCAATAACATTGACAAGCAAAAAAAAAACAAAAGAATAAACATAAATAAATTTTAAATGATATACCAAAAACCTATGTAACTTTCCATCGATTTAATAAATTATCATATATTTAAGATAGAGCTCGGAATGTTACAAAATGAGAATACAAAAGTAAGGAACACAGACGAGTATGAAACAAAGATGCACTGCGTTCAAAGATAATGATCATTTAATCTCGCCGCAGAACCGGTTTCACCTACATTTTAGTATACATTAAATGAAATAAGTTGAAATGAGACGAGATCTCCGACCACCAATTCTACACGACTAGTAAATTGAATCCATAAAAAGTTACAGCAAAAAATAATTCCTTTGATAAACATAATGATCACTGATTGGGTTTTTGAAATGAATTATACTTTGTACATATCTTATAATGTATTAAATTTATTATAACATGATTGAATAGAAGTATAACATGACACGACAATAATTGCTTTTGTGTCAAAGATTATTATTTTATATAACTTTATTTAATATGAATTATTGTATTCGTTTAAACATTTTCTAAGATATATGTATAGGTACTCCTACTACGTACTATGTAAGTACATATTCCAATTTATGAAATTGAAACTTCCGATAACACTTGAAATATTTTCATATAATTTTAAAATAATCACTTCAAAAGAAGCTTTAAATGTAAACGAGTTCTATAAATGGAAGTTATCCTATAATATTAAATCGTTTCTTTATGTATTAGGCTATTTATTGATAGAAACACTACTCGCTAAACCACTTTCTTCTACGTTAGATATGAATAATATTATTTGGACACCTCTCTCTTTAATGTACGTCCAAGGGAAATTAGAAAGTGACGTGTATTTTAAAATTTATATATAAATATGAGACGTAGTAACATCTTTTTTTCGAAGGTCACATCTGTCAGGTTTTGGCTTCCTGTATTCAGATTTTCTATGTACATTTTGAAGATGACCTCGTCTTTTCAGTTCCGTATGATGCGGGCTGACTTCAGTAGTATTATAAAAGATGTACGTCCAATGAATAATAATACATAAACTAATCAATGCGGTTAGGACGCTTTACAAATATATAATTGCATTTATAATTGCTGAGCTCAAAATCTCGGTATCGTCTCAAAATGAAGCGTATTTATATCGTTTAGTCACAATCAATCAATATATTGCATACTTATTGAAAAGTATGTACCGATTATGGTCTAATTTTGTATAGCCACGGAAAAGTTAAATTAAAGAGAAATCCAAGACAAATACACGATCTAGTAGCTGTAATACGAACATTCTCACTTGTAAATCCTTGGAAAAATCGTGCACTATTCCGTGAATATGCAATTTGAGGCGGTCATCCACAGAAATTAAAGAGAAACCTTCATCTTTAATGATGACAGGCTAATGTTATAAAATCATAACATTTATTACACTAACTACAAAATAACGTAAATACCATAGTGTGTATGAAATAAAATAACACTATGTAATAGTCTTTCGTCTAATAAATTAACTTTATTTTGAAATTTAAACGTTTGAAATTGGTGATCCTTTTATATTATTATGTTATTAAAATTTTTTACCAATATTATAAAAAATTATTTATATATGAATAAAAACATTTGAAATAAAGAAAGTCTTTTCATTTTAATAATTTAATTATTAATATGGAGATTTATTTATGAAAGCTTGATTATCTTCTCATTCGCTTCAATGCCAAGATAAAATATGTTACCGAAATAGGAGCATAATGGAATTACCCTTACCACTTCCTAAGGGATATATAGAGAGAATTACAAGGGTATAGAGATAATAGAGTGTATAGAAAAAGTGTACAAATAATCTCAAACAAAATAATTTACATGCAACAAACAAGTCAAATTACCTCTCATTACAACGAGTTTTTATTAATATTACAAACATAAAATTTTATACAACAAGTATTATTCTAATTCGTATTTTAATTCGAGTCGGCGATAATTTTATTAGTTTTCTATAACAATGTTATCTCTATCAACTTAAAAATTAAAAGAATACATTGAAACAAAGAAAATTTTTTGTTTAATTATATAATCGTCATTGAGAAACTACCTTCAAAAGTTCTTGACTAATGTATAACGATATTTTGTGTACGTTTAAATTTATAAATTATATCATAACAGGCAATTACTGATACCACAGCTTCACATTAGAAGTGATATAATGAACACTACACCCGGTTGACGGTCGCCGTGTAAGTAAATTAAGTAGAACAAGGTTCATGTGCGTTCATATCCCATACGTCACTTAATATTTACAACAAAGAAGAAAAAAAGTCACCCATTAAAAGGCAAAGCGATGCCGCTCTGTGGCCTCGACGGGCTATCATTGTTACATCTTCGATCAGTTACCCTGCCAAGTTCAAGAGCGTCTCGTTTTAAAAGAATACAAAAAAAAAATATGTACTCAAATTAGGAATGGTGCCGATCGAGATACGTATATATAATGTGTTGTGGGTGCGCGCGGCTCAAACAGTCGACAAACATCGCAACATGAACGCGTATCTCGCGCTGGCCGGCCTGCTCTCGGCGTCCGTACTCGCTTTACCAACACCACAACCACGCGAACGATTCGGTTACGAAAGAGAAATTATAGGCAACCGATACAATCAAGTACCAAAACTTCTGGACTATGTCCTAAACGAGGAATACGTTAATTCACAGAAGAACAGACCAAAACTAGTAACTAAACTGAGACCAGAAGACGCTGTCATTTCAGACAACATTATATTAGAATCAAATGTAGTGAAAATTGTTAAACCCGCAAAGAAATTGGAAGACGGTCAGCTGGTGAGACAGAGGCGAGGTTATAATTTAGAGAATGTTATAGTACCAGCCAGATATCCTTATCTGCCTGTGGTGCGATACAATCGGTTCCGGCGCTGGGGCTAACATCTTCGTTGAGAAGAATGTCGCGCCAACCAAAGTCAAGGCTGCTCTGAAGATGTTCCATAGTAGTTCACTAGACGCATGTTCAGATGCGCATGCGCACTGATCCACTATAGATACATTATTCATAAATGTGGCTGTGATCGGATCGAGTACCGTTATTTGGTTTTTGCAGACTACGATAAATAGAGTGATGAGACTATAATTAAATTTAGTGATACAATTAAGTTCTATTTAAGATAAAAAGTTTAAATTAAGTAAGGTTATTTATTTCATATCCTTTTTGTGAAGCTAAAGTATTTGTTTACGAGAGAGTTATATTTTATTATATTTTTCGATAACTAAATTCTTAAAGTCATTCTCTTAAAATACATATTGTACAATACTTAAAATGCAATAAATAAGTAATGTTGGTAATAAAAATAAAAATGTAATATACGTGTAGCTTACACTTACATACGAGTATACATATCTGTGGCGCTAGTTAATAATAAAGCAACTATGTTATGTTATCTTTTCATAGTAAACAATGCAAGAATCTAATGAAGATATTTTTTAAATGATGCTATAACAAATGGCATTGACTGTACACTCGGTGGATATGAACAGAGTTTTTAGGCTAATCATATTCAATACTATTGCATCGCGTGTATGGACCGGTACTTAAAAAATATTACGGCGATTAAACTATTATGTTGAAATTGGAATAATAAAAATTTAATACACAGACATGCTCAGACGTTAAAATGATGCTTGAAAGTTGAATCTTCAAAAATTAAAGTCAAAAAGCGTTTATTAAAGGTCGCGTTGTAACCAATTAGAAAAAGAAATCGAAATATTTTTAATACTATAGTTGACAGCAACGCGGAAATTGTGATACTTAAGTAAATAGAGTCATGAATTAAATTATAATAATAATAATAATAAAGTTCTAATATAAGCAAATCAACTTAACGCGTATCGACTGTCAAGGAGACATCGGCAAAAAACTATTATAACTACTTATCGTGTCTGTATGATAACTATACAACCTACTTTGATTAATCTGACATTTTTTTCCGTTTTTCATCAAATAAATAAAAAAAATAACAAATATTATTTTTCTGTTCAAGGTTGCTAAAAAGTAGCCGAAACGTCGGGAGTATGTAGTTTTTATCAAAAATAAAATCGCGTATGTATTACATCCGAAAAATATTAGTTTCATTTAAATATTATTTTTTTGTTATTAATTTCTGGTTTAGGAAGCATTTAAATTTTGTCTATAATAATCACTGTTTAAACTTTATAATTTATATTGATAGATTTTTTAAGAGAACTATAATAAAAATAAAGCAGTAATCTTTAAACAAGCTCCCTTCATTAAGTCGTGGAATCATTTATATTCAGAGTACAACACAGACACGCCGATCAAAACTTCCAATCCGTGCTTCATTAGCGCTTGAAATCTGTCACATAATACAAATTTAATTAAGATAATATGATGCCAAAGCCTTCGCGTGAAGCACTCCCTAATATGTATATTTGTCAGGGACATACCTAAAAGTTATATATTAATAAGCTACCTCATTAAATGGTTCAAATATACCTTAAATAACAAAAATATATAGTTAAATATTTGTATTAAAAGATAATAAATTTGTTAATAATACTTGACGCTGTTTACAAATAAAATAAGTAAATCGCAATAATAGATAATTCTGTGAATAATTATAAAATTCAGGAAACGTTTGAACATAAATTTTACCGAATAAACTTTTCCAAACTCATTCTTAAAGTTTAGTGTCATTATTAAAATTATTAACTTAATGTAAAATGTTCCTTTAAATTTTTATCTAGTAAAGCATTAAGTTATATGTTTTACTTTAAAATTTCTGTATGCAGCTTCTGATTCAAAGAAGTGATGATTCTTCTATCTATATGTATCGGTTAATATAAGATTTTATACATATTTTATTACGTTCTCATTATATTAATTATCAACATTAACGAATTAAGTTACCAAATTTATTTGACACCAGCTGATCTTTTCAATATGACATTGGATTTTAACTATTTCATCTGTGGTATATACTTCCTTAATCATTAAATTTAAACATATGATTTTTAAACAAACTTAGTAATTACATTTAGTTAGGATTAAATAAACAATTTCATATCTCGATTGCCCTTACTCACGGTTGCTGAAAAGTAGCCGAAACGTCGGAAGTATGTAGTTGTTGACAAAAATAAAGCACGCGTAGTATATCCGAAAAATATTAGTTTCATTTAAATTTCACAATAGTTCGATTAACCCTGATAGAGCATTGTTTAGAAGCCTTGTAAGTAAAACATGTCCCACTAAATCCCACCCTTTTCATGCTTGACAAATCTACAATCAAAGTACTTGACGAGATAATCCATCGAGGCCAAACTCAATTTGTTTGCTGCATAGCAACAATATGATTATTTTTAGGCTCTATAATGAATCACTATTTTCATTTATTTTATCTCACATATACATATAATCAGAATCTTATTGATTTTTTATTTATATTTCATAAAATATCTAAACAAATAAAGTGAAATAGCTCACATTAACTGCTATGTAAGCGTACTTACAAAACAGAATTTGCCTAAGTATTCTTATAGAAATATCTAGCTAACTTTTTGAAATATTTATTTTGAAAAAATTATTATACTTTTATACTATTGTGTTTCTAAATATATCTTGCACATTATATATAAAAAAAAACTTTTGAAAAGGCTATTAAAAATACATCGGCTTACAAAACGTGTTACATTGTAAATAATTCTTTTATGTTCGTTATATATCACCTTATTATATGTCTTTCTGAAGTTACGAATGTAAATATATATACATACGGTCATGATAAAAATAAAGATTATATTTTTGGGCTTGATCGCCATCTAATAAAACCACCGTAGGTCGCGCCTTCAATATAAATAAGGTACAAGGTTAACTAGAGAATATAAAAATAGTGTTAATATTTGTTAATTATTTTGCCCTACAAGTTGTAATTAATTATATTCGTAGATATTAATCTTATAATAAATAATCAGTATTTTATACAGTGAATAACATTTACTGATTAGTTATTTATTTCTTATATCGTGAAACTAATTGAATACTGTGATTTGACTTCAGGGCTACAAATTTTTGGAAAATAAAGTGCTAAGTACTATTTATGTGTTTACATTTTCGTTGTACATTAGTTACTTTAATAATTATTATAATAATTATCATAATAACAATAATTATCGTGGAATTATATGTTACTTTTATATCGTTCAAGTTAAAATGTTTTAGAATGAATGGTAAAGGACAGCAAAAGTATAATAAAAACAATAAAAAATACCAAGACTGCATTATTAAATAATTAAACCGATGGTAAACAAATAAAAAAGTATTTTTTTACATAATTTTATAGACTCGTGTACCCAATACTATATTTAGTTAAATAAACTAAATTAAAGCATGCTAATAGTATTTAAAATGTTATATGCTTATAAATAAGAAATCTAATATATAAAGGTTCGTACAAAATTAATGTTATCAATACATTGATTATGTACTATTATACATTGTACGTTTCATTTAACGTAATTAAAATTTTGCTATTAAAAAAATTAATAGGGCCAAAAATATATTGTACTGTATTTGATCTTTCATTACAGTAAGAATTGTGAACAACCATATTAGCATAAATATTATGAGACCTGAGACTTTTCCAAGTATTCGTTTAAAATAAAAGTAATATTTTGACGTTTGTAATTATTTTATAGTAAATACTTTCGACGTGATCACAGCCATGATTTACATTTACATCATAAATTAAATAAGAATAATTAGAAAAATTGTCACAATTTTTTAGTATGGCATTGTTATGATAATATACTTTTCGTATCTAACTATCATAAATGAAAGGCTAAATATTTGTCTTAAAATAAATTAAACTATACTATACCATTGAATTATCACTTGAAATAGTTTTTGCTCATACCTATTATTTCTTTTCACTATCGAAATTAAACCTCTATTATTAAATAAAACATGTTTTTAATAAATACAGTGAAAACCCAAATATTAAACTGTATCGTAATTTGCAATAACATATATCCTGTGTGATTAAAACAAATTAAATAAATAGCTTAAATTTATAAAACATAGCCCAAATAACGTTCGCTTCAAATCTTATTTTCTTTTTATTTCATTTTTTTTTCTGTAAAAGATAATATATATTTAAAATACTTTAGAAGTATAATGATATTTTCTCGAATATTTATTGAAATAAAACTAAAATTTTAGCATATACTACGTATAAACGCGTAGTGGATCCGAAAATCGTAGAATTATTTACTTTAGAAATACAAGACTTTCAGTAAAAGTACTATTTATAAAATAAATCGATATCAATGAAAACGTTTTAAATTTCTCTAATGCAAAATCAATATATGCTCTCAGCTTTTGACACAAATATGATGTAATTTATGTCCAAGCATTTGAAGTCCTGTTTTGCAAGTTAAAAACGTGTTTTGGTCTCAGTTGTTGAATTTATAAATATTATGTTTATGTTTTATGTTTGGCCAAATGTTTCTAGAGATGAATAAAGAGACTACAGTTTTATTATAGCATAAAAATATAGCTTAACTTCTGATATGTTGATTAAATAAAATTACTTAATGTCAAAAGTTACGACGCATTTATGAGTAAGCTTGATGATAATATACTTTTTTTTTGTACTATAATATTAATTAATCGAACGCATCCATAAAATTATAATTATTAAAAAATGTATTCATTTAAATTGAAAATTAAACAAAATATGGTTTAAATTGAGGTTAAAAACTAATATTATATGTAAAATTTTAAATATATTTTGAATTTGAACTTAACAATCAGATATCTTTTCCTTCCTTATACTTAAATAATATTTTTTTGCGTCAATCCTCGTGACGGATGGCGATCCACAATTCACAAATATAATATTTGAGAAGTTTCGTAC